GAAGTGATATGGTCATTATTTGAGCAAAAGGGCATTCTGTGGTCACGAGTCCCTTCGTTGTAATTACTTAACCTTGAAGGCTATCTTTTGTGTCTTTTAATGACTCCCCCAGAAACGATTCGACTTTCAAAGATCTCGTTGTAATTCCCAAAATGGCAACACACTTCTCAAAGCAAAAAACAGTCTATTCACGTAAACACGGCGAGTATCCACAGTCAATTGACACGTTTTGTGTTTATATTTTGATTTTTGCGTAATTTCGGAAGTTTTTCACAAGTTTCCTGTCGCCTTGAAGGTCTTCCCCTCTTTCAGTTTTTGGCGATTTTTTTGAAAAAGAAAACTTTATTTCTATAGTTTAAAGAGTTAAAGAAGTTCAATTTTTCAAATTTCAAGAACAGCCTCAGCTTCCGTCCCCCGAAAACTAAGAATTTTCTCAAGTTTCCTTTTTTCAATATAGTTACCCAGTACACCCAGCGGTATTCCGGCCAACTTTAGGAAAAAATTCTGTCGTCTCGAATAAAATTACTCGCCTCGGAAGTTAACTTGTACAACCTAGAACATTTTCGAATCCGACTGAACCTTCTACGAAACCAGTTCACTGAGAACTTTCCGCCAGACGCGATGCGAACCATTCCAAGACCGATTTATAATATGATTACACGTATGTTTTTCCCGATTACAGTCAAGTCCAAAAGTTGTATGACATCATTGGAAAGATCAAACAAAGGTTAGATTTGACCCGTTTTTATCAGTTAAGACGGAAGTGAAGTGACTTTTCGACGTAGAAGTCTCTTGTGTTTCGAAAAATAACTTACGAAAAAGCTGAATAACTTAAAATGTTCCAGACAAAACATCTCAAACTACAGCTGTTTTTTGAAACGACCACGAGGTTTGGAAAACAAGTGATGAGTCACTTTTGAAAGGTCCATTTGTTCTGAAATCCACTAAAAAATTCCTACGATTCAAAAGATGAAACGAAAAAGCTTTTTTCTCGATTTTTCATGTTTTCTGATGGCTCACATTGTAATCGAGATATAGTTTTTGGATAGGTGAATCAAAATTGAGAAGAATTAAATCTTTTGGGCATTTAAGAATTTTAAAAATGTATTCAAACGCCTGTATGAGATCCATTAATTCTGAAGCCATGAATAAAAAATCCATAACTAGACGTTTTTAAAAGCTTTCTCTCATTTTTTGTCATCAAAAATCGAAACTTAAAGTTCAAAGAATCTTTTTAACCTTTCTTCCCAAATCTTCCGACCCCTTATCAATGGCGCATCGTGACGACTTCTGGAACTGATCGAGGAATTCTGGCAGCCTTTTTTTCGTTTTTAAGACGAAAAAGCACGTGAACTGCGGCTTGGTTCTCACGCTGGAATGTCGAGGGACTGTTGTAAAAAAAGGGAAATCTGAAAATATATCTATACGTTACCTATCTTTAGCTTGGGACGAAGATTATAAAAACTTCTTGACTTCTATTTTTTGTATAATAATCTTTCTTTTAAAAAAAGCCCAGACCAGCAACGAAACCATCTGAAAAGGCAAAAAGTACCCCGCTTCCTTCTCTCGAAACCATTCAATCAAAAGGCGGAACCTTTAAAAAGTCACAACGGTTTTGATTTATCCATTTACCGGGCGACCTCATCTTTTAGCGAAACCGGTTACCGAGACTATCGTTCACTTTTTTGTTTGGGCTGGAAAAAAACGGACACTTTCGGCCGCTGATTAGCCCGGAGACACCTTTGAAAAACAATCGAGTTCGATGTTCTTTTGGGTACTCGAAATAACTCTTCGTTATTATTGACGCCTTGTTTGTGAATCGAGATGACGTCGGCGAAGAATGCGATTCTGAGAAGGCGAATTAGGCGAAGAAGCTTGATCACGGCGAAATTTGACGACCCATCGATCAGTTCAACGTCTAGAATTTCCTTCTTGTATGCTGTAAACTGGAATCTTGTACTTTTCTAGTTTCAACTTTGGGACAAGTTTCAGAACAAAAAAACCTTATTCGGTCCCCTTTGCTTAAAAAATCTACGGGCTCATCTACGTTTGAGAACTGGATATGGAAGAAAAGGGTAATGATATACTTGGTTCATAATCTCTTGAGATCCTTGGCCGCATTTGGAATGGCTCAAATCGTATTTTCCCGACGTTCACGGTGATTAAGGTTGATCTGAAGAAAGTAAAAAAAAACTTCCTCGATATTTTTGCGCTTTTTAAAACCCTTCAATCAAAGAACACTTCTCACATGAAAACAACCCTAAACCGTTTCGAAATTGGTCTTATTTTCCAGAGAGCGTACTTTTAAATCCTCTCTAATGCTATTTTGTACTATTGAGTTTGGGACTCAAGTTTCATGAAAAATCGAAACTTTTCTAAAAAAACTTTTTCTGTGGTTTTTGAACCAAAGTTCACTTATTTAAATAAAAATTCTCGAAAAGACATGAGCCTGGAGCGATCTTTCAGGCACCAGCAACATCTTTTTATTTCAAAAAAAGAAAAATATCTACCGTAATTTTCAGAGGGGTTGAATTTTAAAAAAATTTTTAGTGACCTTTACACAGTAGTAGAATAGAAGCTACTAAAAAGAGAACTACTACAGTGACTATTAGGGACGAAGTAGGGAATTCTGTAGAGGAGGTTTCAGTAGCCACTTCAGTGTCCTTTCCAAGTAATCTTTGAGGAACCTCTTAAGCGGCCACTGAAGTTTCCCACAGCAAGACCAAATTCTGTATATCTTGGCACGATGATTCACCGGAAACACGTTATAAACCCATCAAACATTTCACAACAAAATGCACGTCTCCAACGTTATTGTTTTCCTCCTGTTCGCCTTGGAGACGTGCGTGACGTCCATCGGAAGCCCTCGGATGACCTAAATGTTGACCTATCACTCCACGTGATCATATCGCAATCGATTTTCCCATCGACCACTCGAATCATCATTGAATATTACAGCGTATGACCGGACCACGCCTCCCTTTTTGACGTCTCTCCGCCCCTTTTCCCATGCCGTCAAATAGAGTTCTCCCAGGCGGATAACGCTCTTTTCAGAGCGTTTGTAGGTGTCGACCGTCCTCTTCCGCGTCTCTCGACGACGTCGACCACCTCCGGATCAATTGATAAACCGATCGATTGATTTTTGGCCGCTTGTCGGATCCCATCGACGACTTTTTTAGAATAGTCATTTATTTTACAGGTTACAGTGTCTGTAATTGTAGTAGAGTGACTCATAAAACTACTCCAAATTTCGATTTCGATTATTTATTTTCGAAAAAAGAATAAAATGGCAAGCTCCCTTACTTAGAAGCCGTAAATATGATAAGGTTACTTATTTTCAAAATTATAGAAAAATGCTTTTGTTTTTCAGTGGCTTTGAAGGTATGAATTTAAATAAAAAACCTTCGAAAAAAGATCTAAGCTTCACTTTTTCCAATTTCGTTTCTAGCTTCGAATTTCATGGCGTTATGTGAATAGAAGATAGGAGTTCTAAAGTAAAATTTTCGGATCAGATTTTATCTGTCCCTTTTTATTGATTTTCCGCAACTTTTTTGACCCCTTGACCCATAGTCGGCCACGTACTCTGTCATGATACCCATCTCCATAAGTCTCACTTTTTACCCATTTTTAGTTTTGAACCCGTCTTTGCTGAACAATTTTTGGAGTCGGTATAGATTAACGAAAAAAACTGCTCAAAAATGCAAAATTACGAAGTCTCGGTAGTACTTTTAACCATAGACTGCCGATGAAAAGGGCTTTATTTTATTTCACAACCGTTTAGGACAGTTTTTGTTCCTAATAAATTTTCAAGTGGTAAGAAAGCAGTGGTTAGATTGGCTAGACTAGATATCTACTCAAACTTGTAGCCACAACAATGAGCTTTTTAAATCAATTTCGCTTCATGAAATCAAAAAAAAAAAATTAAGATTTAATTGGCAAAATACAGAGTGAATCACTCGACCTTCAACGTCGTTCCAGGGCCCTTCAGACGGACCGCCGAGTTCTGTTGACGACGTCACGGGTCGACGTGACAATTTGCGACGTCTCCTTCAATAAACAATGACCTTCTGCACCTTTTATTCGTCCAACAGCGATAAAAGAAAACACTTTTCCGTTGTGATTTATGATGGAAAGGATGTGGGTGAAGAAAGTTTCCGAGCGGAAGAAGAAGCTTCAAGTTTCCAGTTTTTCCTTCCTATTCGAATAAAGTTTTTGTTTGTACAAATAATCAATTTTTTCAGGTCACAACTTCACATTTGTCTTTTTTTTTAAGTGGAAAAATTGTGTTGGTATTTTTTTTTTCAATCGAGTTCCGATGATCATCGAAGTTAAAAGTTGAAAAAAGACCTATGGACTCTTCAAATTTCCGATTTTGACTCCCTTATTTACTTAAAGTTTCGTTTTTGCGTTCCAAAATTTCTTGGTAAGCTTGGATTTTGTTTAAAATGAATCAAAAGTTTCATTTTCAGAAGTTTGAATAATTTCGGACATAGTTCAACTTAGTTGAGTTTATTGAATTATTGAAAAATTTAACTCGAATCTATAGATTTCTGGACTTAAAATTTTTTATTCAAAGTGAGTTGATCTCAGTTGATCTTTCCATCGATTTTCAATATCTACGACCAAAGAAGCGTTAAAAATGCCGCTAAAAAAAGCCATTGTGTAGTAAAATGTTTTTTTTTATCGAAAAAAAAAGAACTGGAGGCGTTAATGTCGATCGTCAAAGAGATTCTTCGGCGCAAAATTCAAACCAAAAAAGAAAAAAAAGAGATGAAAGGTTTATTGACGGAAGCTCCTCCTCTTTCAGACACGCCCCCAACATTTTCTATATGACCGTCGGTTTACTTGTCCACTTCTCCTGACTTATCGATTCTCCTTCTTCTTATTCTTCTTCTCATTTTTCAAGCCTGAACTCGTTCTCGTGTGGTTTTTACCGTGTTTGTTGTTCGTTCGAAACTATTATTTGTCAAATTTTTATCCTTATAGTTTGCTTACAGAAGATGCGAGTGGCAGATGAGAAAAACTTTCCGATCTTCACCGAAGAGCCGAAAAAAGTCGTTCCAGAGGAGAATGGTCGGATGTACCGCTACTGGATCTGTACCATCGTCACGGGCCTTCTCACTTTACTTCAAGCCAATATTCACGTCTACAATTTCACTGTCTTATGTATGCAAGAAGAACAGAAGCGAGCGATCAATGGTGAGTCTTGAATATTCATTTTTCATCAATTACGTTTTCATAAATTATTCGAAAAAAGTCTAGTTGGTGCTCTAGCCTTTAAATTTTTAGTTGAATCAAAAACCTCACGTTTTCAGCTTAAAAAAATCGTTCTGTTCAATCAAATAATGAAATATATTTTGTCAGTATGTGGGTTTGCGTCGAAGGTGTATGCACAGAAGACGTTATATTTTACGAGCTTTAGTATAAATATTTTCTATCTTTTTTATTGCATTTATCTTCCTATATTTATTCCAACTACCTGATCTTGACAAAATCAGTATCACGTTCTTTTTAAAATGAATAATGTCTCAAACCAACTGTTTCATGAATGAATGATACGCTTGAATAGATCATTTTAGCTGATTTCTGATGTTCAAGAAAAAAAAGAACAATTTTTTCGACCTCCTTGTTGTTTCAAAACAATTTCAAAAAGCAGGAAACATCCCGCTTTTCCCAGCTTCCTACTCAAAAAATTCTTACACTCGACGTTCAGTCACTAATCAAAAATTACAATGACGCGTCAATGTTTTTCCACCCTCAACTGACAAAAAATAAACAAAAAGACTACAATCATTTGATTCTTACAACGGAGTCGATGTTCGAAACAATTTCAATCTATTTTAGAAACGCTAGAAGACATTCTACTCACTGGAAATGCGTCGGAGAGCACGGTTCCGATGAAAAATATGTTCGCCTACACCAAATTGCAGCAGGATTTGCTCTTTTCTGCAGCATACATTGCTCCTTTGCCGAGCATAATCGTACTTTATTTCTTGGCCAATAGATCAGGCGTCAAGTGAGTTTGAATCTTTGATTCTTGATGGCTAATGAGGATGTTCAGAAAAACTTTATTGACGTGCTCGTTAATTTCCTTCTTCTCAACGGTTTTATCGCCGGCCGCCGCCTATGGCGGGTTCTGGTTCTTCCTGGTCGCTCGATTTTTCCAGGTGATTGATTAATCAAGTTTTTTCTTCTGCTAACCTTGAACGTCCACAAGTTTTTCAAAAAAATTATATGTCCTTCTCAAAAAGATAAAAAGGGTAATTGAGTTTTTGAAATAGCCAGAAAGCTTCTTTTTGTCCTTGTTTCTAGGAAAAAAACTGAAAATATTTGAAAATATAAAAAAACTAAAAATTTTTTTGCGCTTGAGGAATTTTCCACCAAAAAACCCGTAAGAAAGGTGTTGGTAAGGGTTTTTGGAGGCTTTTTTCGAATTTTTTCTTTGATTTTCGGGCTCAAAATCAATTTATTCATTTTCCAGGGACTTCCATCCGCTGTATTTTCAATCGTCGTCAGTGTCGTGACTTCACATTGGTCCACTCTGGAAGGAAATGGAGTCTACGTCTCGATTTTGGCCGCCCATTATCAAGTTTGTTTAATTTATGAATTAGATCTAAATTCTATGCTTTGCAGATCGCACCCCTCTTGACGATGCCCCTTTCGGCTTTCTTCTGCACGACCCTTGGATGGACCTGGGTCTACTACGTCCAAGGCACTTTGACCGCTGTTTTCACTATTCTTCTATTTGTTTTCTACACTGACAAACCGTCTGACAACAAGTGAGTTGGCTCTTCACTTTGAATTTTGAAAATTCATTACTGAGCAATACAGCCAATTAAATTTGCGCTATCTTAACATGTCATCAGTTTCTCTGCTGATTTTTGATTGAAACAAATTGAGTAATATTCAGATACCTGCACAAGAGCGAGTTGATTGCCATCGAAGCCGGCAAATCGCACGAAGAAAAGCACGTCGAGAAGACGAGGACGCCATTCGCCGCCATCCACAAGGACACGGCCGTCTGGGCGATCTGGGTGACGTCAGTCGGTGGAACCATCGGATTCAGCATCTTCCTCCAGTACGGCCCGACTTACCTCAACAAGGTCAGATAGTCAACAAAACTTCCTCCTGAGTCTGAATATTACTTAAGCTGTATATTACTGTTAATCCTCAATTTTCAATATTTTTTGAGCCATCCTTTCTTCCTAGATTGAAATCGTACATGCCAAAGTACGACCAAGGTTTATGTTGAAAATGCAAGACGAAAGGAAAACCCAAAATTGTTCTTTTTCGGAGCATTTTACTCTGAAATATAGTCTGTGTGCCACGACTTGAAATTTCACGGAACGACATTCCGCTGTTCCGCTGCGTGCGTTTGCGAAGCGTCTTTGGAATTTAAGTCAACTTTTCAATTGATTGTTATTGCTGTGCGAGCAAATGAAAGTAAAGTACCATAATAAAAGAAATAAAAAATTGAAAAAGCGACCAAGGTTCGCAAAGGCGCCCAGCGGCACAGCGGAACGTCGTTCGGTGGAACTTCAAGTCGTGGCACACAGACTATAACACTGAGCACCTCTCCCTTCTCCTGTTTATATTTTTCTTTGTTAAAATGTCCAAAAGGGAGCTCTTGAAACTACGTGAAGACGTTTCAGGTGCTGCACTACACCCTGTCGACGACCGGCTGGTCCGCCGCCATCCCCTACATCTTCTCGTGCATCGCCAGAATCGCGGCTCAGCCTCTCTCGGCCAACTGCACGTTCCTCGGCGAAAGACTCGCCGCCATCGTCTCCACGACCATCTCTCAAGGTTTGTTCCTCCTCTCCTAACGACATCAATCACAAAGGTAAAAGAATCTGCGACTTTTTATCGGTTTTCGTGAGATTCTGGGCGACCGGTCGGGCCAAGAACCTGGTTCAGAAGTTGAGAACATCAATCTTTCCCCTTTCTTTTTTTTCTGAAAAGTCAACTGACCTATCCAGCAAGTTCTAGTTTCAAGAAAGCATGAAAGGACATGTGGTAAAAGAGATAAAAAAGGTAGAACCATCATGTGATTTTTTCAGAATACAATTTGATGCTTCTTCAGTTGAGATAAGAATGAAAATGCGAAAAATCAATTCTTCATTTTTAGTCAAGCTCTTAATGATATAATTTTCGGAATTAATTTAAAATAATGATGTCATTGTGGCATCAAAGACGATAACGTCTGGTTTTTCCGAAATCCAGTTCTATTTGATAGACATCCGTTGTAAATTGATCACACTTCTGTTATCAAATTATGCGGAGAAGTTTTACGCACGACCGTGGGAAACCGGGGCCAAACTGTGTAATTTTCAAAGAAAGTCGACCAAAGTCCAAACTAGACATTGAAATTCAGAAATGGAGCTCTAGAGCACTTTGCCGAAGGAAATTTTTTCTCGTCTTCGGAACATTTTGAAGATTTTTTTTTCAGGAACGATGGCTGTGTGCTTCCTCGTTCTGATGTTCATCCCGAAAGACTGGAGCAACGTCGGCCAACTCTGCTACTCGCTGGTCATCGTCGCCAACGGACTGAATGGCGTCGGAATCACTAGAAGTGCTCAATTGGTTCGTTACTTTTTTCTTTTTTTTTTCCCATGGCCTTCTTCACTACTTCTGATCCAAAAGTCATTTTTCAAATTTTTCTCCCGTCAACTTTTAAAATGATCAATTTCCAGGTGTGCAAGCAACACCTCTCGTTCGTCTACACGGCCAGGTCCTTCTACAACCAGACGGTCGGCCTTCTTCTGCCTTTGTTGGTGAACGGCATCGCTCCCGACGACACCCACGAGCAGTGGTCCACTCTTTTCTTGTCAGTTTCTTTTCCTTCCTTTGTTCCAACTCTAGCCCATTGTTGTTCTTTCTTTTCGATTGACAGTCAATAGTTGAGTTTTCAAACCGTTACAAAGAGAAGACGTCATCGTCTGGTGTAACATGCGTGAGCGTAATATCAAAAACCTCGACAACAACTTGTTGATAGTTGACACGTATAGTTTATAATTTGCAGGGTCATCTTCGTCGTGGTGTTCCTGTCGAACATCGTATTCATCTTTTTTGCCAAGGTCGAGGCGGCGCCGTGGACCGTCGGCACGGTCGAGGTCGACGACCGGTCCGAACACGAAATCGAGGAGATGAGGGACGACGACGACGCCGACAGCCGATCCGAAGTCGTGCCCAAAAAATGAGCATCTCCTCTTCCTATTTAAGTAATATTCATAGGCACTAAAGTCTTCTTTCTTCACTTCATTACGACATTTCGGTCGATAGCTGCACCGTCTTAGTTCTCTTCGTAGGGTAGATTTTCACTCGACTGAATAATTCTGTTCCACTGTTCTTGTTTAATAATTTGTCCTCTACTTTAAGCTTTTGCCTCTAGTCTTATGAATGAAAGAAAGCTTGTAGTCCGTAAGAATGGCACCTTTAAGGGGCTTTTTGAAGTTTTTGAGTTAATTATGTCAAAGCCTCATTGGCCAAAAAAAATGTCTTATTTGCCCGCGCTTCTCCTCGTCTTTGACAGATCAAGAGGGCGCAGACAGGCTAGACTGTTTCAAGGCGCGGCGAAACAAGTATTAAAAAGTTGATAATTTTTCAACCATCTCGAATCAATTTTATAAAACCTTGAAAAAAATATGTAATTTACGGACCTCAAACTTTGGTTCATACGACCCTTTCCATAATCTCCCTTTCGAGCGACCGCAACCTCTAAATTTGCCGTCAAATGTACAGTTTTTTCCCTCTGCTTTGACCCATAATGACGTCATTATCTCTCCCAGGGTGCTACAAACAACTTTTTCGACAAGTCCTACTCCTACGGGTGTCCCCAAAACTGGCAGCATTCCGATTTCTCAGCTTGTGCATATCGTTGTGCATTGTAAATATTTTCGTGTTGTTTCTTGTTAGATAAATAAAAAATTTTTGAAAAAAAAGGACCAGGGATTGGCACTAAAAAAACAAGAAAAACGGGTGCCGAGAAACGAGAACTGCGCGGATCTTGGACGCCTTTTGTGGCGGCATTTGAACGCGATTCCCGGCCCAAGCTGCGTGTCCAATGATCTTCTTTGTCTTGTTTTGGTTTGTTTAAGGATTAATCATTTGGATAATCGATTAAAGATCAAAATTACAGTGTTTTTGTTTCGACTTTGGCTCAAAATGCCAACGATAAACTCCAAAGATGCTGCTTCACGGATCCGGCGATTGACCAAGGCTGCGCTCAGAAATATTGCAACTTTGGACAGATCAGTCAGCAATCTGTGGGTTCTTTCGGAAATACTAGGAAGGCTCGACGCGTTGCGGTCGCGCTGCGGTTTGATGTAAAGATTCGAAGTACCTTCAAAGTACATTCATGTCAACCGCGCGGCAGCCGTTCCGCCTTGAGCCATTCCAATTGCGACCAGCTTTTCCTCGGTTCTTCAACTGGACTGTATAGTATATTCATCAGAAGACTTCAATCGGCGAAAAATATTTTTTGTATCTTTTCAGGTGCTTCCTTTCATTGCTGAATGTGGGATAAGAGGAAACACAATATCTCGTATGTGGGATTGCATAAGTTCCCGACATGATCACTCAGATTGCTGTATCAACCAGGTTACAAATAATCGAATTGTTTTCAAGCTATTTAATATTAAAAAGAGAATCGACGAATAGGTTTCTATAAAGACATGAAAATTATTGAAAAAACACAAAATCTCCTATTTTCAGCCGCCAATACTTGGTTTACCTAACCACAATCGAGAATCCAACGCATTTTGGATTCTCAAACAATTTAGAACTGAAAAATTTTATAACTTTCGAAAAAAAAGCTCTTTGAAAAAGTGACCGAACCGACCGACTTCTCCAGCATTCCACTCTAGTTCATGATTGCCAGTGCATTGTAAAGCTTCGTTTAAAAACATTTTCAAAGCTGCTACCTTTTTATTTTGAGCGCAATTCGTGATTCTATTGATATTTGAAACTGTTGTGATGGAATGTTCAAATGATTGATTACAAGGAAAAAATTTTTCAGCGCTTCGAGACTTTTCCTGACCTAATTGCCAAAAAATATCAAGATTAAAACGACTGATCTTGCAAGGAAAAAGTGACTACTTAAGGGAGTATCACCACTGTGCCGAGCTTTCTGCGACGCCAGAGGATCCGTGCCTACCAATCTTCTGGTCTACGGCGGCTGTGCCCAGGAGTTCGAGAAATACCGCCTCTGCTTCCGCACTTATCTCAAACACAATCCCCCTATCCGAGGAGGATAATATCTTCTTTTTTTGAAATGTACATAAGTATTTATGAATAAAATCTTTTTTTGAATTTATTCACGGTTTTTTTATTTTAAAAAAACCGCCAAGGAAAAATGAAAAGAAAAACTGGAATAATTTTTTTCGTCCACTGCTGTGATAGTAACTTTTAATAAAACTCTAAAACTTAAAAAAAGAAAAGTTTTGATATATTTGGAATTGAATGAAAAATAAGCTAAATTTGATAAAAAAATTGAATTTTTTTAAAAATCGGTGCCAAATGTTGAATAAAATGTTGAATTTTTCTTGTTCAAGCTTAGAAAAATCGGTTTGAGGAGAACGATTTTTCCAATGGTTTTTTTGTACAGAAAAAAAGGTCTTATTTTTTTATTTTTTTATTTTTTTCCCATTTTTTTAATTTCAAATCGTTAAATGAAGAGGCTAATGAAGTGATAATTAAATGATGTTCTGCGATACTAGCAAAAAAATTCGATCAAGAGCCGTTTTTCTTTTTAGTCATAAATTCAAATAACACAAGTTATCCGAATCGTTAAAATTTCATTCGTAAATACCAAAATTTGGCCTCTAACTGGCTTTTTAAGATCAATTATTTATTGGTTAATTAGAAAAACTTACAAAGTTGAAGGCTACAGAATAATGGTGACTTCCATTCGAGTCTTTACACTACTTGAGTGTCGAAAAGATTAGGCCATTTGAATATTATCAAAAAAATCAACTCGTTCGTTGCTGTTAGTTTATATTCTAATACGAACTGTCTAAAAAAGATTATATTCAGGTAAGAATTAAGAAGCTTCTGCTTTCGGTTCTTCGGAAGGTGTTTGGAAGCCACTTAACAGCCAGAAGCCTGTTGGAAGGCTTCTGGCAGGCATTTTCATTTTGTATTCTCAATGATCTTTTAACTACCTTCTGAACTTCTTTTCAAGATCTTCTAGCCATCTTCCAATCTCATGCTGGTAACCTTCCCACCCAACACCTTACTATGACGTCTATGAGACCAAATCGCTTCAGATTGTTTTTTCGGTAATCCGAAAAGCATAACAGATTAGGTAATCCAACGGATCATTAAGGGCCAGGCTTATAAGATAAGCGGCCAATGTGTTCTGCGGCGCGGAACCAGTCGAAATGGCGCGAGAATCCAGCTTTTGTCTCTTTTTTGTTGCCTCGATCCATCACGGTCTTCTGTCCGGCCGTCTTCGCCATTCTTTTCTATTGATTTGGTCAGAATTGCCACATTGTCACATGCTTTTGTTGTCTTTTCTCTTCATTACAACGGAACAGATATCAAAAGAATGATTCAACCGTTTTCCCTTGTGTGTTTTTCTGAGGGCCAAGGGCGTTTGGATCATTTGAATAGTGAAACTAGCTGCTTGAAACTCGTCTTTACTCGGCGGAAGGTAACAAAAAGCCAACCGACGCCCCGAAACCACTCTTTTTTTTCGTTGCTTCAGGCTTTTTCCTGCTTCCTCTAGTAATCATCAGCTTTAGATTGAAATCGCTTGTAATCGTTGGGTTTAAAAGAGGGTCGAATGTTTGTGTTTCTTCATTTGCCATGGATTCTGCCTTTTGTACAGAAATTTTTGTTTCTTTATAGATACCGTTTATGGGAAAACCTTTCTGAGCTTTCAAAAGGGCTAAATTTCAGCGCTACATGTCGCATGTTGTCTTCAATTTGAAGCTTTTATGTTAAACTTTTGTTTGTTTTTAACGAGGATCCACCAGATGCTTTGAAACTCTCAATCAAGCCCTTCTGAGAATACAGTTAAACTGCAATCTATTCCGTTCAATTTTTGAGAAGCTATCCCATTTACAGCGTATTTATTTCTTATTTATTTCTCTTTTCTCTCTAAAATTTCTAAAATTGTTTTAAAAAGTCTCTTATTGAAAATTATCTTCAGATGTTTCATGTAGCATTGCTCCTCGCTCTAGCGACCTCAATAAACGGCCAGGGATGGAACTGGCAGCCGTTCAACCAATGGCAACAGCCTCAACCTCAGGTTTCGTTCAGTTTTTTTCGTTTTAATGAAGAAAAAAATTGTGCTACAATAACCTATTTCTATGAAGATATGGAGCAGATTCATTCAAAATCGAGAAAATGAGAAAGTATATGTGGGATGATTTTATCATTCACTAGACCAGCTAATCAGTTGGAAATTTGGATTTAAAGATTCTCGAGATTTTTTTTATTCGAATCTTGTATTACATTCAGCCCTCTTGCAAAAAAATGTTCAAGAAATATTAAAGTCTAGCATGAGCAATAAAATCAAAGAGGCTAAACCCTGAAACCTCCATGTTCCAGCTGCTTTTTTAAGTTTTATCTAAGAAATTTGGTTTTGAAGTTACTCGAAGACTCAAAAATAAGAAAAAAGACCTGTTCAAAAAAAAGAAATTTTAAAGCCTCGTAAACCAAGTTTTAGTGGGGATTCGCGCAGCAACAGCAGGCCCAACAGGTCGCAGCGCAAGGCGTTACGCAACAAAACGCAGTCAGTCAGAGGCTTCAATTGATGTGAGTTTTTTGAACTGTTTCTAAAGATCAAATGAAGAAATTTGAATAAAATGCTTTTAGCTACGGCATTCCCGGCCAGAGAAACGCGAACCAAAAACTGCGCGTCTGCTGTCGTTCCTTGAAAGATGCCGACATCGAGTGCCGACGTCGCTACTGTGATTTTGAAGCTTTTCGGCCGGACCAGGTATTTTTTATTTGAAATAACGTTAATAAGGTTGTCTTCAGGTACTCGGATACCTTGCTCAGTGCTCGCCGAAGGGACCGACTGTTGGTCAAATGTGGGACTGCGCCTCGTCTAGAGCCGACCACACCGCTTGCTGTGTCCGTCAAGGGGTTCGTATCATATTTTTTTGGAAGAAAACAGCTTAAAGAGCAATGAAATCAAAAAGAAATTCCAAAATAAAATTTTTTTTAAAAAAAAACGTCCTTTCCTTTCTTCAAAATGACCCAAATGAAAAAAAAATTCCAAAAATAGGAAAAAAAGAAGGAGACAGTCACGAAAAAAATTTTTATAAGAAAAAAAAGGGCTATAGACTTTACTTGAAACAGGTATAGTCCGTTCAGATTTCGAATGCCAAGTAGAATGACGTCATTCGAAAACGCTATGTGGATGACTCGCTCTCTGATTGGTTTATCGCGCCATCAGGGGGCGGAGCTTGAGGGAGAACTTGACATTTGAAATCTGAACAGACTATTTCTGAGTTTTAGCAACGAGTCTGAATTTGCAATACGATATTTTTGGCAGAAAAAAAAACAATGCGCTCCCCAACTTTTAATTTTCCCTTGATTATACCTTTTCTGTTTTCAGGTGACTGACAACTGCATGGCCTATTGCCAAACTCAAAACGGAGTGCCGACCGACTACCTGAAATACGCGGTTTGCATCGGGCAGTTCGACAAGATCCGCTCCTGCTTCCACGAGTACCTCCAGTCCCATCCCAACATCAAGGGCGATACATAATTCTGTAATCATTCTTCCCTATTTATTGTATATCCACGACATAGACACAAATAAAATAAAACTACCCAAGCTATAAAGAAGCGAAGCGTACGGAAAATAGAATTTATATACTTTGGAAAAATTATTTTGAAAAAAACAGAAGAAAATTACAGGAAAAACTATGAAAAAAATAGAAAAAGAATTTTGGCAAAAATTTTTTTGTGAGCTGCATTTTGTTCATGGAGCAACTTTGCCGTGATCTTTAATTTTTTTCTCCAAAAATCTTATTTCTTTTTTTGAATACTTTTTCAATACATTCTAGTTTTCTTGTTGCATTTTTGTAGGGAGATGATTTTGAACAGTTCATAAAATTTCAATAAAACTCTCTTTCAAAAGTTTGTTAAATAAATAAGTTATAACTGTGGGAACCATCTTTTTAAGAAGCTGTTACATTTTTCTTCCTGTTCTTCTTTGATAAAAAAAAATCTTTGGACTGTTTCAATAGAACAGAAACTTTCGCTGAAAAGAATCAAAAATACAATTTCACACGCTATTTGTAGTCGCCCTTCGGCGATGGTCACCAGAATGTTTGCCGATGTCCTTACGCCGTTGTGAAAAATGAACGGATGAGCCGGACGAGACGTGCATAAAAAACAAAGAAGATACTTTCGAGTCGGCGGCCCACCAAAGAGTACAAGCTCATCCTTCCGTCTGTTTACCTTTTACGAATGCGACACAATGATCGGCGCTGGTTCGATGTAATCCACCCTCCGACGCTGTTTTCGACTATCTTTTCTACAGTCTTGCTCATTCAGGTCGTCTTTTTCGTACTTTTCGAGTTGTTTTTTGGGTGTTTAGTTCCCTGCGGCACTTTTTGAAAGTATTAGGATTCTGAAAAAGTATTTCGCTCGACTAAAAAAGCTAATACGAAATTTTAAAAAACAACCTTGAAGTCAGAAATCAGTTGAGTCTGTTTTGAAATTTCTTGATTGTACTCGACTTTTTTGATTTCTTTATTTGGTTCTAAGTTCGGCTTGTTTTTTTCTCAGCTTTTCTCAGCACAGAATTACCCAAGAAAATCATCTCAAGCCAGTAGGGCATGCTTTTTTTTAAGACTTTGAACTCTTATTTCTTAAAAACCGATGATTTTTTGCAAGTTGAAACTTTCTGGATCTTTAGTCTATGCATCAAAAAGTATCAAAATATTAATTTAAAAAAATATCAGAGACATTCCTTGTTATTCAGCTCTTGAAACACATTGAAAAACATAAATCTCTACTTCGGTCTCTTTCAACCATATTTTCATTTTCTGAGCTTTCTAACAGTTGCAGAATATTTTTTTTTAAATCAAGGGAAAAGGTGAAACGAGCTGCACCATGTTAATAATCGTCCGCGAAACACGAAGGGTCGAACAGCTTATTTTCGTACAGAGGGTCGAGCAATTTCGAGCTTTTCCGTTGACTGTCGGTTATTAACACTGGCGGCAGACAAGAAAGCCCGCCGTTCTTTTTTTTTGCTCCTTTGAAGATGGTTTTTTAAGGAATAAGAAAGTAGAAATCCGAGTTTTTTTTTCAATCCGAGTCTCGTCGAAGTCTGAATCGTTAACTAAAGATGAAGCTTTTTTTCAAAATTCATCCATCATCGGCTTTTTCGGACTGAAAGTTTCGAGCAAAGATTGGAAAAAGCTTCAAAAAAGTCGCGTTCAAAGAATGATTCATGTCGATGAGGAACCTGAAATGTTTGCATTTAGCCCTTTGGCTATTTTGTGCATTCCAAATATCTCTTCTCCGATATCACACTTTTTCTTTTTCGTGTATCTTCCGCCTAACATGTTCTGGGTCCGATTTCGATCTGCAAAGAGCATTTTTAGCTTCTTTTTTTCTCGTAACCATCTTGTTCTTCCATTTTTTTAAATCAAAAAAATAAAGCAATGATGCTTTAAGAAAAAGTGAATAAAATATTTTTATTAGCTGTTTTTAATTGAATTTTCTTTGCTTAGTGAATATTAGAAAAATAAGAATGCTGATGATTGATAAGATGAAGCTTAAATAACCATGTTTTTTTGACGATGACTCAGGTTTTTTTTTCTTGAAAATAAGAACTCCTTCAAAACGTCTTTCTTCTCGATGAAGAAAGCTAGAAGTTTCTAGTTTCTCGCCCAAAATCCAGAAAAAAACCATTGATGAAGGGTCTATTCTGAAATTTTTCCGTTCATACTCTCAAGAGCTTTTGTCGAAGTCAACACATGAAACAATGTTAAGCTCTGAATAACCTGAAAATCGTGATTTTTACCTTAAAAATCGCCTTTTTCCGGGTCATTGTTGTTTTTTTTTTCCACACGAACAAATGTTTCCGTCCTAATCGCCTCGTCTTTTCCACGCGGTCTTCCCTAAACGCCCCACTAGACCTTTTCTCAGACTTCCTACACATACCGTTGGGTTCATCAAAATTGAATTTGTTTGTTTTGCTCATCATCCGCCTTTTTTGAGCGGCGGCCCTTGAGAAGCCCAAAAAATTGGATATAGCCACTCGAATCGCCGCAATTCAGTCTCCATTTCCTCTCATTTGATTTATCTGACCAGCTCTATCTGCCTTCTATGATTTTCCTCTGATTGATTGCTTTCTACTGTGGTGGGTGTTATTCTGAATTTTCCAATCGCTTTGAGAAAGTCATAGCCTTTTTTGTGTGTTTTTTTTTACTAAGCTGTCGAGATTTTCAGACCTTGGTAACGCGAACGGAACACGCCCAGATGTTTTTGATTCTTTTCTTCTTCTAGTGATAACTTAAGAACGCTGAATCCGCTTAAGTTATCCCTGGAAAGCCTCAGAAACGTCCGGGGTGCGTCCGGTTTGCATCACTGTGGTCCGAGACATTCTGAAAATTTGTTAGAGCTTTTTGAGAGTCAATAAATCAAGATTTAGATAGTCAAAGTCTGCTAAAATTTTGGAACGTCCCAAAAATAAAGTTGAAAGCTTCAATTTATTGTCCGATGACTAGAAAAAGTGAAGTTCGAATCCTCATTTTTTTTAATATTTTGATTATTTGAAATTAAGATGTTGATTCAGTTCATTAGTGAGTGTCGTCCAGAAATTAATTTTCAGAGAACTTCTCAAGTTCTGAATGAAATTATTCCTTTGAGTTTTTTTTTGAATATATTGAACCCTTTTCATGGTAATTCTTTTCCAAATTTTCGAAAAAAATTGCAGGATGACAATACGAAAGAAAAGAGACATGAGTACAGGTAGCTGGAGTTACAAGAACAGCTTGTACGCCTTCAACCCGAGCTACGGATTCGCCGTCGACAAAAGAGGGTTCGTTCATATTTTCTTTCTTAAAAATTTATTTGATGACATTTTCGTCTTATTAAACGTATTTCTGCAAAGAGTGTGTTACATGTTCAGTTTTTCGAACTAGATTTATGATGAAATAGCTAGTCGCGCGACGGTTGCGAATAGGCTCTTTTAAGGCGTCCCCGACCCAAAACGACTTGCGCGCGGTAGCATCGGATATTGTAAGACAAAACTTTAACAGCAACCCGTAGAGTAGAGGGGACTAAAAAGGGACGTAAGGGACCAAAAAGTGCCCAGTGTATGGGGTGAAACTCAGATGGTCCTTAGATGAGTTTACGGTCTTACGCCTAAGCCCCTAAAGCTTAATAGATTCCTGTAGGGTCTTCTAATTTTTGTTCAGATTTGAAAAAGGCAAACTTGATCAAGTCAGCCTCTTTCGATATTTGTCATTCAAATAACGCTAATTTATCTGTTTTATCGCATGAAAATGCTTCTTCTCAGAGAGGTCGTAAGAATAATCGACTATGTCCCCTGTAGAAGCAACTTGCCACTAACTAAACCCCTATTGGAACCACTTTTTCAAGCTTCAGTGGCTCCTGTAGGAAGAGACGTTCATGACAATGTCGTATACAAAATAACTTCCCTTCCTTGATGCAAAAAAACAGAAGAATACGCGGCGAAGAAAAGGTTCCGGCCGGCAGGGAACGGAGACAGTTCAGAAGTTTTGAACCGGCTGCTGGGAGGTCCGTGTAGCACTCGACGGAGTGATAGCGGCAAACGTCGCGCGTCTTAAGCCACAACAATCGCCGTGTTAACAAGCCACTCGGTGAAGTCCACTCGAGAGCTCCTTCTTCCTGTCCCAAACATCTCTCCGAATCCGTCGCTCGCGCTTCTCGGCGCCGTCTACGTGCTTCCGCCTCTGATCATCGTCTTCTTGATTGTCCTGCGTTACGTCTTCTGCCTCAACCTGCTGCAGCGCTTCAAAATTGTGTCCGTCGAGGAGAAGATCCACCAAAGGTCCGCTGAAATTAGTCTGTTCGGTCTGATATTTCGCAACTTCCGGTCTTTTTTTGGTTTGTTTGAAAATCAGGAGGATTTTATGGGGAAATATCATGATATTCTAGCTTTTTTTTATACTCTGAACTTTTTCAATAAATTCATGGCGGGATCCGGCATTTTCTCAATTTTTTTTTTTGCATAGAGTAAGACATTTTTTTTTCAAAACAACTCTTAAGATAAATTCTTCATATTACTGGCGGAAGATTTCAACACTCATTATTTACTTTTTCAAATTTGTGCTCTTAATTCACAAAGAACAGAATTTCTGAAAAAAAATTCAGATGTTAAAAGTCACAAAGTAGCAGAATGACGCAATAATACACCCAAACACACTCAAACGCGCAAAATTTGATTCGAAAAATTAATTCTGGTGAATCCGTTCTTTTCATAAACTTTTTTTAAAAAGATTTTTCGTGTTTTTCTAAAAATTGAGAATGGGCATTTTTGCCGTAAAGTTTTCCTCAAGCGCAAATAGTATTGAACCTCTTGTTTATTCGTTTGTCATTTTTTTAATTTTTGTTTTTTTAATCAACAACACAGTGAGTTTATTAAAAAAATAACTTTGTTTAATAATATTTTTTTAATTTATTAACAGAATAAAAAAACCATTTCATTTGATCTCGAATTGACTTTTTTTGAAGTTTTTTTAGAGATTTTCATGAGCTTTTTATTACATATATGTCAAAAAAACGTGGTGTATGCATATTTTTTTTGGAAAAATCTGGTCAAAAATTTGAGATCCTTTGAGAAATCTGACGATAGTTTTTCATTTGTCTTTTTTTCATATAGTTTTTTTCTTATGTCCGAAAATTTTCAGTCGTCGTCAAAATTCGTCGACGACGACGACGACGCGAACCAGCCCACTCGATGGAAGTGATTGTACCAGCGAATCGAGTCAGATTTCCATCCAGAAAGATAGGTTCGTTCTAGTTTTCTTCCAATAATTTTTGATTTTTATTTCCTTTTTCCTGTCAGTTTTTTACTTCATTCCTGTGACAATTTCGTAATATTGATGACCAAAATGTGACCAGTTCTCAAGATTTGTCTAGCGCGGGCGCCGTGTGGATACTTCAAAGCTGATTCACGCGTTTTTTGAGCCGTCGGTTCACGTTTGTACTGGACGAGCACTGTTGTACGATCGTTTATCTCCTACTTTATAGATATTTTTTTCAAAAAAATTTGAAAGGTTTTTTTCTAAACTCTTGTAGATTTTTTTAAAAGGCGCAGAAGTTTTATATGACCGAAAAATTAATAAAGACAAAAAAATAGGAACTTTTTTTGCAAAGTATTTTTATGAATTTTTGTACATTTTTCCTACAAAATTACAGTAAGTTTTCAGGAACAGAATTTTTTTGATAGCAAGCTTCGAAATCTGAAAAAAGTAGGCTTACAATTTTTTCACAAAATATTCAAGCCCCAGAATCTTTTAATTCATTAACACATGTTTCTACGGTACGTAGGTGGTCAATAATAACTTTTTTTTAGAATTGAGACTGAAAATAAATGAAAAAGGCAATAAATTCGTATAAATCATTCATCAGTGGCTTTTAGCAATCAAAAAAAATCTTTCAACACCATAGAAGAATAATTTTTCTAGAGATAGAGGGTCAAACGTCTTTTTAAAACAAGCTGTGAATAAAGAGTTTAAAGAAACAAAAAAAAAGAAGTCCGAGTGGTCCTCAGCTGATCCTCATGATGTAGTAATGACGAACATCGGGAAAGAAATCCGATCTTGAAGAAGAGGCGTTTGAGACAAAAGTTCTTCTGGAAACGTTTTTCCCCAGCCACACGTAGGTTGTCCACTCCGGAAACGCGTTTCAAGCGGAAAAGGGTGCTAAAAAGGGGCGGAGTCGGTGGGGCAGTCGCCGGATCGCGGGTGGCGGGCACGTCGAGAACCGTTTGGTGACACTTCCACTCGGCTCGACCAAATTATTCAAGAAATATTCAACTTGAAGTTTTCACTGGTAGAAATGTTCATTTTTGACTAATTCTGCCGATTCCACTCATCCTACGATGGCTGATTATTCGTTGACTCAGATTTTTGAAAAGGAAAAAAAGTTGGTTTTTTTTATTTAGAAAGTTGAGGACTTTTCTTGAAACCTTATCTTTGGAAACCAAATTTTTCTGAGCTTTTTTGGCATATTTTTCGCATTCCTTGATTTACTTTTTCAACAGTTCATCGCGTAAAATGTCATTTTTTTATATGAATTTATCTTCTTTAAACAATATTTTATTGCACTTTCATTTGGTATCACTCGTTCCAGAATTGATAGCAGCAAAATTGACTGTTTCTTTGAAAATTTATTCCCACTCCTTCTGGCTTTTAACTTGTAATTATTCTTTTTTTATTCCTTACTTTTCTACCGAGCTTTTTTTATTTCTTTTTACGTGAAATAGTTTTAAAGGAACTGAGACAAACTGTATAAAAGTCTCAAGGCGTAGAGCCATTTTTAAGGATATTTTGATGCCATTCTTCCGGAGAACCTCAGAATCGAATTTAAAATAGAATTTCAAGGTAAATAACTGTTTCATTGCATTTAATTCATTTTTTAATTCTGATCCTTTTTTTTCTACAAAAACTAGAGAGTTGCTAGGCAGCATTTCATTTTCTTCTTAGTATCGACTTTCTCTGTCCTTTATTCAGTCCTTTTTGAACGCACTCGCTATTGAACCGTATATTTTTCTGTGGGCAACCTAAAAACCGCAAATAACGGACAATGCGCCGGGGGCGAACCAGGCCGGTTACAATGGCCGTTTACACGGACTTTTGTTCTTTTTTCACAAGCTTTTTGAAAGAAAATCGAATTATGAAGTGTGAAATCTGCTGTAGTTTTCACAGTGTGTAAGAAGTTGAGAAAAAAAAAAACCCCTGGTTTTACAATTTTTTTGTGAAGTTACAGTCTTATCTCTTATCTCTTATCTCTTATTTTTTCAAAAAAATCGATAGATCTTCAGGCTAATGAAAAAAAGAAAAAGAAAATAATCACGTCAGGCCATTTGCTCGAACCTCTTCTAAAAAAATTTAGCTCCCCACCTTCCGGCTTCGAATTCGCTATAAAGGTGTGAATACCTTTCAATTTTTGATAAATCTGGTAGCCCGAAAACTGAGATTAACGATAAAAATCTACCATAGTTTAGGTTTTCTTTGATTTCTTTATTTTTACCCTCGAGAAAATTTTGAATTTTCGTTCTTTGGTCAGAAGCTTTTTTAGCCAGAGATTCTGTACAGAGATTACGGTTTTTGTAGTTTTGTGAGGAGTTCGAAAAATTCAACTTGAAAAATCAATAGAAATATCACCACTTGGAATTTCTATAAATTGACGACTACTCACAATTTTTTTCAACTTACTGTTTCTGTAGTGAAATTTTTGTGCAGGGTTTCATTTTTTTTTTGTTTTGTCGTCGGAGCATGATTCAAATTTTCACTGTTGAGGATCTTTCAAAAAAATCCGCAATCTTTTTGAATATTTTCTCCATTTTTTTAAATTTTCGCCAAATTCAATTTTTTTCATTAGGTTTCCTTATACAGAAAAAAATTTTTATTTTGGGTTTTTGCTTTTTGGGATGTCGCAAACAAATCGGCGAATCTCTTATTGCCGAGTTTTTTTCTTCTTTCATGCTGCTCGCCGCCGTCGCAGCAACAAACAACAAGCACTCAAAAACTCGCGCGGGCCATCTTTTTTCGCGATTTTTCCTTCTGTGGCTTTCCAGCAATTTTTAGAAGGCTTTGCTTTTTTCAAGTGTTTTTGGAAGAAAAAGAGGAAGAACACTTGGCCCGGGGCAGGAGGAAGTTTTTGGAGAATTTTTTGGGCGAAATATTTTGAAGTTATCGAATGGAGTTCAAGATATGTTTCTTCAAGAAGTATCACAGTCAGAGAAAAAAATTACTTTCAAAAAAAGAACTTTTTGAAGAAATAGCCTTTTATAAGATTTTTTTTTTCAGAAATAAAATTTTTTTTAGTTGACTAACTCTACAGAACTGTTCGTATTATTTTGCTTATTAAGTCTTTTTTTTTGTCACCTGAAAAGTTTTTTTGAGTCAAGTTTTTAGAAAAGGAGAAAATTCATTCTGACTCTGAAACTGCAAATTTTTTTTCTGTTTCTGAACTTTCCATTTGTTCAATTACTGATCGATTTCTAGTTTTTGAAGACTTCCCTGATAAAAAAGGCTTCTTAGAGAGTTTCTGAAATTTTAGTAGGTGCAAAAAGCTTTTTGGAAAAGCTGTTCCCACAATTTTTTTGGATGTCGCCCTGAGCAGAAGTTTGAATTTCGATGTTCTGCGAGAGCAGTCTTTTCCTTTTTCTGCAAGACTTTTTCGAGAAATGAACTAGTCATAAGTGGTCGGTATCGTCATCCAACGTGTTTCAACAACTGTTTGCTCTGCCAACTTACAACTAAAAACGACACTTGAAGAATCATTTTTTGTGGCAAACTTTGGCGCGAGAGTGGCTAATCCTCTCGTGTGCCAACGAGGAGACCAGACGGCCGCCGAAAATCGGATCATTAGGAGAGGAAATGACCGCGAGAGAGAGCACGTCCGCACTGTTTGTACTGCTTTTTGACACATCCGATCGTCCATCGTTGACTAAAAAAAACTGGAAAACCGGATGCCGGACGTTTTCCGCGTTGAGATCCCCTGAGGAAGCGTTTTTCTCCGTGTAGCTCTTGTGGCGAGAATCATCTCTCGAGTGGAAACAGTTGTATCATTGCAAATATATAAAAGCTTCGTCTTTTCTGAGTTAATATTCAAATTTCGTGCCATAATAAAGGCAGTGGAGATAATAATTTTTTGCTCACACAAACTTTTCTTAAAAAAGTTTAGGTTAAAGTAAGTTAAGCTAAATCTGGTCTTTGGTTCTCAAACAAATTTTCTTTGATTTTCTTTCAGTTGAAGCAAGACTTACTAGTTGATAAAATGAAGTTTGAGGACAAAATCTTCAAAAAAAGCATTTTTTTAGAAAGTGTATTCAAATTTTTAAATTCATGATAATCTTCATGTAAGCTAGTAAGCTGATAAATTTCACCGAAATAAAAAAATCAATATTTTTTACGAAATGAGCAGGCTTTTTTTTGGTCAAGGCTTTCAAACTTTTTTTTTTCATATAACTCTTCTTTTTTTAACCTTCTATGATGGTAATAAGGAACTGAACATTTTCAGCGAACAGTGAGATGGAAAAAAGGTCTCAAAGATCCCCAATGAAAAGGAACTAGGGAACAATGACGTTTTCGATTCAGTTTGATTTTTTTCTCGCTGATGTTGACCTTTTTTCTTCCTTTGGCTTGATATTATGGAAAAGAGGTGACAATTATAGTTCTAATATTGATCAAAAAAACAATTTCTGAATTTTGCAAGGTTTCTATAGTCTTTTATCCTTAGTTTAACCCCGTGAGAAAATTTTTTTATTTATGAAAAAAATTTTCAAAACAAATTTAGGTGTTTGAGGGTATACAGAAAATGTAGAATCATCAAGTCTTGTAGAAACTATTTTCTTGAAGATGAATAATTTAGAGGAACTTTACGGTTGTTTTGCAGGAACTCACGACTAGCCGCCGTGTTCGCTGCCTTGTTCATCCTCACACTTCTCGTCTCGATTTCTTTCATCACAATCGTCGCCATCCTCAGCGACGGCTTCACCACCCTCATTTCTGGCACTTACCTCCGAAAAAAGAAGATAATTTGGGATTGATCTAGGAAATGAATCATGTGCGGATGGAGAAGACACGAGCGAACCGCGACCGACGCAAAACTTCGTCGGAGACGACTCGATTTGCCTCACTCCCGATTGTATACGTTTAGGTATCCTACTGGAAAGTTTAACGAAAAACTCAGTTTTATTCCCGTATTTTGTGAAGAGAAGTTCTTGAAGAAGTGAAAGAAGATAAAACTTGTAGATGACCCATGGTTTTCAGCTGCAAACTACTTGAACAACATGAACCGCGACGTCAGCCCCTGCAACAACTTCTACGAGTTCGCTTGCGGCCGATTCGCCTCCCAAAGGGTCGTCCCAGAGCACGAGAAGAAGGTGACCGTGCTGAGCGAGATGAAGAAGGACCTCGACAGACATCTTCGAGGTGAACTGTGTCGAAGGATGAAATCTAGAATCCGGGCTTACGACGGGGCAACCTGACCAGTTGAATTGAAAATGAGAAAAAAAATTAGGTACCCAATTCAATTTTTCGCAAAACTTTACAAGCGATATTTATCATTTTCGCAACGATTTTGTAAAATTATTTCAACTTCTCGGATTTTTCGACGATTGACTTGTTTTTTTAGTGCCATTTCTTGTCACCAGTTAGAAGTTTTCAGTGAAAGAAAGCTGAAATTCTCTCTTTGAAAAAATCCGCGATATTGTATTTTCTAGACCTGAAATTTCAGTGCAACTTGCAAAATTTTAAACAAATCTAAAAATTTTTTTCCGAATTTTGTGTACCTTTCTTCAGGACATAACTGATTTTTGAGACTTCTTTTCTGAATTTTCCTTCTCTTTTTCATTTTTTCCTTTAAATTTAAAACACTTTTAAAGCTGCATGTAATAGGCCGAAGCTCTTGGTTGATCATTTGAGCTTTTAGAAGTATAAGTTCTGATGAGGAATACCTACTAGCTTTTTCGGAAGAATAGCGGAGTTTTAATAGGACTCTTCAGATATTCTTGAACGGTCTTCAAGGGAAAACGCGACGCGGCCAATGAAACTGGCGCAGATCTACTTCGACTCCTGCATGGACGAGGACACCCAGAACGACTTGGTCATTATCGTTTGAAAAAGAAGGGAAACGAATGATCACGGTTTCAGAGCGTCCACCCGTTGATGGGCGTGATCTCGCACCTCGGCGGCTGGCCCCTACTAACCAACGCGCGATTCGACTCGGTCGACTTCAAATGGGAGGTCCTCGCCGGCCAGCTCGCCGTCCATGGCGTCGATGGCCTCGTCAAAATCTTCGTCCATTCCAGCTTCGACGACAGCGACAAGCACATGCTCATGGTTTTTGAAATAAAATTTCATCATCATGAATTTTGAGATATACGGATTTGTCAAAAACAGTTTTTTGAACTTTCTTGTACCTTATCCAGTTTTTTAGAATTTTTCTGTCGTTTTGTTAACTAAGTTTCTAACGAAATGTGAAGGATCGGTGTACACAAAAATACTTACCGTAATCTAGTTTTAATTCAGCGACAAATAATTCATAGCCTCAGTCTAATTCTACAAAAGCGAAAAAAAAGTTATAATAATTAAAAAAAGGAAATAGGGATTTTCATCTTTTTACTGGCCTTCATAGATAAGCCCGGAAGTATTTCAGTTCTCTCCTCCGAAACTGTTTTTGGAGAAGAAGAAGTATTATCGAGAAGCGCCGTCGTCCAATGTCTACCTTGGCTACTACAAACAGTATATTTTGTCGCTTCTCACTTTGCTGGGTTCGTTTTCGAAAAATCTTCAGCTTGGTTTCAGAAAAATTGAGATAATGTAGTGCGTTTGCATGTAGAAAAACTGAGCAGAAATGCGAAAAAATGAAAATAATCTTTAGAGTTAGAAGTTGTATTTTGTATTCGAGCTTTGAAGAAATGTAACAAGAACAAGAAATTTTTGAAAGGAGGCAAATATAACTTTCATGGTTCTCTTCCTCCACGCCACAGATCTGTCTGTGAGCGTAATAAACATTTCATTCATTCATTCAAGTAAAATACAGATCATGTATAAGTTTTTAAAATTTTAGGAGTAGACTCGGAAGACGACACAGGTGTGATTCAATATCAAGTCGACGACATTATCGATTTTGAACGCAGGATTTCAAATGTGAGTTTTAAATCATCCTAATTTCTTTCAAGTATCTGTTTCAGATGACCCGCATCGAAATGTCCCGCAATCACAGCGCCATCAACAACATGATACGTTACGGCGACTTCAGAAAGAAATACGATCAGGTTGGTAAAAAAAAGATTATTTCACAAAGCAAATACCAAGATAAAACTTCACAAAGCCACTGACAAATAAGAAAATGAAAACTAAACATTTATTTTTCAAAAACAAAAAAAAGAGTAAAAAGTTTCATCGAATTTGGGAATTTCCTTACTGCGTCGCTGTGTTTACGGACTTCACGCTTACAGTAACGCCAGCTAAAATCGCGACTTTGACTTCATTTTTACCCCATTTTTTCTCACTTTCTTCTTTAGAATGCATTTTTCCTCCTCTCAAATTTTGAAGAACCAAAAAAAAGAAGGTCGTGAATGAAAGAGCTGGAAAAACTGTGAAAGAAGGGGCCGGAAAGGCCGAGTATCAAATTTTGATTGACTTTTTTTCTAATTGTTTTGATTGATTATCATAAGACACATAGTAGTTAATCCGAAAACGGAAAAGAATAAAAGCAACTTTCAGGAATAAAAGTAGGAGGCTTGACCTACAAATGTTAAAAAAATTATCAAAAATCCTATCGTTTTCAAGTTTTTTCTTCAGATCAACTGGGATCTATTCTTTAATGAGGACTTACGTTCGCACCTGGGAGTCATTGAAGACGATTTGATGGTAAATGTCGTGGACACGGCTTATTTTGACGGCCTCACAGCTCTCATAAAATCTAAACCTATGAGGTTTTCGAAAAATTACGTTTCAATTCACAAAAGTTTGTCAGTTCGGTGAACAATTTCCTGATGTGGGCGCTCGTCAACGCATTCAATGGCTATCTCCCTCCAAGATTCCGCAAACCGTACCAAGAATTTCGCGAAAAGATGTACGGAATCACCTCCGAGGTCCGATAATGGTCATTTGCAACGAATATGATTTGGAATTGAAGACGCCCCTCTGGGAAACGTGTGTGGCGGAAGTCCGCGACAACCTCGCCATGCCTCTGTCGACCGCCTACGCCCACAAGTACTTCACCATGCAGGATAAACACAAAGTAGGCCGGTAGTTATTCTAAAAAAAGTCCACTAATGGGCTTAAAAAAATGAAAAATAATTTTATGTTTTATTTTCTTTTTTTTTTTATTTTAACTTAAATTCCGGGTCTAACAATGAAGACCCCTTGGCGGCTTAGAATTTTTGAAAATTCGATCAAAAGTCTTCTGGAGGGATATATGAAGATCCCTCACAGTCGCTTCGGGTTTTCGGAGATTTGAAGTTTCAAGGTTGCGAGTTATGATTTTGAAGCCTAATTTTTTAACTCTTGAACATATTTATCTCAAAAAATAGAAGTTTTCGCAGGTAGCGACTTTTTTCCATAGACATTTGAAGAGTGTTTGAGCAAAGTTCCAGAAAACTCCAAACCGAAAAATATTCCCGTTTAAGGTTATTTTTTTATAACTTTTCTTAAATTCTTCATTCGTACGCATTTTTTTTTACGATTTCAAAGACTAGAATTGATTTTGAATGAGTTAAATGAAAACCTACGAGCACCCTATAGTTTCCATATTTACTGTTTCAAAAATGAATTAAACGACTTTTTTGAGTTAGTGAAAACTGATAATAACAGTATAAAAAAAGATGAACACAGAAAAAAAAATTGCTGCTTTACGTAGTACTTTTTGTTTTATATGATCTGACCATGAATTCATCTCTCTGACTAACTCGGTTTTTATTGAAATTAGATGATCCCTATCAGTTCATTGAGACGCATCTCCAGGCAGAAGAAATGATCGTGGACCTGAAAAAGTCGATGGAGCAGACTTTGCTCAACGCAGATTGGATCGATGAAGCGACGCGGGAAGCGGCTCTTATCAAACTCGACGTCATGGGCCACAAGATTGGGTACAAAGAACGAAAGAAAGTTGGAACAAGAACCAAGAAAAATTCAGATTTCCCAACTCCCTGCTCAACGAGACGGCCGTTTTATTGCCATTTGCAGGAGTCCGACTCACCGCCAATCAGTATTTTGATAATGCCGTTTCTCTCAAGAAAACGGCTGTCAGGTGATTCGAAGTCTTGGAAGTAGGATATGGATTTTTTCCATATGGGCCTTGGTGCACTTGATCCGTTTTAAAATGAGATTTTCGATCTGATTTCAATGTTAATCATTATAAATAATCAGACCAAATGAACTGACAAATTTTCAGGTCATTCGAAGAAAATTGAGAAATTTTTTTCACCATTAATTAGAAAAAAGTGTTCTGAACTTTGAATTTTCAGCCTTGATTGCGAATTTTCAAAAAGTGAAAAAATTCGTTTTTCTAGGCTCCAGTTGATTTTAGTATTTTCACCCTCCCAGGCCGTGGATAACAAACTGCCAATGTATTTATTTCACAATAGGTTCAAAAAGCTTTTTGAAGAAGTTAGAGCTTTTAGCGGCTTTCAAAGCCATCCAGATAGCTCGAGGGATGCGAAAGTGATAGAAGTGGCCCACTCAGCGTATGAACTTTGTTGATTTCCAGAGAAGTGCTGTCCAAATTGCACCGATCCCCGTCAACGGTTGATTGGGCCTCGCCGGTTATAGCCGTTGATGCCTTCCATTACTTTACTGGCAATGAAATAAGTGAGAAATTCTTATGATTCCTAACAGATAAAGGGGCTCTGAAACATATTTCCAGCGTTTATGTTCTTTCTTAATCGAAATATTGTTTTGAAATAGATTTTTCAGACCGAAAAGAAGTCATAATTTTCGAACCTTTAAGGAGTTTTGGAACAGCTTAACTTTTCTGAATTTTTATATTTTTTTTCTTTTGGATTGTGATCAAAAGATAAACTTTAGCTTTTGGAAGAAAAAGCCTCAAAAATGATTTAACGGGTTTAGGGAAGTTTGCTCCACTGACAATTTACAGTAGCTTCGAATAATAGCCTCCATTTTTTTTCACGATTTTTTCGAGCTTTTTCTGCATTAAGCTCGGTGCTGTCATGATTTGTCCGTTCGCTTCAGAGTTGAAGAAAGAAAAAAAAAACAAATTTTTTCAGTTTTCCCAGCTGGAATCTTGCAATTTCCGATGTTTGTCCCTGACGCGCCGTCTTATGCTAACTATGGGGCTATTGGAATGGGAATCGGCCATGAAATCACTCATGGCTATGACGATCTTGGTATCGAATCGAGTTAAAATACCCAAGAAAGTCATTCTCAGGAGCTCAATACGATGACAAGGGGAATCTGCGCGGCTGGTGGCACACGGAGACGATGACGACGTTCCAGAAGAAGAAGCAGTGCTTCGTGGCTCAGTACGGCAGCAAGGCCGAGCCGGTCACCGGGAGGAAAGTCGACGGAAGGCTCACGATCGGGGAGAACATCGCCGACAATGGGGGCCTCCGAGTGGCTTATCAAGTCGAGGATATGGACTTTTCCAAGATTATTTAGATACTTTTAGGCTTATCAAATGCGGCTGGCGAGAGCGGAAGAGTCCACGAAGCTGCCCGGCTTGTCCGACTTCACTCAACAGCAACTTTTCTTCCTCGCCTATGCTAATGTAGGTTTCAGCGGGAGGATATGAATGTGAAAATCATAATCAATGCTCGATTAATAGTACTTGTACAGAACTTTTTTTTCAAGAAATTCCATCCAGAAAATCTACACTAAAGTTATATAGTCTGTTCAGATTTTGAATGTCAAGTCGTGCTCAAGCTCCACCCATAATGGTGCGATAAACAAATCAGAGAACGAGCCATCCACAGAGTGATTTGAATGAAGTCATTGCACTTGACATTGAAAATCGGAACAGACTATAACTTGAAACCTAAAGAACCGAAAAAATAAGAAAATGGCAGCTTCTGATTTCAATTTAGTGTCCCAAGCGTAGTCTATTCAAACGATTTTATTTCTCAAAATAGTTCGAGTTGAAATAATTGAGAATAAATGGCTCAATGCAAAGACCTTATTGGAAAAAGAAATCTAGAAAATCTAAAAATTAGTTATAGCTTGAGACCCCAAGACAGAAGCTACTGCTTTCTATGTAGAATTGGAAGTCTATTCCATCAAATGTTTCTCAACCTCTGATCCAACGATAATTTAATTCTGAAGACGTGGTGCGAGGCGCTGAAGCCGACGGCGATCGAGTACGTCATGGACACGGACGTGCACGCCCTGGGGATGTTCCGAGTGAACGTCCCGCTCCAGAATCTGCCCGCCTTCTCCAAAGAGTTCGACTGTCCCATCGGCTCCCCCATGAATCCCTTTGAGAAGTGCCGCATCTGGTAGTTCTGTTCTACCTCAAAATAATTTTGTTCTCCCAGACTTTTTGTAGTTTTTTCTTGTTGATTTGGATGTTCTCAGACCCCTCTAGGCTTGTTCGATTGGTTGCTTTTTCACAGTTCGTTTCACCCCATGACGTCATCCGCCATATTTGTACCTGCTGGAGAAATCTATTTGTTTGCCACGATCTCGCGATATAACTTTCTTTTTTTTCCTCGTTTCAGAACTTATTGTATACAACAACGAATCTTCGGGTATTATAACGCTTAGAAATAAAGATATTTTCACCTATTTTTCCACAAGAAAATACTTTGGAAAGGCTCAATTTCATAGAAATTGAAAAATGTTTTCCAGGAAAGCTTTTTGATATGTCTCGTCTTTTCCGCGGCATTTTTCTTGATCGTTTTCAGTTTTCACAACATAACGAAGGAATCTGGGAACGTTGAAAGCTTCCGGCCTCTTTGACACGAAAAAAATAAAGTGGTTTTCTTTTTTTTCTTTTTACAAAACTATATTTTTTTCATGTTAAATTTGATGAAGACGGAATTTTTTTCAAAAATTTCTTTTTAAAAACAAATAACGACCAAAGAATTATTGTGTTGATTGAATCGGTTAATTATCTTACTCGTAGATTTTGAGAAACTGGAAATTCAAATTCAAGAATTGATGAAAATTGATTTATTACAAAACAGATCTACCTAAGCTCTCATCATAAATCAAAAAAATCTCGAAAAAGGATTTCTAAACTTTGAGTTCCTGTCAAAATTAGACTTAAAGAAACACAATTTAATCTATTTCACGAATTTCACCGACTGTTTCAAAAGCACCACAGTTAATAAGAAACCATTTGAAAATCTGAAAATCATTGAAACCAAGGATATATGAGAAAAAAAAAGTTGGAAAATGGAAGATAAAAACTTAAATAATCTATTTTTGTGTGAAAAATCAAAACTTTTTCGACTTTTTTTTTTCCATTCTGGCTCAAATTTTCAGAAATGATCAACTATTAAACTTTCTAGAATCTGAATTTTTTGTTCCGAAAAGCCGGCTGTGATGGAAAACTGATTTCAAACTCGGTTTTTGTGAAATTAATTGGAAGAAGCTCTGAAACTTCTCTAAAAACCCATTTTTCGTAAAATTCTCTTAAGCTCCTGTCACGATTTTCTTCCAAACTGGCTCCTTTAAAGGAAGTTTTGACAATAAATACTTATAAACATTTATTTTTCTCCTTGAAAAATCGCTTGTGTTAGATTAACCAAGCTTCCTCAATCTGTTTTTTCAATTTTTTGAAATTTCAAACGGAGAAGCTTTATTCCCCTTCAAGGAGGGGTCCAAAACTGACTGAAAATGTTCCTGTAAATAGTCGGATAACGTTAAAATCGCAATGAAAAGCTCTACAAGAAACTGTTTTCTTTTGAAACGCCGTTTTTACTGCCCCTAAGCTTTTAAGCCTTAATTTAAGGTAGCTTAGCTCGAATGACTTTCCCAATTTTATGAAAATTACCTAAATTTTACCAAACCTTCTTTCGGCATGTGTTCATTTGTCTGTATCAATACCGAGAATCAGCGATTTGTCGGATATAACCGTCGATTTCGTTGAAAACCTCGGGAGCTGATGGAAAGCCCACGCGATCTATTCTCGACGACGTGCGCAGGCGTGAAAAGTGTTGCCAAAGAGTCGGCGCCGCCCCTCGGACGGGTCGGCGACTTTCTCGGCCCTTTCAGTCTTCGTCGACGATCGGCGGCTTGTCGTTCGACGGTCCATAATCCGATTTTGGCTGCCGTCGTCGCCCAGATGATGCCATCCAAGCCGTACAATGGCTTCCGCCTTTTGTGCCCTCCGCCGCTTTTCCAATTTCACTTTTTCAACCCCTTCTAATCTCTGTTTCGAACATCACACCTACTGTCACTTTTATTTCATCTTACCTTCACGTTAGGGTTACCTAATGTCACAATTTTTCATATTTTTCCGTTGTTTTTCGAAATTAACTGATCGATGGTATCAACTTTGGGATAAGATCGCACTCTTAAGCTACTTTTTCTTATTGGCGCCAATTAAATTTCAAAAAAAGGCCTGTTGAAACATGTTTGATGACTCAGATTTTCTAAATTACCTAAAAATAACTTTATAAAAAAATGTCGAAATTTTTCATGGATGTTTTTTTCATGCTTCTTTAAAGACCCAGTGAAGTAATATAGAACAAAATATTGAATATTCTTTTTTTCTTTATGATCAAAGAAATTTTATCCGAAAAGCGCTTTTAACAGCGTCCGCATTAAATTTTTTTCAAAAATTAAAAAAATTTTATCAATTTTTTTACAGCTAAAAAAAGTTCGATTAAACTCGTGGAACTTCGAAAAATCTTCAAGGAAACTTTTTTTCTGAAAAACTTAAATTTGAAACGACTTATTGTTATTATTATAGGTACTCATCTAAATATTTTAGGACTATGAGAAACTTTATTCTATTTATTATCAAGTTGCACCTTTAAAAAAATCCCTCCGATTTTTTTCTTGGAACTCCTGAAATTTTCAGGTCTTCCAAAAATAATTCAAAAAAATTCAAAGATTTTTTTTCAAAAAATTTTTTTCTGGTGGTTTTGAAAAATTTCTTAGAAATATAATTTTTTTGGTAAAAAGTCTTGAAAAAAAGTCAACATTTTCTGTTTTAAATTCTCTGTTTTGAAAGGAAGTTTTTTTATTAATTTTATATCCTAATGAAAAAAATATGCTATCCGAATAAGATCGAACTTTCCAACCGTTCCCCACTGACCTTTTACTCCCTTCTTTCGACCAACCTTATCACTTTCAGAAGATGCGCGAGCTTCTACGAGCGCTGGTCTTTCTCGCCTTGGCAACGAGCTACGGTGAGACCTTTTCTGAATTCCTCAACTATTTTCTCGAACTTCCGACTCTGACCCACCATTGTGTCATCTTTGGAGTGTTTCTCGAGGCGAAAGTTGGCCTATTCATTGGTTGTCCACGGACTTTCTCATAATTGCCGCGACTTCCTTCCTCATTCGCTTGTTGAAATCCAAACTGAACAGGGAAATGTGCCCCTTTACAACCATTTTATCTGTTCAGCTTCTGCCCAATGTGTGGACCAGGATCCCAAATGTCCGTTTTGGGCGTCTCGTCGCGAATGTGAGATCAATCCCAGATGGATGCGCTTCAACTGCATGGTCTCTTGCGGGGTATCCATTACCTGGAATATTCGAATAGAAATCTTTATCAATTTTCCAGACCTGCAATCAGTTTATGAGGCCTGCTCCACCCCCGCTTCCGGCTCCGTTCAGAACACAGCCTCAGCTGCAGCAACCTCCGCAGACTCAAATTCAGCCTACCTGTTAGTGAAAATAGTTAAAAACTAATTCCGGAAAGGCGAAAATTGTCTTCTTATAGAAAAATGAACAAGAAACGAAAAAAAGAAGAAAACAAAAACAGCTCTTTTAACAATATTTATTGTAAATTTTATATAGATCTTAGCTGCCGTAATCAACACGATTATGAAAAAGAAAACCAAAAAAAAAGAAGAAAAAATATGCCCAAACTATTTTTTTGCGCGTCGAGTGTCGTGTCGTGGCCGCGATATTGCGTCGTTCTTAGACAATGTAAATTTTAATCGAAAAAAATTTTTAATTTTTTTCATCGCATTTTTTAAAGTAACTCATTCATTTTTTTAAGTGCGATCCTTCGATGACCCAGTGCCCGTACCAGTCAGACCTTCGACTATTCCCGAAGGATGCAACTCGGTGATGAGCATTGAAGGTTTAATATTCATTTAAAGGTTTTTTGAAAAAATGAAGTTCAGTGGAAACGCGACAAGTTTTTGCTCTCAGCCAAGTTCAGGCTCGTTCTCAACAGCGAGGCTGTGCTGAGCAGCAAGTTGCGGGAGACTGTTCCATTAACATGTGTTACCACAAGAAATACCGCTCCATCGATGGAACTTGCAACAATTTCGCGAGACCAACTGGGGTTCGTTGTTATATCTTTTCAGGAGAAATGTTTTTATCAAATTTTTCGTTGTTTCGTTTGTTTTGACAGATTGATTTGTTCTTCGAGGATAAAAAGGCGGAATTCAAAATACTTTTTGCAAATGATCGACTTCGGTGCCTTTCAATGAATCCTGGAAGCCTTTTTTTGATAGACGATATGTCTGAAAGCTTTTTAGAAAACATTTATTGAGAGCTTAAGGTAAAAGTTCTTTGCAGAGTGCCATGAACGCAAAAAAAAAAATGAAATACCAATAACAAAGATGCTTCTGATAAGGCCTCTTCATATCATTCCTTTAAAATTCATCAATTCTTAGGTTTTATCAAATTATAGAAAAAAATTAAAAAAAGATATGGATTGCATCCTGTGATAAATTTCAGCTAGAACTCTTTGATATGAACCATTTTTGAATCTCGTTTCGATTTATTTCAATTCTTTCATGAATTTTAGTAGGGGTTTTTGAACAAAATTGAATGAAATTTGAGAATTTCTTCTGGAAATTGAAAAAAATGCATTTTTTTCATCTTTTTTTAAGTTTTGAGGGAGCCGCTTTCACTCCATTTTCTCGACTTTTTGCCCTCGGCCTACGACGACGGCTTCAACGCTGTTGTTTGTAAGAATATAAAACTTCAAATAATTGCTTTAAATCATATTTACAGCTAGCATCAGCCGCCGAAGACCGAACCCGCGAGAAATTTCCCATTTCCTGATCACTTCAGGGGTTTCTCTGCCCACTCACGCCAACTCGATGCTCATGGCTTTTGGACAGGTTCTCTCGATTTCTGACTCACTTTTGAGCTTTTTTGAGTTCGGCGCGAAAAAAAAAATCATTCATGACAGTTTTATTAGAGTTATTTTTTGGAGTACTGTTCATGTGCCTTTAAATTTGATATAAACACAGCAGACTGCCCCTTAAAAACTGAAACTTGCATTATTGTGCCCAAAACTACCTGAGGTTCAAACTTGATTTTTTTTCTAGTTTTCCAAAATTTTTGTGAGCCGGGGCTGCACGAGTTCTGGACTTGCCCAACTATGCCACGAAATTAGACTTCACAATGAAAAATAAAATAAATTCTTCAGTTCCTCTCGCACGACATAACCTCGAACCAAGTCGTCGGAAGCTGTTCCTGCAACCGCGGAGGTCCCCTCTGCGCCAGCATCGTCGACAACAAACAGTTGGTGAAGGAAATAAAACTGATTTCTATGGACCTTGCATTTTTGTCCGTAGAGTTTCCGTTCAGACTACATAGATAGAAAAAGAATGAAACTTTTAAAAAATACGTTTCTAGCAGTTTTAAAATGTTTTCCTTGCTATGAGAGTTGTTCGCCTCTTCATTTCCAGTGAAATACTGCATGCTCTTTTCATGAACATTTCAAGATCATTCGTTCTTTTAAAATCAATACATATATTGACTTTTCATCCATAACCAGTTGAGTTTTCTGAAAAAGGTCTTCTTCGGAAATAGGAACTTCTATTTTGTCTAGCAAGAACGTAATCATGTTTCCAGCAAGTTATAAAAGTTTATTCAAGAAATTTTCGAAGATTCTTGCGATTCATATTTGAAAATAAGATGAGACTGTCTGAATCTCTACCATTCACAAGCTATTTTTTGATCGTGTCAAGACCCTTTTTTTTTGATTTCTGGAATACTTGCTCAAGCTAGATGGGCAAAGTATAGGAATATAAAAAAGAAGCTTTCAAAAAATTGCCTTTTTTGGCGCCTTTCTGTGACTTCTCATCGGTAAAATTCTTTCTAAGAAGATGAAAACTTGTTAAAAAAAGAAATTTGTTATTAGTTACAGAAAATAAGGAATGGAAAGGCGGTGAAAAGGTATTTCTCCTGAATAGGTGAGAAAAAGTAGCTCAGAAGAACTTTTCAGGAACTTCAAAAGGGGTTTTTTCGTTGTAAGGGGTCCTAGTAAGCCACTCGGACTTTGCTCGTGAATTATTTCTTCATTTTTGAAAAAAAATGTCCAAATTTTCTCGTTTCACAATAAAAGTCCAAACGAACTCAAAAAGGCCTTCAAATGGATAGCCTATTGCTCATTTTTGAGTTCCTAGAAAGGTGTCCCAAGTTTCTCGAGATCTCCTTTATTCACCTTTTTTCCGCCTTTTTTTTTCACCTCCTTAAAAGGCCATTTTCAGTAATAAGGTCTAGAATAAAAGACGCCTTTGAGGTTTTCTGTTAGAGGCCTTATTTCCAAAACTCCTTTTTGAGACGTTTTGGACTTTGCCCGTTTTTGCAGAGGACGTTGCTTCCCGTTCATCCGGGCGATGCCTGTCTGCGGAACGGGAGTTCATGGAAGAGCTCGTGAACAACTCAACGAGAATACGGCCTTCATCGACGCCAGCATGGTCAGCAGCCCTTCGGAAAAAATAAAACGATACTTTTTCGTTCAGATCTACGGATCCGAAGCCATCACCAGCAGGTCGCTCCGATTCGGCGCCATGCTCAGGACCAATGTACGTTTTCTTCCATTCAGTTTTTGTACCTTTCCTTGAATCATTTCTGGCTTATACATGTAAGAGAACTTATTAAGAACTATCTTTTTATTGATTCGATTAGTGAAGACGTTTAAGGAAAAACTAGGAAAATTTTCGAGCCAATGCTTTTGAAAAAATCTGGCCTAGAAGAAAAATATAAAAGATAAAAAAATGCCGTCGAAAGTTGTCGAAAGTAAAAAACAAAGTCATTTAAATTTTAAAAAAAATAGAAAAAGGTTTCTTGGACTAGTCGCTGTAGTGTACAGGCCTGGTTGAAAAAATGCACTGTCTTTTCCCCAGATCGTGAACGGAAGAGCCTTCCCGCCGGTGCGACGCCAAGGACGCGACACCGTATTTTCAGCCGGAGACAATCGTTCCAATCTTTTTGTTGGACTCGCCGCTCTCCACGCCTCCTTCTTGCGGCTCCACAACAAGTTTCTCTTGAAATTCAGCCTTTTTCTTCATAAATTACTGAAATCAGCATCGCCGCCCGTCTGCAGAACATGAACCGCCACTGGAACCAGGACCGCATTTTCCAGGAAAGTCGCAAAATCGTCGGATCTGTTGTTCAGGTGAATTTTTGAATCAAGTAAGGTCATTGGGGTGGGGAATTTTTTGAAACTTGACTCCTCGATTTACAAAAAGACAGATCGGGAAAGTCAAAAACTATAAAACATCCTATTTTTCAAGAAAACAAAGGTCTAATGCCCCAAAAAAGCTTATTTCAACAGTTTCTCATGATTTTCTTCAGAATTGAGCTGTGTGTTCTTGAAAACTTTGTATAGGTTAAATTTATTAGAAGCTTTTTTTTGGCTAATCAAAAGCCTTCGAGATTATTTTCACATATTTCCATACAGTAAATGACCTTCCTTGTCATTTTTCAAAAATCCATATTTTTATTCCTTCAGAGCATCACCTACCAAGAGTTCCTCCCAACGATGATCGGCCCATTTTTCCAGCGTCTGGTTACTCCCTACGATGGGTCAGACTTTCATTTTTTTTAAACCTGGAAATATCTATTTTTCCAGCTACAAACCCAACGTCAACCCTTCCATCATCAATGAGTTCGCTTCAGGAGCTTACCGACTTCATGGACTGATCCAGGTAGATCTAGAAGGAGAAATATATGCATTTTCGCTCCAATGATAACTTGGTTGAGCGAATATTTTGAAATAGGTTAACTCGGATTTTTGTAAAGCAAACCGAACGCGCCCCGGTCGTTTAGGGATTGCTTGAGAGTGTTGACGCCACTTAAGGGACCACTAGAGCTGCTAAAAAAAAAGATTATGAGAAAAACCCTGTAGAAAGTAATAAACGAATTTAAAAAATGTGAACCCATGTACAACTTCTCTATTACAGGACTTGCTTGGAAAATTTTTTCAGCTGTTTTTGATATTTTTTTGTATGAGATTTTCTCAATGCCTCTTTTCTACTATTTTTACGTTATTCTGTTATTTGTATCCTAAGTCCTTCAAAATCACAAGCTACAGGAAAAATATCCATTCGTCAACGCCAACTTCCAACCCGTCGGAGAATATCGATTGCTCGACTCGATCAGCAACTTTGAGAGCATCCTTTCCAACATTGACAATGTCTATCGGTCAGAGAGTCTTCCTCTGTTTGAAAGTCCCTACTTCTCTTCAGAGGACTCATCTCGACGTCTTCGAGAAGCCCGCAGCGCATGACGACGACCGTCACGGAGAACATTTTCAACGGCGACATGGCCACGACCAACATCCAACGAGGACGTGACCACGGATTGCGGTAAGAAAGAGATTGAAGCTAAAAAATGAAGCTCGTAAATTGAGCTTAAGCAAAGGAGTTAACAAAAATTTGAACAGTTGAAATACTGAACTTGAGTCGTATCAATCCAACTCGCCGTAACTTGAGGCTTTCTGACTTGTCTGTGCTCTCTCTCCTCTTATTGTCTCTTCCTTTATTTCGGACTGTCTTCATTTTTGTATGGCCAAACTATTTTGAAAAATCGAAGCGTCAATTTTTTGTTTCATATAGCCCAAAAACAGCCACCGAGCGTTCAACGAGAAATTTTAGAACTTTGACAGAAAATTCTAAAAACTGCTCTTTTCGTCAAAATAAGAGAAAAACCCGAAAAAGTTTGATTCCAACTTTTTTGTACACTTTATTTCGGCCTATGAAAGCATTTTAAAATCCTTTCTTTTTCCTAGTGGCTAGACTTTCTGCGGCGTTGCATTACAATATTTTAAAAAAAGCATAAGAAAATCCTACTTTTTTCAGATCCTACAACGACTACCGAAGGCTCTGCCGTCTTCCGGTAATCACCAACTTTGAAAATGTACATAAAAATTCAAAATATTTGGAAAATTATCAATTTTCAGTGGCCGGAGGTGACGAAACAAGTCGTCCGACAGCGCGTCCAGCAGCTCTACCGCACCCCTGACGATGTATTATTTAAAAGAAATTCTAAGAAGTTTAGAGAGTTCTTACTTGAAAAAGGATAATAGTCGGTTCGAAAAAAGTGTTCATGAGAGTTTTTTTTTTCAGCTGGTGACGGATCTGTACCTGAAAATCACTAATAAAAACTGTGCGAGAAGTTACTAAGGCTTAAAGAAAATTTTGGAAAACGCTCATTAAGGTCATTGAAAAAGCTCAGTATGCCCAACGGGCTATTTAAAGGAGTTTTCAGTTTCAGCGGTTTTTAAAAGGACTTTAGGGCATTTTTTCGGAGTTATTTCGCATATAAGCTTTTTATAAAAATCGATATTTCGTGATTTTTTTAAAATCATATTTTTTTAAAAACCAAAAAAATTTGGTCAAGTTGAAGGAACACTGAAATCATTCCCCGTGATAAAAAAAAAACTTGAAGTTCATAACTTCTCAGTTGGACCTCTACGTCGGCGGAATCATCGAAGAGCCGCTGCCCGGAAGTATGGTCGGCCCGACTTTCGCCTGCATCATCGCCGAGCAATTCGTACGTCTTCGCGACGGCGACAGGTTCTGGATCATCTACAGATCATTGGCGAAGAATTCCGATTCAGATTTTACTTCGAGAACCCGGCAACGTTCACGTCGGCACAATCGGCGGCCTTGCGACGCACTTCCCTTGCTTGGGTTCTCTGCGACACTGGCGATGAGTCAGTTTTCCTCTCTTGCATCCATTTTGATAACTTTCTAGTTTGAGTCGGCTACAATCTGTGAAATCACTGTGTAGAACTTTAATGATAATGAAAAAAATAAGATCTTTCGGTAGAAGGATTCTACGAAGACTATTTTTGCTCTAATCTAGAAAATCCGAGATCTTCTTTTAGACTTCGGAAGTTTTTTGGGAAAACTTTCAGCTTGCAAGTAAAATAATCTGTTCGACTTTATGAGCGTGATTTTCATATAGCCTAATTATTTTTTCTTCTACTTTCCTTTTACTTTTACAAATCTAAAAAAAAGATGTAGCTCTTGTTGTTTTATGTATCAGAGTGATATAAATATTCAAACAAATATTCAAAGATCGAACCAGATATTTTCACAAAAAAAAAAAATTCCCATCAAGATCTTAGGCATAATCTCGAAAACCTCATCAAGTTAACAAATATCAGTAGGAAGAAATCTTAAGTCTTTAAGGATAACTAGGCTTTGATTCGGAACCAGCAAGAAGAACTTCTTCCAGGGACTTCTTACAGAAATCCTATCTAGATTTATCTAGAAAAAGAAAACTATCCAGCTATCTAGAACTATCTTTCTAAAGGTGACGACTATCAAATTCCCAATCAATCAGATTGATCCATATAGACAGAATATTTTCAGCATGAGCCGAATCGTGCGAAAGGCCTTCGAGATCGACATGGGACAACGCGCGATTCCGTGTCCCTCGATTCCTCAACTCGACCTGTCGCCTTGGAAAGAATAATCTGAAAACTTTTCTTTCCAAAAAATCTTTACGGTTTCAAAGTTGACAAGCCTTAACTCGTGCCATGACTTCCAATAGACGCTTTAACTGACTTGGAGATTTTCAATAAACGCATTCTCATTTGAAAGCTTCCCGGCAAAACAAAAAATGATTGGGCGCGTTTTTTTCGCGCAACAGTGCACACAAGCCAATTAACCTGTTATCGTCTCCCAGGGCAACTGCGGATCTTGATAAAACTCTCTAAAAAGAGCTTCCTTGCTTCTTCTTCTTCTTCCCAATTATCGGTAGGTTTCCCAACAAGGGAGGTCATCAATTGTTAGGTGACTAACTTCAAGGAAAATTCCCTGGGGTACTTTTTTGCACTAGGAATCTAGATAATCTAATGGTTTTATGCCCCGGTTTAGTTGCAGAGAAATTAAATTTGAAACTTCAAAATTCCTTTCAAAGCTCCCCCAAAATTCAACAGTGCGAAGCAATTTTTTTTACCAGGACTAGGTCTGAACGGACTGTGGGGCTTTGGAATGGACTAGAGTCGCTAAAAGTAGTTTTTTCTACTGATTTTGAATCTGAAAAGTTGCCACAGAGGACTTTGAAACACTTTTTCAAGTTCCAAGTTGAAAAATATCTCTCCGACATTCAAAAGACCTTGAAAGAATCTAGATAACTTCTAATTGGGCTCAAAAATGCTTTTCGAGAAAATAAATCACAACAACGTCGTTAAATTAACAAATATCAGTAGGAAGCGATTTTAAGACTTTAGGGATAACTGGGCTTTGATTTGGTACCAGCAAGAAAAACTTCTTCTAGGGACTTTTTACGGAATACCTACTGCGAGTCTAGATTATTTCCTGAACAGTAAATCTGATTTTTAGCATTCATTTTCAGTAAAATTGAGATGACCTCCCTTTGTAATTTCGAAATCCCTAACAAGATCAATTTCCTTCAGGAATGACTAAGAAGAAGACTGCTCGACGTCTGAAAACAGAACGACGTCGGGTCCAGGATCTCTTGACGAACGAAAGAGGTCAAACTCCGCAAGCCCTGAGAAATCAAGCTTTTCAATCGCTACACGACTTCACGATATATGTCTTGGCGAGACTCGCCTCGATGTTTCTGAAGTCTTTCCTTAGCTACTGTCTGGCGCTTTTCTTGTTCAAGGCCTACATTGATATAATACAGCCCTCCATCAACATTTTCCGGACTTGGTCTCACGGATTCGCTAGTGATGAGAATTATTGTTATTATTCGAATGATTGAATGAAATTTTGATTGAAAGTCTCCGATTTTACAGATGATATTTTTGTGAATGAAATAAATCATTATTATTAAAAGTGAGAGCAAAACAAGGAAAAGACATGAAGTAAAATCGCTTGCCAGCTTCACCGACTGAGAAAATTGCTAGTGGCCACTGTAGAGGCTCGCTAAGGACTACTTGGAAAGGACACTAAAGTGGCCACTAAACTCACCTCTATAGTGGCCACTATTTTTCGTTTTAGTGGCCACTTCAGTAGTTTTTCATTCAGTATTCCTTCCAATAACTCTGATAGTTTTGAAACAAACTGATTGGACCAGTTATGTTGATCCATTGACCCCTTAAGTGGCCACTAATTTTTAACCCCTTAAGTAGCCACTATTTTGACTACTTTAGTGGCCACTAATACGTCAAAACTCTATAGTGGCCACTAAAAATTTTTGCAGGAAAGCTAAAAAATTCGTTTTTGATTTCTCGAATATAGAATATGATATTTTCAGTAAAGAAAACTCATGAATTTTATTTAAAAAAACCGTTTTGCTTTTAGGTTCTCCTCCTTCGCGATCTTCTCAAAGCTGGCTCGAAGAAAATTTTTTCTCTTAATCTGTTATTTTTGGAAAAAATAAAATGACTAAGACGCTGATCCTGAAACATTTCTCATTTTAGAGATTAGACCCTGCAAAGCTCGCTTTTTTTGAAAATGTACAGAAAAGTCGAATTCTACAGCTATCTTCTTTGAAAGTTGGAACTTTCTGAAACTTCTGCTAGGCCATCAAAGAATTTCTCGGCAAGATTTGATGAGATTCCGAATTTTCGAGCAGGTGAGCCTAACTTTTGGCACACCTACTCATTTTCCACTTCCTCCACAGGGAATCTCACATTTGCTCTTTGAGCAAAATTTCAAGTTAAGAGCTCTCATTTTGCACTATTCCGATAATTAACATGCAAGTCAGCTTGTTTTGTTTTGCCGGAGAAGAGAAAGTGCAATTCTCGGTTGTCAAGGCGGCGATTCGCCCGAGGATTCTCATAAAAACCTCTTCTAATTATTCCAATTAGCCGCCGGTACTTATGAAAAACGCGGAAACATTCTTCCTCCAACTACTTTCTTCTCGTTATGCGGGTTCGTTTCTTATTTCAGATTTATTCAGATATTTTTCTTAATCTTCGAATATAACCTTAAAAAAATGATTACTTATCAGAAAAAAATTATAAAATGTTGCTGTACAAGTTAAATGTCGCTTTCAATTAGCATAAAAAAAGTTGGCGGCTTTTTTTTTTTTTAGTGGCTACCAGACACAAATAGAAAATTTACGACAAAGGTTCGAACCTTTTTTGATTTTTGAGGTTTTTGCCAGTTCCTGATGTTTATAAAAGTTGTAAAATTTTAAGAACTAAATATTCGAGTAAAAAAAATAATAAAACGATAATTTTTTGATCTTACAAAGTTTTTTTAAACGAAGAAACAAGAAAATCAGTTTGTAATCTAGGAAAAACTTTAGTGGCTTCTCAAGGGCTTCTTGGAGAGGTCACTAAAGTGGCCACTAAGACCTCCTCTATGGAAGCTACTATTTTGCGTCTTCGACTACTATAGTTGATCTAGTATTACCCCTTAGACTGCTAAAGAAGCAACTTCAGGCTCTTGAGTGATCACTAGAGCGCTAAAATCCTATAGTGACTCCTAGAAAATTTCACAGTTGGTCTCTAATTTTTTTTTTCTTGGTCGCACCGGGAATGAACCTTACCGTTAGAATGAACCTACAGCCGTCATCAAGTTCTCTAGTGCTGTAAGAGGCTCCCGCGCGCAAGTCGTTTTAGGTCGGCTGAAGCAACTTCAACGCTCAGAGTCGTACCACAGTGTTCCAAAAGAGACGGCGGCAAGCCAAAAAAAAGGTCGTCGCAATGGGGCGAAAACGCGAGTTTTTTCTAACGCAACGCGGTGCGGCGCGTGTCACCCCCACAAAATTTCATTCACTTTTAATACGGTTTTTTCTCTTTTTCTTGCGTATTTTACCATTCTTTCGTATTTTTTCACGCTGTATGTGTTCTTAAAACGTGTTTATCGCGTTTTCCAGAGATTTGAAAGTGATTTTTCGATTGTTCTCGTCACAGAAATTTGCATTAAAAAGGACATTTTTTTGATGACAACTTATTTCGCATAAGATATTTCGTTTGTTTTTTTTGTTTTAGAATTTTCAAATGGACTTTCTTAAGAGAAACGCTGTGAGATTTTTCTCAAAATTTTTTTTTCGAGGCAGTATTCGACGAATTTATTCTTGAAAATGTCATTTTGGGTGACAACTTTATTCGTACAAGCTATTATGCATCTGTTTTTGTTTTAAAACGTTCAAGTGGTATTTCTTAAGAGAAGTGCTGTGAGCTTTTTCTCAATTTTCCCTTTGGAAGTTCGATTTGACGAGTTTTCCTAAAAAACGATATTTTGGGAGATATTTTGTTTTGCAAAAACTTTTTCGTCTCTTTTTTCATTTAAATTTGTTCGTTATAATTATATACACATTAAAAATCTTCGAAAACTCGCGAGAACCTAGGAAAAACATCATTTAATGGTCTTTTTCCAACCACTAAATCCACAAAACTTGACTCTCATTCCCGCGCCCCTATTGCAATAAACCGTGCCGCTGTTGCAGTCAGCCACGCCTACTGACCACAGCTGCCGCTCGTTTGGGAACACTGTGGTACCAAGTGTGACCACGCGCTTCTACATCAGAAATATAAGATAATCATTGTTCTATCTCATTTTCAGATGCCCCAATATCCCAACTCGACGCCTGAGCCGATCTTCCGCTCCGATTTCGTCGATTTCTACATTCTGATCATCATCGGCCTCATGTTATCGGCCTGCCTCTGCTTTATGTGCTTGTGTCTTCGAAACTGAATGATTCATTTCATGCAAAATTCACAGTTTATCGTAACTGCCCTTCGACTCCTTCAACTATGAAGTTTCTGACATAATTTGAGAATTGATAAATAAAGAAAATTTTTTTCTTGTTCTGTTCGAACTACTTATCTTTCCAACGTATGCAGTGAATAAACCTATTTATAAAATAAAAGTTTTTTTCCTTCCAAGTTGTGCGTTGAAATCGAAAAAATTAGTTAAATAAGACAAGAAAAAGTGAGTTTGAAGCCGCATAGGGAATGGCTTGATGTGTTGTGAATCAAGAATTTCGTCTGAAAAAGCCACTTATTCATTTCAATGCGTATTTTATTCGAAATTCAAACTTAACCGAAGTTTAAAAGTCGTGCAGAACTCTGGTAACTTTCTCGGAACTATGTCGTAAGATGACTTTTATTGGGAAGTAGTTACATCATTGATAAGCTTTTTTCTCTTTTTGAAGTGGGAAAGATCAAAAACTCGTCCCTTCTATGAAGTTTTGAAGCGTCGAATGAGAAAAAAAAGAATAGAGAGGGTCGGCAAATTTTCGATGTAATATAGATTTCCCATTTCTTGGAAAAGTATCCATTGGTTCGGCTTTCCTCGAATCACACCATGACTTTCTGCGATAAGATCTTCGTTCAAAATGACAGTTCTGATCTTTGTTGACGTTCTTTGATGTGTCGAAGAATATTCTAGCTGATTGGAAAACAACAGTTTTGATCTTTGAACCTCAGTCCATAAAAAACGGACGTCTTTTGCTCAATCACTAATTAACAAGCTTATCCAATCCAAGGAGAGCCATCAAGACTCATGAACTTGAGTTCGAATAGCTATAATTGCAGTTTTATTCTGCAGAAACTGAAAAAAGATGACGAAAAATACCGTAGCCCAGGAAGATGACCACACGTCCATCACCCGCTGCCGTCAATCAAGAACATGGAAGATTTCCTCCACGTTTTTTACTTTGTTTGCTCTTTCTAATCAACCTTGCTCAATCACTTGACATAACTCTCGGTTGATTGACAGCAAAAGCGAAGATTTGCATAGGAAAAGGCGGAAAAGAGTGACCGTTTTGGGCAAACAAAATGTTTCAGAGCAGAAAAAAACGCCTAAAGGTCGGGTATAAAAGAGTTCCGATAAGAAGAATGGGGCAGCAGAGATGCGGACTTTGGTTCTGCTCCAGCTCCTTCTGGCCGTCGGCGTCGCGGCTCGACAACTCGGCGATGCTCAATTCAACGGAAGGATCTTCTGCCACGGAAACCCCCTGGAGTTCACCGCCGTTTCTCTCATCACCGACTGTTAGTTTTTTTTCGTTTCCAAAGATCTTAACAAAAAAGTTTCGAAACATCTAGGTTGTAGTCCAAAGATGCAGTAAAGGGAAATGAGACCACAGTTCAATTTTAAACTAAAAAAATAACTCTCAATTTTTTTTCTGGGTGAAAATCTGAGTGCGAGTTTGAAAAAAATGACATATATATAGAAGGGGAGAACTTTTTTTGTAGGAAAAATCCATATACCACCTGAAAAAGCTAGCAAAAAGTTCTAGAGAAAACAAAGTTCAATTATTTATTATTAATTCTTTTTATTAGGAATCGATAAATCTTCATATGATTCGATAACTTTGAAGCCACTTCAAATGAAATCTTCAAAAGATTTTACAAAAAACGAAAGATTTTTTTAAAACAAGTTTTTTTGCTGCGCTTCATTATCGCAATTTAACGTGACGTCAATTGAAATGTTATCAGTAACCTTTTAAACAGCTCTTTTTCTTTCATTTTCGTGATTGACTTCAAAAAACTGGAGCCAAACTCTTACCATTGCTAAAATCTTGACAGTTAATTGCATAATGGGGCTATAAACTTTTCGAAAACAATCATGGGAAAAATAAATTTGATCTACAAATCAATGAAGCTTCAAAAGACTAGAATTAGTTTTAAAATTAAAGTTTAGCCTCTAAAGTATTGTAAATATATGAATGCTCCCGATATTTTTGCCTAGAAACTCTATGGTTCCACTTTGAATGTCTTAAAGAGTATCAGAGTACCTATCAACTTCATATCGTCATGACTAATAGCCTTTAAGTCGGTCGCGTCGAGCCATTCAACGTGCGACAATAGTCTGAGCAAGTGAACCGTTTTTTCTTTCTCAACAACGGTCAGCACCCGTTATTTTCAGTCCCTCGCCCACGTTTGTTTTATTTTCGAGGATGAAAAGTCGCGTTCCATTACGTCATAAGGTCATTTATCAGAGGGCCGCTACATGTACTTATCAGTGACGCGCATTCCTTGCTCATGGTAACATCGCATCGAACTAGATTTTCAAAACCCGTTCTCCGAGTATTTTGAGTAAGAAGCAGGTCTTTAAACAATGACTCATTGGATTGCGCAGCTCTAGAGAGAAAAACAAGAGAAACGGAGAAAAAAACGCCGCGTGGCTTTTCTCATAGTAGTGTACCTGGAGATTTTTAAAAACTGTTTGTTCTCTTTTTTCCGGGCTCAGAAAAGTGAGAGGGTCATTAAGACAAGTGGTCTCTAAACTATTTGCAAGGCAGTGAAGGAAAAAGAGAGGTTTCGAGGTATCTCTAGTATTTTGGTCTCAAGGAAGCCGTGAATGGAGCATCGGAATTGATATGAAAAGAAAAAATTGCAGCCGACGAGGTCGTCGACCACTACCTGGACCTCGCCAGAACCAATGAAGATGGTCGATTTTCGGCCTTCACCCGATTCAATGGAAAATTGACCAACTTGCGGCTTTCTATCAAGCATACTTGCGAAGTTCGGCGTCTTATAAAGGTAAGAAAGATTTTTTTCAAAGCTTAAAAAAAAATGAAATTTAGTTCGTATAGCCTGTGTACCACGACTTGGAATTTCACCAAACGACATTCCGCGGTGCCGCTGCGCGCCTTTGCTAACCTTGGTCGCGCTTTAAATTTTTTATTTCTTTTATTAAGATACTCTACTTTCATGTGCTCCCACAGCAATAACAATCAATCGAAAGCATGACCTAGATTCGAAAGACGCTTCGCGAACGCACGCAGCGGAACAGCGGAATGTCGTTTCCGTGAAATTTCAAGTCGTGGCGCACAGACTATAGTAGCTCGAAAGGAACCTTTCAAGTCTGAAACCGTGCCCAAAAATTAACTTTCAAGCATATAGTATACTTTTAAAAGACGCAGCAACATTTTATTTATACATGGAGTTTTATAATTAATTACGAAAGACCTTTTTTGTATTGAAATACTTCCAGAAATGTGAAATCCCATATCTCCGCACGGTCGTCGCCCTCAACGGAACGAAACTTGCTAGTGAATTCAATGAAGAAGAGGTTGGTTGAAAATTTTCTTGTTTTACCAAAAAATACGCTTTCAGTTGCGAATTGAGCTGTTCGACTATGTGGAAGAAACTACTCGACACTGTCTTTTCTGAAGCCCTTTTTTAAAATCCTAAGAAATCGCCTGCTCCGCATTCCCAAAATCAGCAGGTGTCACGTTTTTCTAATAAATTATCATCCTACCCTGTAAATTCGTTTTTTTGTGAAAAATTGTATGAATAAACGTATAAACCTTCCAAGACTATTCTGAGAAAGCGGAGAAGCTGAAAGCCCTACATAAAAGGTTAAAAAAAAATTATGAGCCATCCTCTTCAGGACTTTTCAAAAGGTAAAATATGGAATAAACAACCAGATTTCATGCGATTTTCGATAATTCTAGGTCAAAGATGTTCTTCCTTTCTTTTCTTTTTCCTACGCCTTTGAGCGGCGTCGGCGCCCCAGTCGATTAGCCGAGGTCCTAATATCACTGACAATCAATGGACTGACTATAGTGACATATCCGTCATTTTGTGTAAGGGCGGGGGATTGTGAAGCCGTGGTTTCCCACTACCAACACTACCAATAGCCCCTTGGTTGCGTTGCAGCGGGGATCGAACTTGTGACCCTGTGGACCATAGACCAGCACACAACCTGTCGCTCTAGGTCGCAGGTCAAGGTTATCTGAAGTTTCTTCTTCCTTTCTTCAGAAAAAAGTTCCTTCCTTTCAGATCTTTTTCTGATATGTCTTGAGTCTTTTCCATTACAACTAATTCTCCGTTACGAAAAAACAACCTCTATTCTGTAAACAGCCTTCCGCAAAAATTACACTTCTTTCTCGATATGGTTGCCAGAGACAAATACGATAATCGTAAGAGTAGCCGATTTTCCCTTCTTCTTCTTCCGTTTTCCAAAAAACTAAAGCCGCCATGTTTCTATAATATCTAACCCAAAAAAATTGATAAGACTGCATGAAGCGTGGAAAAAAGGCGCCAGACAGACAGTGCTATTGCTCTTCCTAGCCAGCATTGGCAATGGTTTTTGTTCGGTTTCTCATATTAACAAATTGTCACACCTCTTGACTTTTAAGGAAGAACATTCATTTATCAGACATATGCCACTCAACCTCATGTATCCTCGTCTAATAAACTTCCTATTGTTCCTCATTTTATTCAAATTCATTTTGGGCTTCAGTCATAAAAGAATAGTGCTTCCGGCGCTAGATGAAGCTAGCTTTCTGAGACGTCGACTTGTTTGCCATTGCCAAGAAGGTCAAGGCCCTGTTTCACATGCCGTAGTCCGCGTCAGAAATGGTGAGTTGATAGTACAACTTTCCGCTTTGACTTGTTAATACCTAAAATACCTAAAATGTCTTTGTTACGAAATCGAAGATTTTTTCCTTTTTCAAATAACTTCCATATATTATACAAGAATTGTCAGAATTTTTTTCAATTTGCAGGGTCCCAACTTGTCGGTAAAGCCAAAGCCGATATAGACGGGTTCTTCGAGATCGACTTCTCTCAACTACTTTCTGAGGGGTCTCCATTTTTGCTGAAAAAGCTCGAACTTCAAATACGACATCAGTGTTGCCTACCTGGTATTTATAACTTTGTAAGTTTTTTTTGACTTATTTCGGTAACATTTTATCGACATCGTTATTAAATTCAAAATTTCTATCTACCGTAAATAAATACTCCGACTCACGGAAGATTCTGGCTTCTCTGCGCGCTCTGTTCCCTCACTCCATGAAAAAAGCATCCTTGAGAGAGAAGAGAGTGCAGAGAAGACAGAATCATTTCTACTCGTCGCGAATAATGTTATCAAAGAGTTATAAGAAAGATTGCGAAATTTTTTTGAATCTCGCTCTACTGATATATTTTTGCAGCCCTGTGCGATTCCTATACAGAACACGGTCATCCCGTTTGAACTACTCGAGGATAATCCTTCATTTATGGTTTGTTCCACTCTAGTTGAAATTATCATCAATTGATTATCATTCCAGAGAAAAATCGATTTGGGACATCCGGACATCAGAATGCACACCAGAAAAACTTGCACCGAGTGATGGAAGCTACCTGAAAAGAAGAAAATCTCGCAAAACGACAAAAAATTGATCTCGAAAAAGATAATAAAAATCAAAAGCATAAAAATGAAAATAAATTATTTCTGATGTTTCATGTTTTTTCTCCGCATTCTAAACAGCAGAAGAAGGAAGTGAGAAAAATGGGAAAATGGGCCATCTTTTTGACGCGCCGTAGCGCAACAGGTTTCATGCCTGTCTACGGTCCCCAGGGTCGCAAGTTCGATCCCCGCCGCGACCCACTAAAAGGGCTTTTTTTTAAATCAGCAAATTTTGAAGCGCAGAGTATTAATCGGATTTGAAAAAACTAGAGTAGATCAGAAATCGCTACAAAAAAGTCATCCGAATCTGTTAGTAGGCCTTGATAGTGGTCAGCTCTACGTTCAGAATATTGAGAAAATGTTTAAAACGCTGCGATTTGAACAGTAAAAAGTGGATTAAAAAAAGCGGATTGAGAAAAGAAAGAAAAATAATTCTCTGAGAAATTGAGTGGAGAAACGGAGCTTTTTCTATGCTTCTTTGTGATATTTACTCAAGTTTTTCCCCTGAATTGTTAGATTAATAAAGAAACGCTATTTTGGAACAAGAAACGAAAGTTTAATAAGGCAAATTTAACGTTTTTCTTCGAAAAAAACAAGTTTAACTAGGCTGAAAAGCCGAGCCCGCGACCAACTTGACACAAGATTCGAGAGAAAAGAGGCGTGACTTGGAAACAACTCAACTCTTTGCACACGCTTGTTGATTTTAGGTTTTTCTTTGTTGAGTAATTACAAATCCAGTTCAAAATAGAAACATCGCTTTTTTCCCTTTTGTTTTCTTTTCGGAGGTACCGGTCAACCGGTGATGCCAAGAAGATTTCGAAAGATTTCGCGCAACTTGCGCTGAAGTTGAAGCATTGCTGATGTTTTGAACGGTTGCTTCATCTTGTTAGAGTCGCTAAATTTAAAAAGATTCGAGCAACATGTCCCACATAATGCTCCTTCGTCTTAAGGAACTCTTATTGTTCCTTATTTCCTTCAAATTAATTTTGGGCTTCAGCCACAGAAGAATGGACTTACCGGTTCTAGATGAAGCTAGAGTTTTCAAACGGAGATTGGTATGTAGCTGCAAAGAAGATCACACTCCTGTTTCCCATGCCGTCGTCAGAGTCAAAAATGGTACGTTAACACTTCAATATAATATTCTCAGTTCCCCAGATGAATTCGTTGACTTTCAATATCCTGTGTACCACGACTTGGAATTTTCACTGAACGACATTCCGCTGTTCCGCTGAGCGCCTTTGCGAACCTTGGTCGCGCTTTTAATTTTTTGTTTCTTTTATTGAGGTTCTCTACTTTCATGTGCTCCAACAGCAATAAAAATCAATTGAAAGCGTGACCTAGATTCGAAAGACGCTTCGCGAACGTACGCAGCGGAACAGCGGAATGTCGTTCGGTGAAATTGCAAGTCGTGAAACACAGACTATACTTTATAAGAAAAAAAATATATGAAAGTGATTATTTACGACTTCCTAGTTTTCTTTTTTTGAAAAACGGAGCCAGAAAGGTCGCTTTTTAACACTGCAATAGACTATAAATTTTAAATTTGTTTTAAATTTTTTAAGCCTGCGAAGCTCAAAAGGAGTTATGGCTGACTTTGAGACGAATAAAAAATCTGAAGTTCCAAGAAAATAAAGCTGTACGATATTATATTACGAACTTCTCCTCATTTTGAAACTAATTCATAATATATTTTGCACAAAAAGTTCAAAGAGTAGTACCGCTTGAACTTCGAGAAAAAAAAGACAGAGATCAGAAAAGACCAAAATCTCTTAAAATAAAAGAGCAAGCCACACAGAACTGTTGGGGCCTAACAGTTAGGCTGCTAAATTGGTTCAAAATTAGAAAATTTATCGATCTCGGTTGTAATTAACAGTAACCTTCTAAATCACGCAAAACGCAATGAAAATTCCCTTTAAAAAAAACCTTCTTCTTTTTTCAGGATCTGAGCTGGTCGAAAAAACCAAAGCCGACGTCGATGGATTTTTCCAAATCGACTTTTGGGATCTTCTTGGGAAAAAGTCTCCATCCACATTGAGAACGCTTCGGTTTCAAATCCGGCATCAGTGTTGTCCACCTGATATTTACACATTTGTGAGTTTTCTCTCACGACCTCCTCAAACAAACAAACAAAAAACGTAGCAAATGTGCAAATTTTTTCCCCATCTTTTCTTTTTAATCACCTTTTTTGCAGCCCTGTGCGATTCCGGTTCAAAATACGGTCTTCCAGTTTGAATTACTCGAGGATAATCCACCGTTTATGGTTTGTTTCATTCCCTTTCAAATTTTGATTGATTAATTATTACTATTCTAGGAAAAAATCGATTTGGGACATCCGAACATCAGGATGCACACACAAACATTTTGTATGGAATGAAAAAATAAGCTCAACTTTACGCGGCGTCATACAACTACGGCTGATCTCAAAATACATATCAATGATAATAATAATAATACAATAAACATATCCAAATCTTTTTTGATTTTGCATTCCGTACAAAGATAAAAGAGCAAGAGAAGGAAAATGATTCGTTTTCTTGGAATCGCGTTAAAGTGGCCTTAGATCTGTTACAACCGTTGTAAAGGAAACTGAAATTAATACTTCCGAGATCATTCAAAATCTTTTGAAAAGTTCTCATGCCGTGTTCAAAGTAATTTCCGCGAAATGCAAAATACCCGTTAGAGAAAGGAAAAGATCACTAAATTTTGGAGAGTCAGAGATCATTTTGCATTTCGCGGAAATTACTTTGAACACGGCATCAAGTTCTGGTTTAGCACTTTTTCCATTGAAAACTCGATTTTTTCGTTTTCGATTTTCCGAAGATTTTCGGGCTTGCGAGAAGTATAGTTATGCTGAAATTTCCGGAATTTTTTTCCAGTATTGAAAAAACAAAAAAATTCTGGTACTATAGTCCATTCGCCGCGACTTGAGAGTGAAAAACTATTAAAAATATTTCAATGGACAAAAAAATAGCAGAAACTATTTTAGGGAGCTCTCACGTCAATACATTTCTTTGAGCGAAAACAGCGTGGAGAACCGCTTTTTCTAAAAATTCAAATCTTGATTTTTTTCTTGAATTTTTTTGAAGTAATTACTTCGGATTCAGAATTAATTCTGAAACCTCAAGTATTTGTTATTATTTTCGCTTTTTTTCATTATTTTATGTGAAATGTTTTTCTCAGCTGCTATAGCTGCTTGCTTGAGTCATCAAAAAAAGGGTCCTGACACGATAAGAAAAGAGACACTGCCTGGTTGGTGGAGAGTGCAGACAGACCACGCCCTCCCAAGCTAGCCTACTGTCAATTATTCGAAAAAGGTTTTATATCAAGAAAAAAATCAAGAGAGAAGGATGGAAATTTATAAATATCATTTTGAATATAAGGAAAGAAGTTGTATCTTCATTAAATCAGTGTTTGAGAACAGAATTGCAAGAATAATTTGGACGAGGTTATTCGATCAGAATGATACAGATTTAAATACTACCGATAATAAAAAGAAAAGGAGGAAGAATCGGTTCTCAAGAGGCCAGTCAATGCACAGTTATCAGGAAGTTTTGACGATAAGAGGTATATGTGGCCGAAACTGGCGTTCATATTGTAATAAAACCCTCCAAACATACTTCAAAAATCTTTGCAAATATGGTTCGACTAGAGACTTTTTCCATATGACATTGAGCGATATGAGTAAAAAGCATGCAAGGCCGTAAAAAGGTATAGGAAAAGATGCAAAACTGTAAATTGAGATCGGAAGTCTCTTCGAAATTTGAAGTTTCCGATAATATTTCGTTTTTTAGGCTTCTCGAATGAACATACCAAAAGGGCTTTTCAACTATTTTCCACTTCTTTCAAACTTCAAACTTTCTTAAATCCTGAATTGATAGCCTCTGTGAATTTTCATTCTCTTCCAGAAATAAAAGGAATGTGGAATAGTCAATAATCGTAGGGAGTATTGAGTTGAAGAGCTTCTTCGATCCTCCACAACGGAAGTTCGAAACAAACGTGGAACATTTCAACGCAAACGTTCGTTTTGAGGTATTTCTAAAAAAAAATTTTGAGGTTTAGTTCGTTTACTACTGTCTTGACATGTATAGTCTGTTTACCACGACTTGGAATTTCACCGAACGACATTCCGCTGTTCTGCCGGGCGCCTTTGCGAATCTCGGTCGCGCTTTCAATTTTTTTCTTTCATTCAATTACTCGCAGTGGAACAATTCATCTTTCAGCAATAAAAATAGTCTGGAAGGGTGACCTAGATCCGCAAAGACAAAGACGCTTCGCGACCGCGCGCAGCGGAACGTTGTTCGGTGAAATTTAAAGTCGTGGCACACAGACTATAGCGGAAGCTCTCTCTGGCAAAAAACGTCGGCAAAAAAATGAATGAGGAATTTGACTTGAAAGAGAGTCCCTGTCAAGCTTGAAAATACGTAAAATAAACTAGGACTCACTTTAGTCTTTTCGTACCTAAGTTTCCTGAGATGACGACTGCATGAATCTCTACAAGCGACAAACTAAAAAAATATTTTTCCCAGTTTTGAAAATAAATGAAAAAAACTTTTTGCACATTTGGGGAATCATTTCTTTGCATTTCGTGGTTAATCGAGGTATTTCCCAATGCGAGAAGTCGCCATCTTCTTCATACAAACTGAAATTATAATCTTCTAGTGTTTGCTCTTTTAGCTAAATAATTAGAATTTTTTAGACTCGCTATCAGTGATGGACAAGGCTGACTCAAAACGGACCATAAATTCATTTGAAAGCATTAAGCGTTTAACCAGTTTTCATGATCTTTTAAAATTTAAAAATTAATTTTTTTTTGCAGTTTTTTTACTTGATTGTTCTCAAAAAAAACTTTTTTTACAAGTTGCTGGCAATCTTTTAACCTAATCGATACTAAAAAACAGAAAAAAACTCACTGCTTGACGGGTGCCTCCTCAAAATCTAGGTTTTTCCGATGGTTAGGAATTTCAGAGCTGGAATAAACTGGATAGCATCCAGCTGACGTCTTCTCCACCGCTAGAACCAGGAGAAACCAGAAGAGATACATATCGAAATGAAATGACGTCGATGCAAAAGAATGAGTTCTGAACTTTGACGTGAGTCTCCGTCGGAATTAACCCGTGAAGTCCTATCCAAGGACTGGTATTTCGACTCGCGCCTTCGCAGCTAAACACTCGACTAACTCTACTAACATGACCTTCCCCAACCAGCAGCGCTTCCAGTGAGTCCGACTTCTTCTTCCTCGATCTGACCTCTGCAGAAGACGTCGCGGATGCTTCCGATCCCGGAGCCGCAGCCGCGACGCAGCTCGCCGTAGCCTCGCCGCGCCCGTCGGACAACAGCCTCGAGCTCTCGAGATCGTGCCGTGGAGCAGCGTCACCATCGAAGAGATCTCGGTATGAAGATGACTTTAAACATTTTCTAAACTAACGCGTTTTTTTCAAAGAATCACAAGGAGATTTAATTTTTCAGAGCGAGCACGTCAACGCGCCAGCTGAATTGGCGAAAATGGAATCGGTTTCAGAAGAAGTCCACGTTGAAGACAACAAGGCCCTCGTCGCTTCTCAAGAAATCTCGAACCCTCTCGGTAACCTGTTATTTACAAGTTCATGGGAGCTTCTTTTTTCAGCTCAAGCTGCTGTAGACCTCAAATTCGCCTGCCAAATGGCCCACGGATCCCCAGTCGCTGTTATTCAGCGCTGGAGCACCATCGAGGAACTTTATTCCGTTTGGAACTCTAGGAAAATTATTAGTATGTTCAATTTCAGTCGATGGCTGAAGCATTTGACGTACCGAAATCGGAGCTCATGTTCCTCACTGTGAATACTTTCAAGGTCATTACTTTTTTTTTTTGAATTCAAAGAAGAAAGGAGGAATTTAGGTTGACATGACCAAGCTGTTCACTGGCACGCTCAATTTTACCGACATGCTGTACGCCCACGTCCGAGGTCAGCCCGTCGAGGTCGAGCTCATCAAGGATGAGACGTGAGCTTGAGCTTCTGCTACCTTTTTAACTATGGGGAAACTTCAGATCCTTCGGTGTCACGATTACCGATAACGGCATGGGAAACGCGTTTGTGAAAGCTATCAGAGATGGAAGTGTTTTTGGCGAGTTTTCTTGATTTATCGAGTTGTTAGATATCCCATGATCGCAAGCGGAATGGCAAGGTGCCTAAATCTGAAAAAAGCACTAGCCAAGCTTTTGTGTCATGAAGCCATTCCAAACGCGCACCTTTCAAGTCGAAATATCTTTTTTTGGATTCATTGATCATTTAAAATGTTTTTTGTCTGCTTTTTGTGAGTTAATCTTTTTCCAGCCCGTGCTTTCCCAGCCACTCGAGTTGGTCAACTCATCGAGAAAATTGACGGAGTGAACGTGCTTGGAAAACGTCATTATGAAGTAGCCCGCATCTTCCGCAGCATTCCCATCGGCACCAAGTAGAAATCCTTTAGAAGCCCTTTCTAATCAAGTTTTCAGGGTTAATATGCGCCTGATCAGCCCGCAGCAGTCGCCTCTGGAACAGTTCATCTCCAGACGAGCTCCTGGAGCGCCAAAAAAGAACATGATGGAATCTCTGAAGAAAGGGGGCACCATCCGCTTCAAGTCTAACGGCTCTTTTGTAGTAGAGGTTGGCGCCTTCCAGATAAAAGCTGATAAAAGGTGTTAAATTCAGGACAAAGCGCCGGAAACAGCCATCATCGAGAAGCTGAACGACGTGTTCGATTCGTACCTTGGCGTGCAGGACGACCAGCTCGCCGCTCGTGTCTGGGAAACCGCCGCCAAGTGCTCGACGCTCTGGGAACTCAACGAAGCCATTCAGAATGTAATAATTATAACCGTCGAAGCAACGATCAAAAATGTTTTTCAGTCGGACTTGAACGTCTTCGAATTCCCGGACGGCCTTGTTTTCGACATGTGGGGCATCATCAGCGACCTCAAGCGCGTCAAGAAGGCAACGCCGGCACCCTTTCGAGAAGCTCAACCCCAGCGCTGAACGCATCTTCTTCTGAGACAATAAAAACTAGAAAAATCGAATGTTGTGTCGCTGAGAAATAACTCTAACACATACACATAAATATCGAATGAAAAAAATTGGCCGGCGTGAGAGTATAGATCCTGAAGAAAATTTTTTTAGTTGGCGTTTAAACTATGGACTTGTTGAAGAATTCTTAATTTTTTTTTGTTTGATTTATATTTCAGATTTTCCATTTTTAGATACATACTTGATTATAAAAAATCAAAAATTGAAAGACGCTTTGAAAAAATTTAAAATGAAATAGCCTTTTTTTAACCGCAATGAAAAAAGAAGTCAAGCAGAATGTTCGCTCTAGCGCAGTTAGGTCCTCCAACGAACAGCCGTTTCTCCCTTCGCGACGGTTTACTTGCAACCGCCCATCTGTCCTTCTTACTCTATTTCTTTTAAATTCAAAGCAGGAATTCAAGTTTTATATTTGTATTTTGTATTTATATGAGTTTGAATAGAAGTAGAGAACCATAAAATGCATGAAGCTCAAGGTTTCCCCAACACAGTTTGGTTTTTTTGCGATTTCAAAACTGTTTATGAGGGTTTCGTCTTTTCAGTGTTTCTTCTTGTTTTTCCAAAATTTTTCTCTTAAACCTCACTTCAGAATGGCTTGGATGCGCCCTCCCCCGCATGGCACTCAGCTCAGACCATGGGTTCCGGATCTCATCTTTGTTCCAATTTCTCGCGCCGTTGAACGAGTGGGAGTCTTCTTCTATAACAGGTTCTTAATTAATTTCTTGAGAAATTTGAAGTTGTTCAGTTAAAATTCAGTGCTATCTAATCAGGTTTTGCATAATAAGTGTTGGTCTGACTCTCCCATCTAGTTTGATAACGATTTTGATCGTCCCAGTCAGACAGAGGGAATAGGTTTAACTTTATAACATCGGAAATTTTACAGGTTTTTTCGATTTTTCATCTCATCGCATTACAAATGTTTAGAACGAAATTTTTGAGAAAGTGTGCTTTTTTGTTTGACAGCGTTCTGGTGAAAATTTTTTTCATCGAACTATCAATAGGCAAAACTTTGGGATAATGATAATAAATCGATTACTTCAGAAATTTTGGTTTTTTCAACGTTTTGTTTTTTTAGAGTCTTGAACAAGACTGAAATCGGATTGTTCGACAAGCGATGGAACAAGAATGTCCATGGACCTTATTGCCACTGGCGTTACTACGGAAAGCGTTAGTTTTTGCTTGATTTTATTTCTGCCGGTAAAGGTTTTTTTTTTTGAATGTTTCAGTATTTTTTGTTTCTGAAAGAGTTTAATTTTATTAATCTTTTTTCATATGAATAAGTGTTTAAGAATATGTTTCTTCTATTTTTCCTGATCTTTTTAATCGATTTGCACTTTTATATTCTTTTTCTTACAGTGGACACTAAGTTCCTGGACGTGAAGCTTGGCGATTTGCCAGCTTGGATGGCCCGACGTGAAAAGACGCCGTCGGCTTTCTACAATGAATTCATGCGCAACATCTGGCGCGTTCACAACCTTTACTACTCCGGACCCGTCTACGCCAACACTGTTTGTTTTTTTTTTTCATTTCGTTTATGAATTATTCATTAATCGATCCATAAAGTGTCTTAAAGCGAAGAAAATGCTTCCATGCACTAAAAAGTTCCAGTTCGAATCAGCTCATTAAAACTCAAGTTCTAATTAAGTAGATGTTCTATATTCATCGAAAAAGATATAAATTAACTTTTCTTTCTTTGAAAATAAACAGTCTCACATTTTAGCTATAGTATTTTTATGGTGTGTGTAACTGGGATCTTATTAAAGATGAATGATCTTAAGAAGAGAATAATTGAGGATATAAAGCTTTCTAGGCTCATCTTTCAAAATTATTCCCCTTTTCCATTGAACTAGTACTTCAGTACTCCGTCCATTTTTTTCTAGAAAGCAGCTGTTTATTAAGTGGTTTAATGCAAATATAAAATTTAATATTAGTTGAGTTTCTAAAGGTTTAACAATAATGCGACCCTAGAAATTGAAACAAAAAGATTCTAATCGTATTTCAAGACGCATGTTTTCGAATTCGCTTTTTTTTTTCTTTTATATTCAAGGATTGTCTGAAGTTAATATCAAGCTTTGCATTTGTGATTGAACTAAATTGATTGCACAAAAAATCTGAAGAAAAAGAAACCTTTTTGAGTATTGAAAAGAAAAATATGAAAAAATAACACGCATTTTCCCGTTTTTCATAGACTTTCTGATTGTGATTTGGAGTTTATCCATGTCGTTGTTGAGACTTTAGAATCGATGAATAAATGAAAAATTACAGAAATTTACAATCAATTTGCAGGTTAAAACGATCTTCCGCTTCGTTTTCGCCTACTCGTTCCTGAACTGGCTGGTCAAGTCGCACCGTTATCTCGACTTCCAGAAGACCATGTACCACTGGTAGATGTCGCATCGATGAAATGAATGGGGAGGACGTTTTAGCGCGATCCATAGTTTTTGATTGAATTGTCACTGGCGACCATTTGTTACTTTTTTTGCCCTTTATTGTAAAAGCCGAATAAATAGATTTTCAAGTTCTTCCAGTTTTTCGATCGGACAAAAAAAAAGTTAATCGACAGAGATATTTGATAAAGCAAAGAGGCTGTATACGAAGTTTCGCCAACCGAAAATGAGGTCAAAGATTTGATTCCGAGATAACTCATTCTTTCTTCTTGTTTTTCCCTTTGACAGTTTCCCATTTCAATCGCTCATATTAGTTTTACAATTTTAATGAGGGAAGATTCATATCTTGTTTTGATTGCTATTTTAACTACTTTTCGTTTTTTTCTTTCTCAGAGTACTTGATCCTTTCGTAACTGCTAGTGACCAAAATTAGCCAAGACTGATGTAGTCTTTTTATTCAAAGAAGACGCATGAAACTAATTTCATGCCGTTTTCTTCAAACTGCCTCCTTTGGTAAAGCTCATTTTTGCTTTACTCCATTCAGCAATAGCTGTGAAACTTAACCTGTCAACTTGTAAACGTTAGACCTTCAATCTCTGAAGATTTGAACCCCCTTTCTCCTTTAAATTCGATTTAAGGACAGTATCTGAAGCTCCGAAGCCCCGAAAAGCTTTTTTGAACTAATTTTATGGGGATTTTCGGATCATAAACCATTAAAACTTCGTTCTGTGTTTTTTGATTATCCCATATTTGCATAAATCGTAGCCGATCCGCGAAATGGGGGCCACGGCACAGAATGGCGTCGGCCGACGTGGAGTTCTCATTGTTTTTGAAGGTGATTTGTTGAACTAGTCGGTTCAGAACTGCTCAGAAAAGGATTTTTTGAGTTCTGTTCGAAAATATGTGTAGTTTGATGTCGTTTTATGAGGATCCTCCTAGAAAAACTACGAGAAAGATCTTTTGAACAATTTTTTTGGTCTCTTTTTACAAGAAGATAGGCTTTTTGTATTGGCTTTTAAGAAATCTTATGGCGTTCTTCTCGGCTTCCTTCTTTCAACCTTTCTCGCGTTCTTGAATGCGATCTTCAGAAGTTCTTAATGTGAAAATAGACAAAACTAAAATCCTCTCTCAGTGTTTTATCGGGTTCTGTGCCTTTGAAAAACCTACCGAGCAGTTTTGAGCCCACTTTATACCTTTTTTTGAGTTTTCATGGAATCCAATTAGTTTAAGGCCTCGACCGCAGTGGAAAATCAACCCAAGCTCGTCGACTCCTCGATTTTATAAATAAAGAAAAAGGCCAAGGCGATTCTTCCAGTCCGGCTGCCATTTTGCAGGCGTTTCCTGGTGAAAAAATCATTGGATTTAAATGATTTTCTTGATTCTTCAGACAGAAAAGAGCCCTTTGGACAAGTTATCGACAAGTATTTACGGAAGGAAATCGATCTTTGTGAACGGGCCCTTCATTTGGCTTTTTCCGCGAATCGATGGGAGAAGGTTGGATTTTTCGATTAAATATATCTGAATAAAAAAAGTTTGAATTCAGAACTTATCTGTTTCTTGTTTATTTGTGAAGAGTTTCAAAGCTCTAAATTTCCCTGTATGTCGTGTTTGAAAGTAATTTTTTTGAAGGCTGCAGTATAACCAAAATGTAGAACGTGAATTCGAAAAAAATAATCTTTCAAACAATCGTTACAAACGAAAGAGGATAGAAAAAAACTGAAAAAGATTTTAATCTGGCGTAAAGTTTGAATGTTTCAAAAAAGTTGAATGTTACAAAAACCAGATTTTGACGGCCCAAAATGAAAGATTTCGTGTTTTTCATTAACTTTTATGTCAACCGTTTTAACTTGAGCTGAAATGTAAATATGTTATGTGTGTTCATTAAGATTTGATAGCATTATTAGGCGGAAAAAGGAAAAAAATTCAGAATTTTTTTAAAAACTGACTTTTTGAAATTTTCATACTATGAAGAAATACGCTTTTTTTCAACCGTTACCTCATGAGAAATGTGTTAAGAGTGGAACCAAAGAGGCAAAAAGTTTGCCAGGGACGGGATTCGAACCCGCGAAGGATTAATCCGTATGAACATAAGTCATATGCCGTTGACCACTTGGCTACCCTGGCCCATCAACTAAGTTTCTTATGCAGTATCCGTCCTTGTGTGACGGCTGGGGATTTTGAAGTCGTGGTTTCCCACTACCAACATTTCTTAAACCCCTTGGTTGGGTCGGGGATCGAACTTGTGACCCTGTGGACCGTAGACAGGCACACAACCTGTTGCGCTCCGGTGCGCCCAAGTATGTGTATGGGCAGTGTATCATATATTATACCTTTCCTCAAGCTCCAATATTTCATCCTCATTTGTTTGCCATGAGAGGCGGCGCCTGTGGCACCCGCCTTATCTATTGATTTCTATCTCACTCTGGCATAATTCAAGAACACCGAGCACTACGTGATCTGAGCCGAGTTTGCACTAAAGTACTTTGAGATGAGGAAACATTTCCGTCGTCAAAGTCTCTTTTATTCGAAGTCTGAGTTATAAGAAGTTTTCACGCTGTAAGTTGAAGAAAAAAGGGTTAGATTGAAAAAATGGAGGTCGAATGTGAAGACTTTCATCTCATTTTCTAGGTTTTCCAGATTTTTTTAATGAAAAGTTTCTTTCAATTTAAAAAACTGAGTTATTTTCGAAATAACAGTTTTACAATGTTATCGCTCAAACTTGGAATAGCTTGTTTTTTTACGAGTTTTTTTAGAACTGCTTTAATTTCAATTAACATTGTAGCGCATAATTAGTTTCGATATGAATCAGAAGATTTTGGATATATTCCCTTAATTTAAAGGTTTTGGTGCTAAAAACAAACCTTTTCAAAAAAACAAATTTCAAACTTTTTGTTTCATTAATTTTTTTAATTTTTTTACCCTAAAATTTGTTAATAACATTATTATCACTTTAACTATACTTTTTACCTGAATGATTATTAACAAAAAGTTTAAAAAAATTTAAAAAAATTGTGGAAACAAGATTTTTTTGATTTTAAGAATCTCTAATAGAAATTACATAAAAAGTTCTACGATTGTATATACGAATATATTAAAAAAATAAGATGAAGCTTTGTAAGGCATTATGATCAAAAATAGTCAGTCCACGTTAAAAAAATTTTTTTATTAATATTTTCAAAATCTTAATTAAATTCAAAATTAAATTTTTCTTTATTTTTTTCTAGAAAATGTCAAAAAAAGCGAACTAGCCGCTTAAATAAGTGGCGACCCGAAAATTGGGCAATCAGGGACTTACCAAAAATTTCAGACCGGCGCCAGGGTAGCCAAGTGGTCAACGGCATATGACTTATGTTCATACGGATTAATCCTTCGCGGGTTCGAATCCCGTCCCTGGCAAACCATTTTTTTGCCGTTTTTTTCAAATTTTTTTATTTTTTTAATTTTTTTAGAATTTTTCAATTTCTTTTTTTGTTGTTTTTGTTTTAGTCTCCGTCATAATTTTAAATTCTCAAAAAAATATCTTATTGGAAAAATCAGTTCATTTTTAATATCTTCATAATTTTAAAAAAATTCAAAAAAAGCCAAACTTGGTAAAGGGAGTTAATTTTTTTCATTGCAAACGTTATTATTTATTTATTTTTTTGCTTTTTTTCGCAAAAACTATATTGAAATTTTGATTTTGAGAAATTTTTTTAAAAAAATCTTTCAAGATCTTTCACTCTGAGAATTGAAGTTTGGGTTAAAAAAATGATTAATTGGTTTTTAATAAGCTCTCAATAAAGGGGAAATCAAATTTTAAGACTATTTCGAATATTTTATTAAAATCAGTTTTGTTACAGGAATCTCTGATTCGCGAGAAAAATCGCCGCCGGCGTCGACGTGATTTGCGATCGTTATGTCTACAGCGGCGTCGCCTATTCAATGGCTAAAGGTTTGTTTTTTTTTCTAAATTTGTTTTCGAAACGGTATTGAAAAAAACAAGCTCAACTTACTGCTTAAAAAAACCGACAAAAAAATAGAGCAAAATTTAAATATTTCCATTAAGTTAATAACATTTTCGGTGTCTTTTTTTTCCAAAGATCGAAAAAAAGTCAATATTTTTATAAAAATTACTGATTTTCAACGCAAAGAAGTTTTTCGAGAAGCTTTTTGGGGGAAGAATAAAATTGTGAATTTTAGTTCAACGGTAAAATTCTGTATAGAATTTATTGAGAAGGATTTGTGTGGGGAGCTACTTAAATATGGTTATTTTTTCTTTAAAATTAACTTCTTTCACTCTTTCTTAGAAATTTTATTTATTTATCAGGGGCTATTTAGTTTGAGATCGCTGTACTGTCCTTGTGTCATATTAGCAAAACAGCCCTTTTATAACGAATTCTAATTTTTGTCATCTGAAGGCCACTGCAGTTAACTGTTTCTATCTTTCTTCAAAATTTCGACGTTTCATTTAAGTTCGATCTCACGGAATTAAAAATCTACTTGATCACCCAACGAGAAACTTACACGAAGAGGAAGATTCGATACAAAAAAAGGAAAGAGAAAATTTGGAGGATCTTTGATTGAAGAAACGCAACATACTCATCATTCAGCTTGGTTTCTTTTGAAATCAAGAAATTTGAATCAAAATGAATGTTCTCTTTGAAACACCCCGAACTGATAACCGAAAAATGCGAGTTTCGAACTGGTTGGAAAAATAATCTTGGACTATTGATTTTGGTACGAGGATGCAACGATGAAGACACACGAAGAAAAACTTTGGACATGTAAAAACGTAATATGAAGGCCTGGAGCAGCTTCGACACGTCTTTTTCAAGCCCCATCGACTCCTTAAGGAATCAAAAAAAGATGTCACTTTTTTTTAATCCTTTGCCGCAGAAGCAGCCCAAAGTGTGATCGATTTATCGGAGTACGTATGATGGCTTCAAGTTAATTCATTTCAATCGATAAAAGAAGAAACTTACGAAGTACAAGAGATCTTGTCAATGGACTCCAGAAGTGCGGAGAAGATTCACGGAAATTTCTACAGAAAAGAATCTCGATTTTTGGCATGAATAAGACTGCAAAACTTTTTTTCCGGAAACTCTCTTTTTCGGATCTGATCAAAATCGACTGATTCATCTTGGAACGTGAAGAGGGCTTCAAAATCACTCATCGATGTCAAATCATAAAGGATGAAGTTAAAATCGAGTACAGGAGGTTTTGTCAACATTTTTCCAAGTGTGGAGAAGATGTGAACAACTTCTGAAGGAGAGAAGCGTGGAATCACCTCGATTTTTGGCATGGATTTGATTGAAAAATATTTTTTCGGTCCCTACCGATTCACTTGAATACGCAAAGACGGCTTCAATTTTTTCTATTTGAATTGGTGAAGGAAGTAACTCACGAAATCGAGTACGGGAGATTTTTTCAATGAACTTTGGAATCGCGGAAAATTTTACAGAGCAAAAGCGTATGATCATCTTCATTTTTGGCATTACTAGGATTAGAAAATTACCTTTTCGGTCCCTCACTGTCTTCGGATCTGCTCAAAATTGACTGATTCACCTGGGGACGCGACGACGGAACGCAACAGGTGCGCGACATGGCAATCGTCCTCTTTTTTCGCTGTCTCGATTCCAAGAACAACGATGCGCAATTACACCAATTCGTCGTCCTTTTCTGAAATCTTCCTGCCATTCGTGATTTGACGTCCCGTTCAAAAATTGTCCTGGTCATACGAAGATTTTGCGTGTTCGGGTCTTTTACGTAGCTATTCCGCAACGCGTAGAGAATCTGTTTGAAGATTTCAGAATAAATTTGATTTTTAGAATCTTAAAAAAGGGCCTCCGTTACACGCATGTTGGGAAATAAATCAATGCTCGTTCAGAAATAAAAAAATAAAATTATTTCAAAAAAACAAAAAAAGCAAAAAAATTTTTTAGAGTAACAAAATCAACAAAAAAACGCTTTTTCAGGTTTTTCGTGCTCCCTATCGAGCGAGTCATTTAAAAAAGTAAAAATTTTCTAGTTTAATTTTTAAATGAGTTCATAATTTAATACATTCCTTGAGGAGTTTTGTTTTACAAAAATAACTTTCAAATAATTTCGAGCAAAAAACTAAAAAAACATACTTTATGCACTTTTTGATGCTCCAAAAAAACAGTTAAATGTCTTTTAAAAAAAGAAAAAGAATGAGATCGAAATTAAAACCCTTTTTTTAAATTTTTGTTTTCCAAATGATGCAAAAATATTCAGAAAAAGTTTTCAAAATGACCTACTTTCCTTTTTTTAATTAAAAAAATTTTTTTTGATGAAAGTGGAAACAAATGGGAATTTCAAAACAATTTTTATATTTTCTTTTTGTTTGATTGTTTGAAATGTTATTGTTACTGTTATAGCTATTAGTTATGAGTAAACGTTAAAAAAATTGAAAGTAATGTTAAAGATGTGAATCATATCGGAATTGATCCGAAATACTGTGTTTTTAATTCAGAAAATCCTTATAAAATGTCTAGCAAAGTTTATATTTTTTTATTATTGCAGAATCACATCAACGAATCGATTCGGCCGCTCAAAATTACATGATGTCCCGAAAATTGGGCAATCAGGGACTTACCAAAATTTCAGACCGGCGCCAGGGTAGCCAAGTGGTCAACGGCATATGACTTATGTTCATACGGATTAATCCTTCGCGGGTTCGAATCCCGTCCCTGGCAAACCATTTTTTTGCCGTTTTTTTCGAATTTTTTTCATTCTGTCGATTTTTTTAAAATATTCTTTTTCTGTGCTTTTTTTCATTCTCCGTTACAATTTTTTTAATAATTAAAAAAACTTCATTTTTAAAAAAATTCGATCCTAACAGAATTATTTCATCAAAAGATATGTATTTCTATATTTTTATTGCAAAAACCTTACTAGAATTTATAAATCAAAAATCAAGTTTTGCAATAAAGAAAAACGAAAGTATAAAAAAAATTTTTTTGCAATAAAAAAATTGACTTTCCTTCACCAAGTTTTGCAAGTTTGCGATATCATAATATGATGAAAGTGTTTAAAAATAAGCTAAATTTCCGAAAAAAATTTTCTTTTAAAAATTTAAAAATTGTGACGGAAAATGAAACAAACCACAAAAAAAAAGAAAAATTTGGAAATCGACAGTATAAAAAATTTGAAAAAAACGGCAAAAATGGTTTGCCAGGGACGGGATTCGAACCCGCGAAGGATTAATCCGTATGAACATAAGTCATATGCCGTTGACCACTTGGCTACCCTGGCGCCGGTCTGAAATTCTTGTAAGCCACTAATCGCCCAGTTTTCGGGCCATCATGTTATTTTCGAGCGGCTCAATCGCTATTTTGACATTTTTATAACTATTGCTGAAAATAAATTTTTATATTTTCTCGCCAAAAGTAAATTTCTTGTATGTATTCTTGATAGATAAGATTTCTGTTATTGTTAAATTTTTAGAATAATATATTTCTAGTTTTTTTTAGTTCGACTTCGATGAAATGTCCCGTTATCAGTGCGAAAATCTTCGTTCAGTTTTTATTCATGGTTCCATTCAAAAAACCAAGCTTTTTAATTTTTTTTTTGATAGGTTTTTGATATAACTACATTTTGGGCCGTTTTCTTTTTTCAGAAAGGCCATCGATTTAATTTTTTTTTTTCCAACTAAAGCTCTCTTTCGATCTTCAATTTATGGAAAAATACTTTTCAATTTTTTTCGAAAAGTTACTCATTTTATTTTGAATTGTAAGTTCTTTATATCGATTGGATGATAGTGCCTAAAAAAACTCCGATTTTTTTATTAATTTTTTTAGTTTTTTTGAATAATTGGATATAATGCTAAAAAGTTGAGAGAATTTAATTTTTCACTTAGGGGAGCGGCATTTAGGAGAAATATCTTTTACAGAACTTCTCAATACTAGAACTAAAGCAAAATTTTCTAAAACATTCTAAAAAAAAAGGGCCCCTGATTTCTAAGATAACCTTTGGTAGTGCGAGACACTATTAAGGAGAAGCTTGAGCCACCTGCTGCAGGTAAATCGCTCGTGTTTGGGTACGGTAAAGGGATTAATTAGGAAGGGCGCATCTGCTTCGCCCTGTTGACATCGGCCAACACGGTTATTGCTCTTTATGGAATGATCCGCTCCTGCCAACCTTTTCTTTATCCTCACCGACTAGATTTTTCGATAACTCGAGTTGAAGAAGGAAGTTAGCGACAGATGGAAAAATTCTAGAGTAATATATTATTTATCGAGAATCTCGGCTGAGTCTCGAATTCATGCTTTTTTTCTACAACAATGAAAAAAATTTTTTTGAATCCAACTTTTTTACCAAGTTAGTGGCATTAACGTTTCTTTGGATGCAAAATATACCTTCGTGAACAATTTGTCACCTTTCTACGCAATTAACTTGCATAGAGAAACATCAAAGTCATTTGACATGTGGTGGATTATTTTATTATTAAAGTTCTGACTATTTCTGGGCTTTTTTTGGTTCTAAACAAGTCTTTTGCAAATAATCAAAACTGTAAATTTTGTTTTATGGGTGCGATAGAGAAGATTTTGAAGCAATTAATATTTTTGAAAGAATCGTATGAAGTTTCTTATCAAAAATTCGAGACGGAGAGGCTTTTTATTGGAATTTCGGTCGATTTTCATGCATTTGAAAATCAGATTTAGCTGCTCTCGACCAATAGGAGAATACTGACCCTTTAGCGCAGAACTTTTTAGATGAAATAATTACGAAGAATGTGTTTCAAACCCTATAAGGTTAAGCTCTTTGACGAACTGCTCAATCGTTTACATTTACTTCTCGTTTCCTCAGTTGGCCCGTACACATAGACACCCCCGAACAAACACAAAATGCCCCCAGAGCCGCCAAAATGCGACAATGACATGACTCCTTTGATCTTCTTCTTCCTCCTTCAATTGTTATCCGACGACGTAATGGAGTTGGCTGCGATTTGAATGGGCCTGAGATGCCCTGTCGGAATACCTTTTGCGACAGCGTTTCCGGACCGGAATCCGATGACTCGCCACCGCATTTTGTTGAGGAGCCGAGGAGTTGTTATCCCAGCGAAGCACAACGGCTTCCGGCGCTCTTCGGATCCGAGGAAGGAAACTATTTGGCCGTCGATGATTGTCTTCGTCCGTCTGCTAGCAGACGACCACGATTAGCGACGCTTTTTTGCGTTTCGCAAGATTTTTCTAGTTATGTGCAGGATTTTTACAATGTGAAAATCTTCAAAATAGTTTGTGATTGACTTATTGGGTTAGTCGTGACATTGGATAGTCTTTGGAAGTTTTAGAGTCAGTTTTAAAACATGGGATCATGATATAGTGGTTTCCGGCTTCATGAAGGATCATGGAAGAGCTTGAACTTAATCATAAAACTTTAAGTTTTAAAAGAAACAATTTTTTCAAACTTGTCTATGCTTCAATATCCAAATTTGTTTAGGCTTCTCAAACGCCTTTTCAAAAATTTTCAAAATTTTTAGCAAGTCAAGGAGAATTCTATTTCAACTTTTCATTGAAATTCCAAAAAAGCTGATTTTTCAAATGAACCCCGGTGTAAATGACGGGGTTTTTACTCTGATCTTTTCGAAATCGCGCCAAGTGAGATTACGGTGTTTGACTGCGAAATGATTAGTGCAAACACTTATCAGAAGACGTGAGCCCTTTCGCGGCGCCGTCTTTCCCCCACTCGACGTCACGCTTGGCGGTATCTTTCCACACACCTTATACCTGTCAAATTAGCCGGAGAAGCTCAAAGCTACCTGGCCCGATCAACTTAATTATGATAGCTGTCTGCGGTTTGGAGCCGGCCCGAAAGTGGCTCATTCTGGCCTTTGATGTACCTCCGCCGCTCCGAAGACAATTGCGCGCGAAGATTTACCGCCCTCCGCAGAGTTGATGCATTAGAAGAAAGTGTCTCGTCTTGAAAACGGCCGCTGCACAAAAAGGGCCCCCTTCAATGCTTAATCGCTTCCTGTTGCGCTTCTGCACCGCTATTACGGCTCATCGGCTTCTGAGGAGTGCTTTGGCGTAGCATCCCGAGCTTTTCTTCTAGATTTGGGAGTTTCAAGAGGTGAAGCCCATCAGAAAACGATGGACTTCCATTTTTGGTCTTCTGAAGACATGGTGTTAAAATTGAAAGTTCGTAGCCACTTAGCATCGCCGTAGTGGTCCCTATAGGAGTTGTTCAGGATCTCACCAATAAGGTACAAAAGCTCAATTGGTCTCTGTAGAGTCTTACAGAGACCAATTGAGCTTTTGTCTCCATATAGAGGGGGGGCAAAGTGTTTTCTAGAGTGGAACCTTCAAGGGCCCATATCGGTGATAGCCTGCGAATTGAATCAATGTCGAGTTGTTGAGATTTGCTACGAAATATGTCTTTTCTCCTCTATTTCAATCAACGTATCTTCCCAAGACTTTCCGATCTGCTCGACCTTAATGAGCGGCGACTGACTGTGTTTGTATTGGGTCACGTTGCCGCCTTGAGCAACAACAACCACCTGAAGGAGGTCGGCCCTGGAAGGCAGCCCGGTGTCGCCTTCCACGCAAAGATGCGTAATTGATGTGGGCGGCTGTGGTGAGTCGCGTGTGGATTACGGTAGCGTCTAATGGTTGCGGACTGCTGGGTAAACACCTTTTGCTCGACATCTAACCAAATACAACTCGATTCCTGTTACAGTTCTTTTTTCATCAGCATGATGACCGTGTTTTAGAAGTTTTCTGGTTGAGAAGGTCAGGATTTGAAGTTTTTGTTTGAAGGCGGAAAATTTTTGCATATTTAAAGGAAATTCCGGTTTCATGTTGGTCAAACTGCTTATTCTCTAAACTTCTTGCAGAAACTTTTAAAAAGGTCCCCTCATGGCCATAAACTCAAGGTCTCTGAGAAGAAAGCCAAAACGGATTTCGAGATGATAAACAGATTATTCCCACGGTATACCACGCTAATTGATATGAAGCTGGAAGGTCCCCCTGTCAGAAGATTGACGCTCTTAGAGGTTATTATTAAGGTGGCGGGAGACGCGGGCGTGAGAATCCAAGAAGCGGCGGCGCACCGGAAGCCATGCTTGAATGGATTTTCGTCGCCGCCGGATTCTTCCGGGCCGCTCTCAGGTAAACGCCACCTGAGATGCTCATTGGCGTGAAATGACTTGCGAAGAAGCACGGCCTCTCACGAAAAACGGTGTAGTTGTAGAAGAAAATGAGAGGAACATCATTTGTTCTGTTATTCTCAGATTCAGAAGTAACAAGGGAGATCGTCTTTTGAGTTTTCTTTGGAAAAGAGATGACTGTTGAAAGTTGTAAAATTTCACTTGAAACACGTTTGAACCAAATTTTAATAAGGGATTTTCATATTATCGGCTTCTGTAACTGTTTTCATTGTTTTGAACCTTCGAGGTTCAGCTTCTTATTCTGACTACCAGGGAAGCTTTGAAAAACCGTATCTTGGCTCGAATTTATATTTTCCTGTAAAAGTAAAAGGTTTTTCTTACCGCTGTGCAAGAGCGACATATCCACCAAACATGAGCTCGATCGAAGTTTTCGACTTTTGAGGGTTCATAACTTTTTACACATCTTCCTAGATCGTTTTTGAGATTAGCTTCGAAATCAGTGTGAAAAACTACATCTAGGAGACCTGGTCTCATTCGGAGGTCGACTGCGTTTGAATTTTAAATAAATATTTGCAAAATAATTTGTAATCTTGAGAGGAAGGACTCGAACCAGCGGCTGAAGTTTTTTTTAAAATTCGGTTTTTAATGTTATTTTTTGCCCTGTAAATAGTTGAAAGAGCCTTTTGAGCCTCGAAATGCGCGTCAACGCTTCTCAAAGTTGCTTAGAACCCGATTTGGCGGCACTCGAACCGCTCCGACGCCTCTTTCAAGAGTGATGACTTTTCTTCTTCGCGGAACCCATCAATGGGGTTACGGTAACCGAAGAATACAATGGACGCCTCGGCCGCCTCGTTGATCACTACGGTCAACAAGGGAAGACTGTCGCTAACAGACGTCTTCGTTTTTCGGCTGAACTTTGCGCAGCCGGAAAAAAAAATGAAGAAATTTCCGTTTGTTAACTTTCCAAAGTGCCTTGGCATGTCGGAGGGCTGTTTGAAAGAAACACCTGTTTCTGATGTTTGCAGTTATTTTTTCCTTCCTCATCATTGCTACAAAGTTGTAGCCTAGGAGACGTGCGACGCAAGTTTTTGGGAGTTTCCAAGGATAAAATAAGCTCTTTTTTGATAATACGATTTTTTGATAAGGGTTAAAGTTTAGGCTGGAATTTTTTCAAAAAAAAAACCTTGAAATACTGAGAAAAATTTTTTTCAGTTTGAGAGTGATTTGAATAATGAAAGCTAAATCTAATTTAAATCGAGAATAACTGTGACTGTTTGAAACTTTCAGTTGAAGTGAAATTTATATTAAAACTGAAAAACATGTCCTTTTACTGAAGAAAAAGTCTCAAAGAAGTCCTTTTTTTCTTATTCTCCCGGAAAGTCAAATTGACATAAAGAATTTTTCATGTCAAAGATCTTCACGAAAAGTCACAAACAACATACTTATTAAGAAACCGAAATGCAGTCTTTAAAATCGATAGGCTCAAAATATCGCTACGGGTATGCACTGATTTTAAGCACTACAACGAGCGAGAGGAAATCGATTCGTTAAAACAGTTATTTTAAGCTAGTTGAGTTTTTCCTCGCCGTAGAGATTCAGTGGACACGTAAAAATGATTCCTAGCCAAAAAGCCAACATTTAAAAAATTAAACATCCAGGGCTCGACGAGAACTGGGTCCGACAGTCGGACGTCGGCCTTCCGAAGCCCGACGTCGTGCTCTTCTTTCGACGTCAGCTCTGAAGTGGCCAGACAACGTGGGGGATTCGGAGCGGAACGACTCGAATGTGAAACTCTTCAGCAGAAGGTCGCGGCAAGAATGAAGGCGTTGCGGTCGGAAAATTGGAAAGTTTGTGGAAAGGGGTTGATGTTGATTGATTTCGCAATCTCTGCAGACGGTGAATGCCGACGGAACTTTGGACGAGGTCGAACTTCTGGTCCGCAACCTCTATCAGAACATTGACCGTTCCCAGCCTCTGACTAGCCTCGATTCGATTTGATTTGAATAATTTTTTGTACAGCCTATTCGCCAAAACAGTCCAGATCCCTTTTCTGAGCCTCTCTTTCCTCGCCGGTGAGAGAAAAGAGATCGCAGACAAGTCAGATTGTTTAATGCAAATAAGCCCTTTGTTTCCTAATTTATTAATATTCATTCAATCATTCCATGTTTTTTGGAAATTCAATCATTATACTTGAGACCCTCTGGTTGCATGTGGAATGGCTTAACGTGATGTGATTCGAGTTCAAACCTTGAGCCATTCTCAGTGCGACCAAAAAGTTTCATTTTCTCTAAATATTCCACACATCTGGGTGAAGGTATCTCAACTTTTATGCACTATCTCATTCCTTCTTTTTTACATTTTGAGAGATTTGAAACACGTGAAACAAACTATTTATCGGTCATAAAATGATGAACAATCTGTACAACAGGAATGAAAAAGCAGAGGAAAAAAAACACGAAACGAGAGAATCACATCGGCAAAGAGAACTCCTTAATGAATGGCTATTAGAATTTTTGTCTGATAATCTTTGATAAGTTTTCTTTTTTCTGATGATGTTATGCGAAGATATGAAATAATCGAATGGCGGAAAATACCTGCGTTTTTTGGGGACGGATGCAATTTTTTTTCTTTTTTTGGTGGGGATTTTCGAGGAATCTAACTGACAGGAAGACAACTGACGAGCTGAAAAAGAGCGCTCCCAATCGAAAAAATATGAGAACCCAATGAGATATACAAAAATACAGTTGAGGAAAAGTTGCTTTATTATATATCTCGAAGAAGGATGATAATATTAAATCTAAACTTTTCAATATATTCTAAAAAATTCGATTGCAGGAAGAGCTGGAAAATGAGCCTTACTGCGCTTCATGGAAAGAATATGCAATTGAAACGCTCTGACCTGTCTGCTCCCTCTGTTCTCTTACCGGTGAGGTCAGAGAGCAAGAGAGCGCAGACAAGTGGAAGCGGTTGCTATTGAGGTACCTAAAAATGAATTGGAACTCGGACCTTGGTAACGAATTCGACGCGTCGGAGAGTTTCTAGTGATCACTTTAGTAGCGTCTTAAGTGATCTCTAGCATTGCTCAGAAACGTGCGTTTTTCGTTACCAAGGTCCGAGAGAAAAAAGAATCTTGTCAATGGAGCGCAACAGCTGTACTTTGGAGATACCCAAAAAGTCCACTCGGAAGGGGGAGGAAAATGAGGAAGTTCGTCGGCTGGGAGAAGAAGATGGAGTTACACGACATTGAGCAGGGCGGTGAGAGAGATCTCGGGGACGGCGTCGTGCTTCTTGAGATGCCGGTCAAGGTTCGTCTGCTGTCCGAAGCAGCGATCGCATCGCGGACATCGGAACGGCCGCTCCTGGAAGGGCAAGCCTCTGTTGATGCTGGAGGACACGCGTGTGCTGGACGTTCGGCTTAAAGAAGCAACACCGCCGGTGGGGAAAACGGACAGAGCATTTCTCTAATTTTCCTACTTTGTTCAAAAGTTTGGTTTCGAAAAGCTAGCCTTCAGCAAAGAGTTATGAATTTATTTTTTGGTTTTTTTTTAATAATTTATTTTCGCACCTTGGTAACGCGAACAGGACGCGAATCGGATATGTTGGAGCATTCCTAGTGACTACTTTAGTAGCCTCAGCGCTTCTAAGTGATCCTTAGAAATGCCCAGAAACGTCCGGAGCACGTCCGTTTCGCGTTACCAATGTCCAGTTCGATCAAAAAGCTCAAGTTGGGTTCAAAAAAAGTCAACCTTTCCGCAAAAAATAAGTTCATTTTTTCAACTTTTCGTTAAAAATCTCAAATTTGGTCCTAAAAATCCTATTAAAAAACTTAGCTGTTATTTATGAATATTTCTTTTATTATTTTTATTTTTCAACATGTTTCGAAGTAATTTTTTCACGGAAAACAGAAAAAAACACAACTGATAGTTAAAAAAACTTTTGGCGGATTCAAAGGTTTTTTTGACTCAAAAAGTTTACAAATTTTAAATATTTTCTTAGGTTAGTTAAAAAGCCTGAAGCCACCCGAAAAATGGAAAGAAAAAGTTCCCACAAGCACAAAAATTAAGAGGAAAATGAAAGGTCGTCGGATGCAGGGCAGAAAGAAGAAGAATCTACCTTGTTGTGGATGTTCCTGACGTGTCGTTGCAGGTTCGAGCTGATCGAGAACGACCGTTCGCAGTATTGGCACTGGAAAAATGCGAATTTTTAACACAAATTATGAGCTCTGCATACTTTTCATATTTACCGTGATACAGAGTAAAGTAAAAACAAAAGATCTTCTTTTAAAGAGTTACGAGTGAAACAGTAAATCTGAGGGAGAAGTTTAAATTTCTCCACAGTAATCTGTGAAAATATGAAGCTATTTGTGAGTACCTAGGTTGATTGAATATAAAAAAATCAATAAGTATTCAAGAATTCCTTGTTGATTTCAAGTCAGCGTTAATCAACTCGTTATGGATTTAGAACTTTATTTTTTCACTTAATAAAGTTTTTGGATGTCTTTTTATTTGTAAAGGACTTGAAGTTGATGTTACTGTTGATCAAAACTTCCCTAAAAAGCCACTGATCCCAATAATATTTATTTACTTGTTTTGGGGTCATGCGCACTTGATGGCGATTTGGCACGTTGGCTCTTTTTCTGTGTTTGCCTTCCAATCCGCATTTCCCTAGATACGGGTACTCGAACTAATAAAGTGGCCACGGGTTCAAGATGAGGACAGGTAATCAACAAGAAATCCTTAGAAAATCAGCTATATTTGGTCCGATTTGTTTGTTCTTTTTTGCGTAAATGAATTCAAGAAAAGATTTTTTTTTTGGGCTATGATATTTTTTTCTTTCTTAAACATTAAAAAGAGAACTTAAATGAATGTCTAATACTCATTTTCATGAAACTGATTTTTTTTTTTACCAAATCAATCTTTTTCGATGACAAAACCATTTCAACCGAATTTTCTGAAGAAATTTTAACTGAATATTAATTTCTGAAAACGGCAAAGTGATTTATTTAAAAGTTTTTATAGCTCTTCTCTGATTTGGAGCGCCACAACTCTTTCTCTGACATAAACTATTTCTTCGTTTTCTCGCAGCTAGATAACGACGAAATAGTGTATGTCATAGAAAGAGTTGTGGCGCCCTTTTGGCGCTCCATTCCAGAGTTTTTACGTATCCTTGCCTGAATTTTCAAAAGCAAAACCAAAAAAATCCCAAGTTTTTCAATAAAGAGCCATTTTTCGTATTAAGTGGAACACGTTTTCATTGCTGCCATTTAAATAATTAGCGAATTTTTTGGACTAGCTACTCGGATTTCCATCAGTTTTTTTCAATTTTCTATCAAGTCCCTACCTTATAAGGCTGTTCGCCAGTGTGAGTCCTCAGATGTCGGGTGAGGTTGGCCGAGCGGGGGAAGACTTTCTGGCAGAACTTGCAGGTGTAGCGGTCCTTGGGCGACTTGATCGTCGACATGGAGGCCGCCGAAGTGGCAGCCATGCCGAAGGGATTCGGGGCGCCAGGATAGGGGAAAGGTCGGCCGAGCATCGACAGGAACGCCGACGAACTGAACAAATCAATTTTTGGATTAAAAAGCATTTTTGAGTTATACTTGAAGGGATTCATATGAGGCAGGGAGGGAGGCAAGGGTTGAGACGAGGCGGTACTCGTCGGCTCGGACTTCTCCTCGGCGGAGTCGTCGTCGTCCTCGTTGCCGGAGTCGACGCTTTCGGCGTCGCTCTTCCGGTCGAGAGTTTCGGCGTCACTGGTGGTGGTGGTCGTGGAGGAGGCGGTGGCCGAAGAAGTGAGTCGGGGCTTCGACGTCGTCAGATCGAGCGGACTGAGTTCGGGGGCAGGGGGACTGCTGCTGCTCCCTTTCACGTCGCTGGGCGAGCCTCCGCTGGCGCGGCCACTGAAGGAGAATCTTGTATTTTATTGAACTGATTCTAACGACTCCAGGAAATTTTTTTTATTAACGAAAAAAATGGGAGTAAAATATCATCAAGTTTTTTCAAGCTCACTTTCTATTGATACCCGATTTTTTTCAGTGAGAGAGTAGGTGCTGGAGGGAGATGTCCGTTTCAAATTTTATCAAATACGGATTGAGAATATTTAAAAAATCTTTATAAAGGTCCTTACTGTTAGTGGAACGATTCCAAGAGTTCGCCCAATTTTTATTCAATTTGAAATGGTCAAACCATTTTTCACTATTTTGAAATTCTAGGATCGCTACAAACCTTTTTTTTCAATTGTACTAAAATGTCTTCTTAAAAGTTCCTTTTTTGCGGCTATTTTCTGATTTAAAAAATAATAGAAGCTCGTACAGTCAGGAAGAGAAATTCAGTTTTTCCAAAAGTGTAAATTTATTTCTTTACCGTAACAGACTTCTAATTTTAAAAAAATCAATTTCCTCATTATTGCACTCTGAGAAAAGATACAACTCAATTATTGCTTTTCCTTGCAATTCTCTAGATTCAGCCTGAAAATCAGTCCCTCATAAAACTCATATTCCCTCCTAACATTCCCTGAGAACATCGTCGCCTAATGGATAACACGCGCGATAAAAACGGGCGTTTGACTCGGAAAAACGAGGGAGGTCGCCATTGTGTTGGGAGAATACGCGAGTGCGTCTTTCAAGGGAATTAAACTTCTTTTTCCATTTTTTCGTGCCCCTCACCTCGAACTCTCGCCGTCAGGACTCATGCATGAAGTCATCAGCTTGTACGGGTCGGCGCCGAGCATTCCGAAAGAGAACTGCGGCAGCTGGAAAAGAGAACTTGATCTCTGACGAGGGTATCACCGGGCCGACCTGAGCGACGACTTGCATGAAGTGCGGCCAATAGGGCGGCATGAGGCCCTGGAATGGCTGGCCCGCCCGTCGCGAACAGAGGCTTGCACATGGAGGCCATCTCGCAGAGCTGTCGATGCTTTATCAAGGCGGCTTGTGATGGCATCGTCAAATGGCAGAGGGGACACTGCCAACCTTCCTAAAATGTGATGAAATAAAAACTTGCAGGTAGAAAAAAAGGTTTAATATTTTTTTATGTTTCTCAATTTCTTCGTGAATCTTTAAAATCGTCATTAAAAAAATTATCAATCAATTATTTCAATTTCTGAAAAAGTGCTACGAAAAAAACAAACTTGACGTTTAAAAAAATGCTCTGTTGTTTTTCTTTTTGTAATAAAAAAAGCTATTTTTTTGTCTCTGTAAATTTTTCATCTCAATCTTTCTTTGCTTTAATAAAGTTATTTTACGGGTGAGTTGGAAGACTAATAACGGAAGTTTTTTTATTTTTTTATTTCTACAGATTTTGAAACAGCTTTTTAAAAAAATTTTTTTTGTCGTCTTCTAAAGAACTCTAGCCAGAAAAATTATTAAAAACATTTTTTTTGCCAAATATTAATATTTCAATAGGATATTTCTGATTTTTTTCAAAAAGATAAGTATTCAAATTTTTGAACGACAAACTTTCTTTTTTTCCAACGGAAAAAAATGACTTTAAAGAAATTAAAATTTTTTTGAATTTTATTGAGGTCTCCTATTCTGATTCTCCAAAACCTCAATGTTATTTTCCAAAAATTGACTTTTTCACGTGGGATTTTTCCCACGTTTCACCTAGCCAGGTTATTATTGAGAACTTCCAGAATTATTTAATCATTGTTTTCCTTTTTTTGAAAAAAATCCATGAAATATTCTAGAAAAAAATTCTAGTTCCCACGATATTTTGCCGCCTATAACATTTCGCAACTTTAAAAAAGTTATATATAATATTATTTATTTCTGCCTGTAAATAAATAATATTATATATAACTTTTCAGTTCAATCTTATAAGATTATAATTATGGAAGAAATATGAGAGTGAGAAAAAAATCCTGAGGTGTTAATGTTGGATTGGAACTTCCAAAAAAATACAGGCTTGTTGATTCATATCTATCCGGATACATTGAACTCATTAATTTTTTTGTTGTTTTTTTGAGAGTTTCAGGCTTACAGAAGGGGATAGTATTGAAATGAGTATTTTTTTATCGATTGAAAAATTTCTTGATTCGAACTCTAAAGAGAACCAATAAATTGATCATTATCTTTCTTATTCTCCCAATATCCCATTCCAATAATTTTCGATTATCTTGCACTTTTTTTAAAAAAATTATGTTCAAGACTACTTTAATCCTACTCAAACCGCACAATCAAAAAGTTTAAAATCTTCAGGTTCTACTGCAATTTATAATCCATCGAACCTAATCTATTTACTACCTGAACCACTTCAGAACCTAAGGTTCAACTTCTTAACAAGTCCAAACTGAAACCCACCAAATGAACGCGTCGATGTCGACAGAGATTGGAGAACTGTGTGTAGGATTTGCTGCAGACGTGACACCGGAACGGCTTCAGACTGCAGTGGATGTGCGAATGTTGCTTGAGCCCGCTGGAAAAAAAGAGAGGAATCGTCGCCGGATGGAAGGTGGGCGGCGCCGAGGCAGTCTGTATGTTTGTCCCTCGTCTTCTTCTCCTCCTCCTCCTCCTCTCCGTATTTGGAGCGGTTGGAGAGGGGCACTCAGGTGTGCAGGTGAAGTAGTTGATTTGTATCGCTCCTCAGGAGCATGAGCTCCCCTTCTCCAGAGGATCGCATTACGGCTGGCAGGAGAGGAGGGGAAGAAGAAGGAGCTGGACGTATTTAATAGAAGCTCCTCTTCCCAACTGACTACGGTAGCTTCATAAGGTCTTCACTATCAAACGTTTTGTTGAGGTGAAACTTTGCTGGATTTTACCTTAAGACCACCGGATTCGAACAATAAAAAATCCTTTAATAGATTTTTTATCGAGTTACGACAGTTCAAAAATTGCAAACTACCTAAATTATTGTGAAGAGTTTGTTTCCTGGTCATCACAAGTCTAGAGGAGCACGGAAGAGTTTAAAAAAAGAAGCAAAAAGCCGTTTTTTGTGTTATCATAGGTCCAAGGCGCCATTAAATTCTACAGAGAGAAATATTTGACAAAAAATTCAGCTTCAAAAGTTTTACGGCTTTCCATTATTTTGATTTTACTGCGCAGGTTGAACATTTTCTTAGCTCTCTATGAGATTTATTGCTTACAGTAGAATTTGTTTCCCAAAGGAAAATATCCAACTTCAAGAGCCTTTGGGTGTTATCAGATGGTTTTAAATATCTCTCATTTGAAAAATTATCGAACTGATTTTTTTAACTGATGCAATATTACTACTGAAATCATTATAATCTCATCAAAAATTAAGAACACCTTTTTGTAAAAATAATTATCATTTATTATCACAAAAATCCTTATCCTATCTCTTCTCCCCACGCAAACACCTAAAAAAGAAATGACGCGGACCAAAAAAATTGTAGTCTCTTTGTCTTTATTCAATTTGGATTGTACATGGAGGTGGGTGGACTTTTTTTCTATTTTTTATTTGATGAATGAAGGCGTTTAAGTGAACGCGAGGCTACAATCATTTACTTTGTAGTGTTTTTGGTGTTTCAAAAAGAGCTTCGCAAGTGGAAATCTAGAGATCATTCCAAACTCTTTAAAAAAAAAACCTCGGCACAGAAACGTTTTCAGTCCAAAAAATCTAGGGATGACTAAGAAAACTTACAGTTACCAAAAAAATCTACAAGAAAAGATCAATTTGGTTTGTTTGCCAGCCCACACGAACGTTATTTACGAAAAAAAAACTTTTCCGAACTTTTGAACCAAAAAAAATTTCCAAAGATGGAAAAATGAGAAAATATAAATTTAAAAAGCAGAAAGAACATTTAAAAAGTTTTCGAATTTTTGTTCTTCAAATTTTAATTTTTTTTATTATGAACTTAAAATTTCGTATCAGTTCTCCTGCTGAAGTCTAGTTTGTCTGCTCTCTCTTTTCTCTAACCGCTAATGAGAGAAGAGATGCGGGAAACAATAAAACATTCCTGAACTTGCATTTTTTTCGTTTTAAAACATCAGTTTTAAGATTACGCCGAAGTCATTGTTATTGAAAAAATAACGGAAACTCAAAAATTATGTTTGATATGAAACCGTGAAGAACTGGAAACAAAAGGACAACAGAAGTAATCCGAGACAAATCCCAACGTAAAGGAGGCAGTGGGAAGTAGATGAGAGGTGAATAATTTATTAGGACCAACTGGAAACGAACCTGGCGCTGGAGAAGCTCTTGGGGCAGACGGGGCAGCGATGGGCCTGGCTGCCTTCTGGGACGAGCTGGCCCGGCTCGAGCTCGCCGACCTCCTTCCCGTCGACGGCCGCTTCTTCGCCGACGCCTGGGGACGTCGCACAGCTCGCGCTCGAGCAGATCCTACAGCTTGCAGAAAGTTAGAAGTCGTAGGGAAAAGGAAAAAATGACGGGGCCGATCCGATCTGCAGCACACATGGCGATGCGCGGAAGAAGATTACAAGAGTCTCGGAGGAAAGTCATCCAAACTTGTTCCTTCCTTTCGTTTTTTTCTTTTTCTCCTGCTTCCGTGTATCGCTGGGGTCATTTGCATACTACCAGCTACTTCTAATTCGACTTATCTTGATTTTTTATTCGGCTGGGGTTTTTTTTCGTGTAGGAATCAACTTTCCAATTTTCATTAATATTAATAATGCTTGAAAAATGCTTCAAATCAGCTGAATAGACCCTTGTTGAGGTCATAATCGCTTTTAAAATGGATCGGCGCGTAACGCGTGCGAAGCGGTTCGAATCCGCGACGCAACCGCGAATTTTCGAGCCATTCCAAGTGCGGTCATGGTTTTTCTTACTTGAGGAGAAGTTATTTAACAACTAATTCGCAAGTAATATAATCAAAGTTTGTATTAAAGAAATGACGATATTTTCTAAATTTGAACTATCGATGAAACAGCTATAATTTGAAAATCACAAGTTCCATTCACTTCCACGTAATTTTGCGGATCTTTTCTGCAGAAAATCTTAGCAAGGGCTGTTTGTTAAAAAAAATCCATACGCTTTTCTAATTTAAAAATTTCTTCAAAATAAATTCTCAAGAATTCAAAAAGTTTGTTGGGAAACCCTTTTTTTTCAAATGCATGTTGATTTCTCACCTGTCCTCCTTATCATTGTCGATGTCGACCTCCTCGTCTTCATCCTCGTCTTCTTCTTCCGACCAGCGTTGCAACAAAAGTCGCTCTCCTACTCGGATATGACGGCAAGTTTGAAGATAAGTCTGAAAATAATCATGACATCTTTTATTTTTCCGAAGAGTTCCCACCTTCGTTTCAACCTGCCGCACGGAAATATTTGGCTCTTCGCCGTCTTCGGCTTCTTTTATCAGGTTGAGTATCAACAAGGCGTTCGGATCGTTGGGGGCGGTCTGAAAACGCTCAATCAGACTGAAAATCATGAAAAAAAGACGATTGAACTTAAAATTTATTGGGATAATCACGGTGATGATATTAAAGTCAGTCCCGTCATTCAAGATTCGGAGATCTTTTTCACATTTCGTGAACTTTTTTTTCTGTGGGAAAACTGAGAAAAATTCTCTTCGCAGCCGTTTATTTGAAGGTGCAGTAAAATATATTTCAGCGTTTCTATGGGTCTATGAAAATTGTTGAAAACCACTTGTAAAGTACGATTCACAAACTGAGCTGGAGGGTTAAGAAGCATTGCAGGACCAAATATAAAACTCAAAATGACCTTTTTTGAGACTACTATGTAATTCGCCTTCAACTCCAAGTCCCCCAAAAAGTCTTGAGTCACTCGCTCTTCCGAACTTATCCAATCTCGAGTTCCTCAGAAGATTAGTTCCTATGGTAAGCGAGGCAGACAATTTGCAAGCGAAGAAGTAATCAGGCGGCCCCGGGAATCAAATTTTTCCCATAACCGACGACGGCAGGTGCGGGAAACGGCCGGCATGTAATCTTGGGCAAAACTCTAATCAGGTAAGAATTATCACCGCCGACGGCGTTTTGGCCATCCGTCAACATGTACAGTAACCGGGGTGGCGGCTGATTGCATTTCGTCGCGGAATCTCTTTTTCGGCCACTTCCATTTTCTAATCTTTTCCACGCAAACACTCATTTTCTTCTTCGTTCTCGTCATCGGTTAGGTCCTACGGTAAGTGATAAAAATGCGATGGCGAATTTTTCGATTAGAAAAACATAAATGAGAGAAGATAAGCGAAAATGAATAAGGCGGCAACGAGCTTCTTTTTCGATTAAAAATGGGAAAAAAATATTTTACAAGCCTTTATAAAGCCCATAGAACTGTCAATGAACTGGTCGTAACAGCAAAACGATAGAAAAGAGGAAAAATGTGAAGAAGAAGAAAAAAATTACGTCCGCGAAAATTTTAATCTAAAAGTGTGCGGTAGAGCGCACTTGACCAAATGTTATGAAAAGTTGGTCGAAGTTTTAATATTTTCTTTTTTTTTCTTTATTTATATTTGAATCTTTTTCCTTTCAGTATTTTCATAAAAACTAACTGGATTCCTTAAAAATTTTTTTCATATTCGAGTGAGGAAAAAAATAATTATTATTCTAATTCAATTTGAGATCAAAAACTCTGCATTTTCCATGGATAAAATTTCTTTCTGGCCTTCTCCAAAGGAGTTTACTGATAAACAATAATTTTGGACCTAGCCTGACCCTCAGTTATTGATAATAATCGATCTCAAAAGGCATGAAAACCTCGTTTCCTTCCGTTTTGCATGTGATCCTACATTTTGTGACGCTGAAAAGGCGACGTGTTCCGCCAAAAAAGCGAGGAATAACACAAAATGAGCGACAATGGAAGCAAGAGGGGAGCTGAGAAGACGATTATTTGCGCCGACGGTCGTCGCGAAAAACGGCCGAGCAAACAGCGTTTGGAGCATCGAATCGCAGAAGATTCGCATGTGATGCTGCCACACCGAAGGGTGTACGGTAGCGAAGTTGATGTTGCAAAGTGTGGATTCTCTACAGGACCAAAAAAAAAGAAGGGAAGAAGAATGACTTTTTGAACTATTGGCATAGTTTCTGGTTCATTTTTCAAGGGTTGCACCAAAGGGGTTATTTTCTTTTAAAGGAGCATAGATAATTTTCATAAAGGTCTCGAGGCGAAGGACCATTTTCAGCGCTATTTGGAGCCGTGGAAGGCTTGACGAAAAATATTGAAATTTTCAACAAAGACATGATGATCGTGAGGTTGAAGGCTAACATGTAAAATAAAATCAATTTTAGAATTCAACTTTTTTTGTTTCTTGAAGACCGCGAAATCAGTAAGAACAAAAGTTATGACCCATATATTACGTTTCAAAAAAAGATTAACTAACCTTGTCAATGATTCCGATAAGCTTGGCAGGAAGAATGGGAACGACGGCATTGAGAGAATTGCCGTGGACGTCGTCTGTCTTCACCTCGACGCTGTGAAGAAATTCGCCGTCGATGCTCATCTGAATATTTTTTAAATGAATCCAGGAAGAAAAAAATGAAAAAATGAACGAAACATGTGATAAGCTTGACGAAAAAAAAAAATTAAGAACGTGACGAAACGACGAAAAACAATCTTATTTGTATTTCCCATTCATTCACTACTTGTTTGTACCCACTTTCGAATGATCTTCAGAATTGGGGAAACTTTTCGGGAAAGAAGCAAAAAATTAAAGAAGGCTGAAGCAAGGGGCGAAGAAATTTTTAACAGATCATTTTACATCTTTTTTTCAAGACGACCCTCGAAAAAGCGCTAAAATGTGCATAAATGCTGGCGAAAAGACGCTTAAAAATGGGCAGACGAAAAAAAAAGCATATTGTACTTTTAAAGAAAAGTTTGAGGAAAAGAGGAAGATGTTCGCTGAATATTTTTTTACACGTTTTCGTGGACTCATTTTAAGGGATTTTTTTTGTTGAAACTCGTCACACCAAAGTGAGCTTTTTAGTGCTCATACAAGCATTACCAACAAAAGTCCGAAAAAAAAACCGTTAAATAGTAAAATTCTAGAGACAGAATTCTCGAAACAGAGGATGAACATATTTACTAAAGAAAAGAAAAATGGAAACAATGGAGCAAAAATTTCAAGGACGAACCAAAATAAAAATAAGTACTTTTTCAAACTTGCTGAAGCTTACAAGGAAGGGTATCATACTCAAAAATTTAAAGTCTGATTGAGATCCGTAGAGTCCTAACTTTCGAAAATAAAAATTTTTATAGTCTCTCATCCGGGTAAGGTGAAGCTCGGCAGCATTCTAAATTCTAAAAAAAAGCCACCAAGATTTCCATTCAACTCAGAGTTTGCCAACTTTCTTAAAAAATCTTTTGAGTAGTGTGACCCTCTTATGCATCAAACCATTCCAGAATTACTAGTAGAGGAAATATTTTTCTGAAGAGAGGGAGATTCAAGAGAGGAGATGAAAAAGGAGAAGAATATAGGTGGGAAGAAGGGATGAGATGGATGGCGCAGTGGAACGCGAGATTGTACTCGAAGCGACTACAAAAGTGAAGTCAGAGCGGCAGTCCGAGTGTGTGGGTTTCGACAAAACAAGAAGACTGCCGGAACCGTGGGAGGAGCCAGGAAAGCTTCTCTCGGCGGCCGGAGCTCCGCCGAGCAGAGATGCTCGGTGGCTCCGCCCATCGGCCCCATCCGGCCAATGAGACGACGGCCGCCGAAGCGACGGGGAAGCGACCGACGGCAAACCGAAATTGGACCTGCGCATGTTCCATTGAGGTTCCACTTGAGGGATCTTTGTATTGTTATGGAGTCTTTGATTGATCATTGTTGCCAACGTATCGTTACGGTGGAGTCATGATATTTTATTCAAAAATTATCAAAGTAAAACTTGATAGAATACAAATTGTGTTTTAATATTTTGTTTGTTTGTTGCACTGTTCTCTTATCAATAACTATGACTGAAAAGGCCACTGCAAACATTTTTTAAATTTTATTAGACATGTTTTGTGAGAAATGTGGAAAGTTTAAGGATTCTTGTACGTTTTCGCATTGTGAAATTTTATAAGCTAAAATGAAATTAGCCTTCTGCTTTCTCACAACATCCAAGTAACGTTGTAAGAATGAAAAATTAGATGACGTTCCCCAAAAAATTTTCTGTTTGATCAAATGGAATGGAGCACTCGAAAATGTTTGCGTTTCTGTGCAATTATGTATTATTTCTCTCGATCATATGCATTCGAATTGGGTTCATCAAAATTCTTGAGAAAGAATCTGAGCGATGATCAGAAAAATTTTTCAGATTGAAAGTGTACTGGGTCTTCGTAAAAAAGCATTTAGGCCTATGTCAAATTTCAAATAAAAAAGAAAATGTCTAGTTTCAAAATTTAGCCTTTTTTTGAAGCAATTTTTTTATTTACTTTCCATATAACTTTTTTTGGCAGCCGGGACAAGCACTAAAAAAATTTAAACCATTGTTTTTCACAATAAATTTTGATGTTTTCTAGAAGTATAATTTCATAATAGTATGATAAAAAAAAAAGTTTTTTTGTTGATTCATTCGATCAAAATTTCCATTTAATTTATTACCACCGTCATATGATATCTCTGTCCAAAAAAAAAATGAAGTTTCACCAAAAAAAAAAATCTTTGAAACCAGCATTTCGTACAACAAGTTTGATTATTTCTTGGCTTAAAACTTTTAAGAGTTTTGTGAATCAATGATAAATGATAACAAATTGAGACAAAAAGAAATCAAACTTCTCCTCGAGACCCAAGAGAAAACAGAAAGTTCGCTCATCGCGGCCTACAGTAACCGCAGCAGCACTTTCGCCGAAGCGCCGCTCTTTAGTGCCATCAAATTGGCGCTGGCAAAAGAAGAAGAAGTTCTCTCGTCGTTTTCGCCTCACTATTTCGCGCAGGTAAATCGGAGAAGGTCCCCATTATTTGGAGCAAAAGCTGGGCTCCGTTCGAAAACGACGCCTTTCTATTTTTATCGATTCATTTTTCCTTTCCGTTTGAAATGCCTTTTTTGGATGATAACAAAAGAAATCTTAATAAAATATAGATCAGCCTTCATTTTCCCAAAAATAATAAGATGAGTGACGTCGCGAACTTGCGCAGCGTGAGCACTACAATCTGGTCTCTGCATGTTATTTGGGAGAAATCTAAGAAGACGTCAACTTATCTTCCCACCAACTGGGAAAATTCTCTGCCAAAAACAGAAACTAAAAAAATCTTTCATCCTTTATTTTTAATAAAGAAAAAAAGGAAGAAAAATTGGCAGTACGCGTGAATTTCATATGAAGAAATGCTTGCTGAACAATCCAAACTTTCTATTTCCACTCAGACAGCTGAAAACGGAGAGAACTTTCGCGAAAAATAACACCGAGGAAACTTTAATCTGAAGAATCGTCAAGTTTGTATGAAAAAAAGCGATAAATAAAAAGATCATTTTTTAGAATATGCAAAAGTTTATGATGAATAAAAATAAAATATAAAAAGGCCTTGAAGAAATCCACGTTTTATACGATATTAAACGATGCAAAACGGTATTATTTTTACAGAAAAAAAAATCCCGCTCTTTTCTTCCGTTTCAAACTCTGGGAGAAGTATTGGAAACGGGGATGTGCGATGATAATTGACAATTAATCTGGAAACGCACGTATCATCCCTCGCCGTTTCCAGGAACATTTATCAAAGCTCAAGCAATTATGTCCTGGAAATGTGGAAGAGAATGGACTAGAATCGACGAAAAAAGGACGAAACGATTGAGAAAATGGCGACAATGACGAGAAGGAGGAGAAGATTGAAGCAAACGATGAGTCAGAAGGAATCAATTTCAACAACGATCAAATCAAGGATTTCGTTTTGGTCAATGTTCTGATAAAAATAGAAAGGACGATGGGAAACGTAACGTATCACGAGCAACAGTTATACGAAACTGAAAAAGAGAAAAACGATAAGATCTTTTTTTGTGCATTTCATAACGAAATTCTTCAATACTTCGAAAACAGTAAAAACAAAAACTATATAAGTTTTCGTTATAGTTTCAAAACGCGTGATATTATTTTATATTATATACTTTGCTAATTTTCCAAAAATCTATCTCGCCCTAGGGATCAATTGACAGAAGTTTAAATAATTTTCTTCGAATCGAACAAGCAAAAATGATGAATCGGGATGATCGAAAATCAGAAAACTTGCTTTTTTTCTCAATACGAAGGTTTTTGTAGGTCTATACAAATTTTAAGAGATAATATCTGAAGCAAGACGAATGCAATAATCAAATTAAATGAGACTGAAAAAAAATGGAATAAAAAATATTAGTCAAAGCTGAAATAAAGTTACTTTTCCGGAGCGAGATTATTAAATTTTCCCGAGATTTTTGTCGTTTCTGCATTGAACGCACAATGAAAAAAGTTCTTAAAAAACCTGGATGGGCTGGAAAAAAAGAGGATGGAAAGCTTGGCGGTTGGCACAAACGGACGTTGCAGAATACCGTGCGAACATTGCGCGACGAGAGAGCACGCGTTTCGCGGAGTGCGCAGAGAAGTGCTCACGGCGACAGGCGCAATTTTCACATATTTTACATGAGCGCATCGAGCATTTTCCCCTTTTACGGTTCCTTTGCCGCCACTCGAAAGCATCTTTCTCGATTTCGTGGGAGACGGCGTCCTTTTCGGCACCCGCGAATTCCAACTTTTTCCGGTTGAAAGAATCTCACAAGGTTTCCGTGGGTGGATACGTCACTGATGGTTAGTTACTAAACATGTGAATTTATCGATGGATTCATTGTTTACAGATTATTTGGCGAGAATTGGACAGTAAGAAGGGGTAATTTTGCAAGTGAGTTAGTTTCTCTGCGTAATCTGGCGTGCGGAATCTTGAATTTTGTAGAAGAAGATGAGAAGTATGATATAAGTAATTAAATGGAAATGATACTGTGTTCAAAGTTCTTAAAAACTTATAGCAAAGTTTGAATAATGATACCATTTCAAACTAGCCATAAGTGCAAGTTTATTTCAAGAAAGCGAGATTATTGGAGTTAATTAGAGTAGGAATGATAAAGTTATTTTGAGAAAAGAAGTGATGAGATCTGGCAGGCAGACCACCTGGATTGAGCATCAGAAAACACGAAAGAGCGGCCGCCGACTGACACAAACCGTTTCAGGTCCGTCGCGGCGGTCGAAAATAGATGCGCCGATTCGATGACAACTTCCGAAGAGAGCATGACAGCGGACAACGGCTGTCCACACGGCAAACCGGGCTCCCGTTCTGCCGCTTCTTTCCGCGAAAGTGCAATGAGTCTGGGGATTCTCATGGAATCAGAGGTTTTTATTCTCGAAAAGAAGCATTTTCCAGAAAACCACTTGCTTTTAAAGACAAGAAATCGTATATCAGAGCTCTGACAAAAATTTGTCAGTCGGAAAAAATATTTTTCCAATAAATGTCTGAAAGATTGGAGTGACAAGGAAAAGTAACTTGAGAGCCATGATTCATTTCTGAAAGATTGAAAAACATGTTTTGAATTATTCTCGAACATAATTTCTTTCTCGAAAATTTAAAAGTTGAAATATTTGATTGATGCATGGGATTCTTGAAACTGATTGCAAAATTTCGGAATTTTTCTGTTGAAATTAAGATACCCATCAAGATTTTTCCAAAAGTGTTAAACGTTTCCTGGATTGGTTTTGAACGAAATTTTAAGATATTGGTCGTTTCAGAAGCTTAAAAAAATCAATATTGATAAGAAAAATAGTGTGATTCCCATTTCTTACAAAAACTTTGAAAAATAAAATCTGAAAACACATTTTGACCGTCGGGAGGTGGTTTTGACGATCATAGAAGCAATTTTCAACCAGTGGCTAGTTTGTGAGTTTACTATAGGAAAATTTTTGGTTAGCCGTTCTTTGATAAATGTGCTTCTAGGGCCAGAAGTTTTCTGAGAATCGAATAATGACTGGTCGAAATGCCTTGTAGACGTGCTCGGGGTGGAAAAGCAGGTGAAGCTGCGGGAAAACGAAGACGTAAGCGTTGTCGGTTGGTTAATTGGCAGCTGTTTGTGTGGAGCATGGCAGCGATAATCTGCCGTGCCCCAATATGTACTCGTCCTCAGGTAATTGTCTCCGAAAAAATCGTCTTGAATTGTCTAATTACCGTGTAGGCGCCTGGAGGAGCACGGCCAGGTGAAGGGCTTATCGCGGTTTTGTGCATTTCGGGCCAACAATTCCCTGCTCGAGGTCACACGCCAGACGGAATGCGCTAAATTTCCAGCTGAGTGATGGGTTAAGAATTCGCTAAGGATGGTTTGAAATGAACTGGAGGGACTGGTTCAAAAATTCATCTTCCATTTCAAGTTCAGTACTAGAAATATTTTCAAAGTGGGGAGAATCGAATGGGGTATTCATGGTGGCTTGGTTTTAGTCGGGAATAGTTTCAATTCGTTCGTTTTGAGCTTAATTTTGATTTCTGTGAACAGATCATTCAAACTTGAGAAGAAAATGTTCCTTCCAAGATCCTATTTTCGTTTTTTTAAACACCATTTACTAATGGAAAATATTAATTATGTGAGTCGTCACATATAAATTACAGTACACCATAACGACGACGAAAAAATGAGAAAAACATCAAAAAAAAAGTTTCATATCACGAGACGATGGCAACTGAAACACTCGGTAGAGAGTTGGAACCAATCGGCTGGGTATTTGTGCTCATTTCGCGCAATTTGCTCCGACAGAGAACCTGGGGCGAGTGTGTGCATACACCGACATGACACTCTGACAATGGCAAGGCGTCGCCCACGACAAACAACTCCGTTTTTGGAGCGACTGACTGATCTCCGCCGTGTCTCGTCTCATCAAAGAGACAGCCTGACAGGAAGGGCATCTGACTGCAGATGTAGATTTGCCAGGAGACCTTTTGGGGCTTTTGAAAGGGGAATTTTGAAAGATAGAGAACAGTTTTTTTTTTCATGGTTGATCTATCAATTTCTTTCATAAGGATCTCGAAAAAAAGTGAGTTGATCATGAGTTGAAAACCATGAGTTTCAACTCACTTACTAGATTCTTAAAGTTATTACCAGTTTATTTTAACTAGGGCGTTAATCAATTGGGTTAGCGTAATTCTTGAAAATTAGAAAAATAACTTTTTTGACTACTAAACTTCACTTCAAGGAAAGTTTGCTTTTGGAGCTCTAAAAAGTTATATTTTCCATCTGTGGAGTTTTTGAGTTTAATCTGGGTTTGGAGGTATATTTTTCAGATGAACTATAAAAGGTTCGTAATCGCCTTGGAGGATTAACTCATAATTGGTAAAATGAAGAGTTCTAGGTACCTCTACGGCTTCAGTCTCTCAAAATGGGATGAGAACGACTTTACCACTTATTTTAATCTTCTGCACCGACAACTTTACTCTTTCGATTTTTTGAAATGAGTAAATCGGCAGGTGAAGCCTTGAGGGCCGCGCGGACGTCATCAGGAATGGATGAGAAGGCGTCGACGTTCGAGATGAGGCGAAGCCAAGAGAATCGAGTGGGGACCCCGGTGTTGTCGCAGGTAATTCCCAATGTATTGCGTCCACTCTCATATAAATTTGATGAGATTCTATTGAGCCGACGAATCGGACGCATCGTTCTTCTCGTATCCGTCAAGTGGCTTGGGTTACGGTAGGATGAGGGGTTAAGCATGTTTCGAGTATTGTATACATTGCGAAGATTATTTTGCGCGAAAAACGGAGAGATGAGCTTTTTTTTTGAGCACTGGAAATTTCGGAAAAAAAAGGAAAAAACAAGATTTTTTACATTAGCAATAATTACCTTAATGACATAATTTAGAACTTTTGGTAAATAAGACGTGGTATTCCAACAGACAATTTTTTTTGTGTCCCATCTCAAAATTCAAAATTCCAGCAGGGAAGAGACCAGTATTGACCGGAACAAGCAACAAGAAAATATTTTGAGTAAACTTGAAACGGGAGAGTGAAAAAGTGATACTAATTTTCAAACAGCTCTTATAAAAATCGTGAAAACTATGTTTTTTGTCACTAAATATTCTTGAAATGATTGAGATTTAGAGTTAGGAAAAAAATTAATAAAAAAAGAATCAAGAACCGAAAAAAAGTTAATAAAACTGATCGAAAATGTTTAAAAAAACTTGGACTAAAAAAATAACTGATTCAAAAAAAAACCAGATTAGGAATTTTTCTGAAGTTTCACAAGCCTTAGAGTAGTACATAGATTTCATCGAAAGAGCATAATTTATAGCTTTCCGTATAGGAAACGTAATTTTCCTGGCGCCTAGCTTTGGAATATGTAAAATTAAAAATTCCCGCTCTCAAGCTTTTTGAAAGATTTTTCAATGTTCAGGGAGCCATTTTACTGCTCAAACTAGTGCTCAACAATCTTCAATTAGATCTTTACTTTCAGATTCCAGAGTTAACAGCTCATAAACTACCCCAGTTAGTACTGAAAAAGTTTCTTTTTTCTCACCTTTTGGGATTTTTCTTTCGATTGGATCCTACAAACACTACTGTGGAGTTTTTCGGAGCTGATTCAGCTTTTCTGATAGAAAAAAGCTTCACTGAAAGGGAACAAAATGAGACGATTGGTGAGTAGCCGTTGGCTGCAGTTCTGCAGGTGAAAAGAAGGCAATCAGCGGGTCTGAATGGCTCGAAGCCGTCCTCCTGGTCCTCCGTGACTAATCGCTTACCGTCGGCTCGACAAATTGGCTCGGCCTTGTCATCGAAATACACCGTCCACCCGAATTATTCACGACGTCATCAGGGAAGCCGCGCGCAACCTCGGAAAGTCCTCTCGTCAATTTTAGGGGTTATTTTTTGATGAGCGGACTTTTAGATGTGTTCCTGAGAAAATTTTTTTTCAACATTCGAGAGCTGGAAAAATTAATCAAGGGCTCTTATCCTAAATAAAGTGATTTTGAAGGCTTGAGACATCAAAAAAATTGTTTTCAAGATTTTTTTCAGATTTCTATAAAATTGAAAGATTTTTTTCAGTGATAAATTGAGCAAGAGCAGAGTTTCCAATGCTCAAAAAAAGTTGCCGGACATGATTAAGGCTATAAACTTTTCTAAACTGAAAGCTATAAGATAAATTATTTTATTCATACTTCAAACTTTGAGATTTTAAAAAAATTCTTGTTTAACTGTGTAGAAAAAAACCGAATAATTATCAAAGTTATTTTTTTGGATTTTTTTCAAGCCCTCAAAAAGTCTTGGAAAAACAAGGAAAAAAAGGAAAAAAACTATCAAATTTGATCTGACGCATTTTTTTCATTTTTCCGGTAGAGATAATCAACATTTCCCATGTTTTCTTTTCCCTATAAAATGTAAAAATAATTAGAAACCTGTCATAACATTTATTCCGTTTTTTTTATAAAAATTCTGTTTTTTTGTGTAACGCAATCTCGATTCAGTTGAGGTCAATAGAATAACAATAATTTGGGATGAAGTCGTCCACTTGAGATGGACACGACGCGCCGATGGCAATCAGCCGCGTCTCCAAACAATCGCAAAGGCGCACCCACGTGTCAATGCGGAGGTATGAATATGTGTGTACCGACCTCCCGCGGCTTCTCCATCGGGACCGTCGAGTGCCCCTCATCGACCCGTGTTTACCTTGCCATAGATACTGTAAGCATGATTCCGAGGGGATTATAACACTTTATTGGGGGCTACCCAATAAACGAACCCACGAGAGATGCTCGTAAAGGTGTGCAGCTGGCTGCAACCACCTTTTATGTACTAGTTTACTGTGCGCGAGATTGCTCCCCGCATAATAAACGATTGGTTTTGGGATTTATGGCGACGTTGGTGTTGCTTCCAGGCGCTTTACGGGCTCTTTACGACAGAAATCAAGCGTTTTATTGGGTGGTATTGCGATGGAAACGTTTTTCAGCAATGCGATCGGAGAGCTTGATGGCTTTTTACTTTGGAGTAAGGCTTATCGGTGCATAAGAATGAGTATTTCTAGAGGTGAAACGGAAAAATTCCTTTGAGGACCCCTAGAAAGAGCTGAAACGGTTCCGCTAAAGCTTCTGAATCGATGGGAAAATGATTCTGAGAACCTTTTTCATAGCCTCAGAGGGCGCTTTTCACATACGCTAGAATCTTTTCAGTTGCTCACCAGCATCTTTTCTTTCAAGAACGGGAAAACGATCCAAAAGTGAAATGAAAAAAAGAGCTGTTGTTGACCTTAAGTCTTAGGGTTGAGGCGTGGGCCTTAAGAAGATTTTATTCAGAAAGAACAACTTGAAAAGGTTTTTTGCTAGGCTCAAATAGGCTGATACAGACTCGAAGTTCAAGAAAAGCAGAAAATCATTCACGTTAATCGAGAAAAATATTCAAAAATCAAATATCGGCACATAGCAAATTTTCTAGGGCGTATTCATTCGAAACTTGCGTGAGCTTGTCAAGAATTCGAATATCTTGTAGTTAGTGAGCTTCCGAAAGAATATGAGACATAAATTTATTGGGAAAATAGACTTTTTTGTGTCCTTCAATGTTGCGAACGAGGTTTCAATGCTTTTTTCCTATTTTACATTCCTCCAAGACGAGAGCGACAGTAGTTAGAAATAGTCTGGTGGATCCAGACGGGCGGCCGATTCTCGAATTAAGATCCAAATCAGATGTTTTTCACGGATTTTTCGTCTGCTGCTTGTTCTGCTTTCTCCCGTTTATGCCGTCATTCAGAATCACTTGAGGCTTTCTTTTGGTTTTCATTTCTTTGTAATAAACGTTTCAAGAAAAATTCAGTTGGAAAAACGACACGAATTCGCGAAAAAGTACAAATTCAAATGTTAACTCAAGCTACTGCTTTTGAGAGTCTTCTTATGTTGAAAAAAATATCATATTTCAATAAATTTATTCCAATCAGTTCTTTCCATATAATAACATTTTTCCATCTGATTTCCGAAAAATTTCTATGTTTTTTCTATTTTTTCCTACTTTTTATTAGTTTTTAGAGGAAGAAGTAGTAATGATTCTCCGGCTAAACCGTTTTCCGAACCTTTTCTTCATCTATTTTCTCTCTTTTTCAAGGATTTCCTATTCTGAGGACATTCCCAAGGTTGGTTCTCAACTTTATTGTTCCTTAAATTTTTTTTGTTTTGAAGCTTCGCGATTTGATTGACCCGAAAGAACAAGAAGCCTTGAGAGATACCCTATCTGCGATAGTCCAGATCGAACTTGGCGATGGCGGCTTTTCGGTAGAAGTTTTTAGCAAATCTATGAAAATGAGCTTTTTTAAGGACGCGGCGTTAGGGGAAGGTCATAATTACGAGGATCAGAATCGGAGCATTTCTGCTTTGAATTACCATAATAGGTGAAAAATAGCCGTGGTCGCGTTTGGTATGGCTCAGAATCTATTCCACATGCGACCTTGGGCTTTTGAAAATTATTTTCTGATCAAAATTCAAAAAGAATCACCATTACTCGTATTGAAAACTTTTTTGTGGCTCACTTTTTGTAATTTTTTTGAAACGTATTTTTTAAAAAAACTTTGCAGATACCTGGAGGGGTTTGCAACAAAAACCAGCCCCTATATGAGACAAAAAAGGGCTTTATGGAGGGCTTAAATTAGGATACATCTATAGGAATTTTAGGTCTCACCGATAAGTCTCTAAACTTAAAGGGAGAACTATAGTGGTTTCTCAACTTTTGATATTTTATGCAGAGGAAAAAAACGTTTTAAAGATAGGTATAGGGATCACTAGCGTTTTCCACTAGAGTGGCCACTTTTGTCAGTTTCAGTCAAGTGTGGAGGCGCAAGGTGGTCCCTATAGGGAGGAAGCTTTGAAGGACCTCTGAGGTCGCCCCTCTAGGGACCACTTTGGCATTCTTATTAAGGTTGAAGAAAACAAAAAATTTTTTTATGTAAATCATGCGGTTTTTCCAGAGACATTCTGTTTCAAGGAGACATCAGACTATCCACAGAACATTTGGAACGGATCGTCGACGAACATTTCAATCGAAGACGTCGGAAAAGGACGGCTTTTCGAGACGTCCACTACCCGAAAACCATTTGGAAACCTTATGTTCCTTATGTCCTACATCCTTCTTTGGGTAACTGGAAAGAGAGTAGTTAAAACTCGATGAGAATCCAGGAGAGACCGCCCGAATGTCGGTCCTCGCCTCGTTCAACTTTTGGCAGAAGCATACTTGTATCAAGTTCCAGGAACGGAATCAAGAGCCGGTAATGAAGAGAACTTGAAATTTAGGAGAGTATTGAGTTTAGGTGTACCTTTTCGTGATAGGGAATCAGGACGGGTGCTGGAGTACGGTGGGAAAAGACGATTTGCAGGGAAGGCAGTCCATGAATATCGGGCCCGGCTGTGAACATGTGAGCTTCTGATTCTTCTTCAGTTCCAAATCATCTCTGACTCTCCAAAATTCAATTCTCTTTTTTCCCTATCTGACGGCTATTTTGAACCTCGTGGAATCCCTTTGAAAATCGCGTAAAATGAAAAAAATGTCCGAAACTCCTTTTTTGTTGCTTTCCAAAACCAGAAGACTTAGAAAATTCAGTTTATCCGAAATTTTCAATGATGCAGCTCTTCAAGAAATTATGTCGCATGACTTATTTTGTACCTTTTTTTTCAGTTCGGGATAACCTCCCACGAAGTTTCCCATGCTCTCGGCTTGTTTCACGAACAGTCGAGATTTGATCGCAATTCTCACGTTAGTATCATCGCCCGAAGGATTCCCAGGGCCAGTCTTCTCGACTTTGCAATCGTTGGTTTTATTTCCATTCCAGAAAGCACAGTTGTTTTCTGATCTGATTTTTGTGCTTCTTTTTGCCGTAGTTTTAAGGGAATTAGAAGGTTGAACCCTAATTTTTGTTGTTGAAAAATCGTTCCTCAAGCTACTAAAAGAGTTTTTTTTTTCTCAAGAAAGTATGCCTTCGGTGTTATTTTCATATTCCCCAAATTTTTTAAAGATCCATTTTTCTTCTTCTTCAAACGTCTTCCTAACGCTTTGAGGGGCGAGGGGGCAGGGGGCTTCTATCTTGATATCAGTGAAAATTAGAACCTTTTTGCAATTTTCCATTGCAGGTCGGGCCGAAGCAAATGTCAACCTACAAGACGCCGTACGACGTCGGCAGTGTCATGCATTACCGACCAACTGAGTAATTCTGTTTTTCCAAGTTTTGTCATTCTCAAAGAAAATCGTCCAGATTCTCCACGGATGGCCGCTCGACGATCGTGGCCAAGGACCCGAATATGCAGAATACGATGGGCCAACTCGGTGGCCCGAGTTTTTTGGACATCAAGAAGATGAATTCTCATTATCAGTGTTCAAGTTAGTTACAATACAGTGCAAAAAGGCATAAAAATCAGGACTACAAAAAAAATTGAAAGACTGGTTTTTTGAAGGGCGTTTTTCTAAACAGGCAATCAAAACTTCCGTCACATAGAAATTCTTGTTTATGAGCTCATCCTGAAACTGAAAAGTCCTTGAATCCAATGTAAATGATTTCGTTGTTCTTTGCGATAAAAACTTGAAAATTCGTTCGAAGAAATAAATTTTTTTTTGAATTATTTCAAGAGAATCACTTTAAAAAGAAGCTTTTATTTGCCTGATTAAATTTTTTTACTGATTTTTTTCCTGAGAATTTTTTTCAACTTTTCGTTAAAGTTCTAATGCATTCTTTTTTTGATAAACTGTTCTTTTTCCGTTTATTTTTTTCAATGTCTTTCTCCAATTTTTTTGTTTCCGTTTAAGTTAGCGAAAGAGCTTTTTGAGAAAAATAAAAATGGAGTTACCAAACAATTAAAAAAATCCTTTTTTTAGGAAGTAGCTGCAATGAAACCGTGATTTGTTCGAACGGCGGCTATCAAGATCACGACAATTGCAGTATTTGCAGGTTCCTTCATTTCATCTTCCTTTGAAAATTGTTTGTTACAATCACATACAATTCATTATTGAAAACGGGTAAATCTAACACTTATCAAATCATAGAAACTGCAATTCGTATTAGATTTTAGTTTTATTTTTTTTCAGGATTGAACTGTTCGTTTTTTTTTTTCATTTTTAACCTTAAGGCAACGCTTTTTCTTATCTAAAACAGGATTTCAGATGCCCAAGAGGTTACGGCGGTCCGAAATGCGACGAAGTCCAACAATCGAAACCCTCGAAATGCAGTGGAAATCTGGTGGCCGGAGGGGCCGAAAGAAGATTTTCCATCAACATGAGACGGAAAAAAGGCGCCAAGACTGTCCGCAACTGCAACTATCATATCACGGTTGGTAAGAATTCAAAAATGAGAACAGAAACTCCAAGTGGTCCCTAGAGTGGCATCCTTGGGGCCCCTCGGATGTTCGTCTCTAGCGAACTCTATGCAAGTCTGTTTATCCCACTAACCCTCTAAGGACCACTATGCCGTTCCTGGTAAGAAAATTCGGATATTTAAACCTTGGAATTATTTGAGTTTTCACTACTTTGCTTGAAGAAATTTAGAATAATGTAAACCTGAAAACTTTCATTTTTGAAGTCAAATAACCATTTCATTACTGTAGAAATAAATGAAAATAAATTCCGAAAAAGGCTTCAAAAAGTTGTTTTTCTGTTTTTTGAACTCTCTCCAACGCTTGTAGCCGAACTTTTCGCATCACAAAAATCAGGAACAAGGTTTTAATGTATAAAGAAAAAAACGTAACAATGTTTAAAACAAGTTAAAACGAGCGATACATGTTGAGATAATGCAATTAAAAACTTTATTTGAGTTTACAGCGGGTGAAAATGATTTTGTCGAACGTTAATCTTTTTTTGAGCGGCGTGATAAGATCTATTTCTTCAAGAAGGGAATTTTAAGATTTATAAATATTGTGAAGATCTCATAAAGAAGCGATTAGAGCGTTTTTTAGGCTCCCAAAGGGAAACGAGTGCAGATCATCGTAGAAGCTGTAATCGGGAAGTGCGTCCAAGGATGTTATGAAGAAGCGGCCGAGTTCAAGTTGTCCAAGGACAAAAGTCTCACTGGGGCCAGGTTCCCTTTTTGATCGATTTTGAGAAGGCTTGTGCGTCAAGCCGGGCGGCCCGGGCCGGCCTGGGCCGGGCTTAGGGCCTACAGTTTCAAAAACCTGCGAGGGGCTCGGCCCAGGTCGGGCTTGGAAAGAAATCTTAAATTTCATTTTGAAAAAAATTTTACGGAAAAAAATTATTTTTTTACTTGTTGAATCATAGTTTCTTATAACTCTATGAGAAAAAAATAAGCAAAAAAATACCACTTTTCTCGTAAAAAAAGCGAAAAAAATTCGACTTAAAGATAATTTGAGTTTTTTTGGTCCGGGCCGGGCATTATTGCTTAAGACCTCCCTAGGGCCGGGCCGGGCTTGGGAAGTGATGGGCCGAGAGGTTGACGGGCCGGCCCTCGCACAAGTCTGATTTTGAGAAAAAACGTAGAAAAATACGGAAATTCGAGCATACCAGGCGTTTCAAAGATCTTTTTGAGAAAACATTCTTTTGGCGAAAAATGTTGAAAGATCGGGACCTTCATCATCTGAAGGTCGAGCATTTTGCGATTTTCAGGCCTTCTTGTAGTGTAGCCTAAATTATTTAGGTTAATTTCCGGGCAAATTAGTAAAATGACCTTTCTTGTAGGTAAAAAAGGATTTTTCTTCCAGAGTTTGCTGTCCGCAAAAAAGAAGCCGAAGATATCTTTCCGGTGATAATACGGCCGCCGTCATCGCCAACGCTGCGGCGGGGCAGACTTTCCTGCAGTTCAGATATTCAATATGTAAACCATTTATTCATATGGTTTTGATGCAAAACTTCCAGATAATCCTCGACGGATGAGATTTTTCGCTAGACAGTCAAACTCGACCTACACTACTCCGACGGATGAGGTCTCGATTTTTCAGAAGCCAGTGAAAACAAATATTGAAATTCAGGGACCTTTGACCGAATTTGAAGAAGTTGAAGAAGTTGATCCCGAGGAAATCCTGAAAACTGTCAGGGTTAGTTTTGAGTTTCGTTCATTTACCGCTGTTTTGAGAAAATATACAACGAGAGCTTTAAAAAAATAAAAAACCAAGAAAAATGAAACCATTTTGTGGGCTTATCGATTTGAACTTTTTTAAGGATATTTTTTGCGATAGAATAAAATTTCCAGGCGGAGAGAAAGCCAGAAGACGTCGACGAGAAGACGTTCAGCGACATCGTCATGGAACAGTACCTCAATAATGAAGACGTGTCGTATTTCAATTGATTTCTTGCGTTTTCATCATTTTTTCCAATCATCGTGCAATAAGTTATCATGAAAAAAGAGCTTGTACTTGAAATTATAAATTCGTCTCAAAATCATATTTTCCAATTTTACTGGTTTTTGAGCTCAAAAATGTTCGTATTGAAATCCAAAATAAAGCTCATGATGTCACGTGGAATGGCTCGACGTATAACGGTTGCTTAGAAACTGTTTTAAATTGCGCCCGACTCAAGACTACTTGCGCACTAAGCCGTCGTAAAGTATATGAGCAAGCTTATATCGAAATCAACGCAACCGCGACGCTTTGAGCCATTCCAAATGAGGTCTGCGTTTTCTTATTCAACTTTGAATGAGCTTATAAGCAAAATAGTAGTTCTTTAAAATGTGTTTATCAAAATTTCAACTTCCCCCTTGAAAAATCAAAAAAAGCGATAAGAAGTTTTTTTTTGGATGTTATAAACTCACTTTTTTTTTCATTCAACACAAAAATCTTTTCCAAGACACTTGCACAACAACAAGTCCTTCAAAGATCTTCAACAATTCTAGGAAAAAACGGAAAGAAATGAGTCATCAAGTGGGAAAAATGGGACAATTTGAAGTTGTTTCGCGGCAGCCCGTTTGACGAACGAAAGTTGGCCAAAGAGCGATACAACCCCCGATCAAGCCTTTTCTTTGTAGACTTCTTTCTTTTGCATCAAAATGATAGATTGACATAGATTTTCATGGACAGGGAGTGTATTTATTATCAGGAAAACTTCAAAAAGTAGTTTCTCTGAAGGTTTTGTTATCTTAAAAAGATTTTTGTCCAGAGCTCTCAGCTTCCACGTTTATCTGTTTTTTTTTGTTCCAATCATACTTGATGTTTGGATCTGAAAATTCATGGTCGCACTTGGAATGGCTCGATTCGAAGCGATCGTTCCAAAAAAGCGCCTGACGCGAATGAACATCGAAAAAATGCAATATGGCCATTCCACGTGCGATTTTTTTCATGCCGTAGGAACTCCAGAGTGGTCCCTACAGGGGCCACTGAAGCTTGCAAACGTGGTCCTATAAGGGTTTTAGTTAGCAGTTGATTACTGTAATTAACTCTATGAGAAGAAGCATTTCATTTTTTTGAACGAAAAATATCAACAAAAACAAATTTTAAAGGCCCTATAGGGACCACTTGAGCTTTAGGGGCTGAGGGGTTAGATCTAAACCCCTATAGGGACCACCTTGCTGTCTCCTAGGGAAGCTGTTTTCCCCTAACCCTTATAGGTACCCCTCTGCGGCTCCAAAGGCAGTTTTCTTCATTTTTTTTTTTCAATAACTTCTAATTTCTAATTTCTGCCATGATTTGATTTTCAAGGATTTTCTCTTATTTTGACCCTGACGATGAAACATTTTTTTGCTTCAAATTTGGGCAACTGGATTACCTTATTGCACCTTCTAACGCGATTTTGTTCTTCCTGGTCTTATTGACACCCGAAACTTCGCCAACTTTCCCTGTGTAAGAACGAATTCTTTGGCCGCCTTGCGGTTCACGTGTTTCTAATCAATTTATCTTTCCCATAGAAAAAATATATTCTTAAAGAATTTCTTTTACTCCAAACTTTTCGCCCAAGACCATCAGAACACAAAATTTCACTTTTCAAGTGCGATAACCTCGCTGGCGCGTCATAATTTCCTAATTTGTTTGAGGCAACATGTGTTTTTTCTTTTGAGGCTCATCCATGATCATCATTTTCTGCAATGCGATTCCGATCGATGTTTGACGCTTTGTGAAATCTTGCGTAAAAAAACAAGCCGAAGAGAAAGAGAAAAAAGAACTCATCAGTTTTTTTGTTGATATTGTCCGCTTACCATTGCAGCTAAAAATAGCAAGACCAGAAAATCGAAAAATTCGGCAAATTTGAGTCTTTCATAAAAATGGATAAAAACGCTACTCGAAAAGTATTCCGTAAATTATTAGCTCCGCTCTGGCAATTTTAATGCGAGCTATTTTGAAGAGCTGTGAAAAAAATCGGAACGTGTTTTAAAAAACTCGTTTTGCGATGAATTGAAGTGAAAAAATGTAACTGAAGTCTCTAGTTTCAACGGAACGGTTTCACATACTTTAGCCATTCCAAATGCGGTTATGAATATTGGAATTGTGATCACTAGAGTGACCTTCCTGTATAAAATTTTTGCTATAGTCAACTTTTCTCAATTTCATTGCGTACGCGACGCGGCTTTTGACGAGGTCTCGAGGTAAAAATTAATTATTAAAAAAGTCAAAAATAGGTGTTTTTCTTATTTATACATTTTTAATGGTTCAACTGAATCTTTTCAAACCTATAAAAAACACAATCTATTGAAAAACTGGCGAAAAGGGGAAAAAAAGGGGTTTTGACTTCAAGTTGCCGCCAAAAACCGCGTCGCACACGCAACGCTTCAACCTTACCCATCTCGTCTTCTGATCCTCTTGAGTTAAGTTCTTTCACGCGGTTTTTTGCAAGGCTGTGCACGTCAAACTTGAGTTATGAATTTTGGAAAGGATTGGCTAAAATTTTTATCTTTTTTTGATAGCTTTGAGCGAAAACTCCTTAGCTTATCTTGTGTGCTGTTTCGCCAATCTTGAATAGACCCTTTCAAAAAATCCACAAGCAAGCAGTGAAATATGAAAACCAAGAAGAATTTGCAAAAGTGAAAAAAAAAATAGCCGGGAGAAAATTTTCACTTCATAAGAACAGAAAAATACTTGTTCAGGTTCATTCTTTATGTAATCATTTTTTCTTCTCGTCAGCGTGAAAATTGGCCCTCATGGAACTTTGAAAAAACTACAAAGTTCAAAGACATTCTTTGAAAAATGACGCGCCATTCGACAAACTTCCGATACGAAATTTTTTCGCTCATTTAGATGCTTATCTGAATCGGCCCTTCTGATTCGAATTGACGGCAAAATTTCCAGATTTCATGTGATGATACGACGTCGACCAGACAGATTTTTTTTTTCGTCACGAAGAAGAATCTTTAGTCTGTGGTTTAATGAAAAAAAAAGAATTTATTGGCCCAATCGGAGACGTCTTTCATTGCGAAATTTCCGCTGGAGAACCGAAAAAAGTGTGTTAAACTGAAACGGGTGATATCATTGGTAGCCGCTAGAGTATAGGCAGGAAGAAATATTTTCTTTGATTTCTTTTTTTTTGATGATTGGAAAAAGTTCTATAGAGTTTTTTGATCACAGAAAGTAAAAATGATATAGTCGGCGTCATGACTAGGGTATAGTTATAATGAGAAATTTAGAACTGATACTAGATCGGTTGAAGATTCCAGTATCGATAAAGTGGGATTTTTGGGAGATTCAAAAGTTTCAACTTTAAAAATCATATTTTGAGTGAAGTGCTTCTGTAAAGACACACATTTTGCAACCAGCTTGAGAATTTTTCGAAAAAGGGTGAAGCTTCGAGAAATTCTTTGGAAAATAAATTTGGCGTCCAAGTTTTATTTTTCAGTCCTGTTGGCTCCAAGTTCCGTTTTGAAAACCGAAAAAAACTTTTTTTTAATTTCTATACTTCAAATCATAGCTGAACGCTCGGAAATGATATTTGAAGGGCCATAATTCTGGATTCGCATGAAAAAAATCAATGTTAGCTTGAAGGCGGCTTGACAATCTAAATCTGACCAGACTATCCATTCATTTCCTCTCAAGCTTTCAATAGAACCCCGCCTTTTTATCTTCCATCCCAAACTTGTTGAAGTTGAAGCCCCTGACCCCAATCATTCCTCATAAATCATCCTTCCCTGTCAAAATAAATCAAAAAAATCATTAATTGTCCAACGAGTTGCCACTCGTGACGTAGGTCGCCGTGGGAGAGGTTAGCATTTTTCGGTCGAATTTCTCGAAGGCGGACCTTTTCTCCGCCTACCGTCGAACAACGGGTCTACTTATTTAGGGTCTCCTTCCTACTCATTGTAATGATTCATTGTCGCTTGTTTCGACACATTTCTTGACAAGGAGACATTGTTTATGTGTTTTTCTTGTTTATCTCTACCTTATTGTCCTTTTGTACAATATTAGAAGAACCTTCTTCCTCTTATAAGCCCCCCATCATTGCTACAAAGATCTGGTTGATTTTTTTTTTGCTTAAAGGTATAAAATCCTTCTTAGACCTAATAGTCCCACTTCAAGTGGGCCACTTGCGATGATCTTGAACTCTGTAAGATCGTTTACAGGATCGGTCGAAAAGTTACGGTTTTTTTTAAATTTGAAGTTTGCAAAAAAGAAGAGTTTCCGGAAATTTGCCTGTTTACCCCTGTTGCAAAGATCATCTTTTCGACCTCAAACTCTGATCCTCTTGAGTTAAGTTCCTTCACGCGGTTCTTTGCAAAGTTGTGTACGTCAAAAGTTTGAATAGAATTTGGCTATAAAAGGCGAGAAAAACTGTTTTTCTCCCATTTTTTTTCCTGTTTGAAGCTTTTTCTGAGCGTTGAAGTTACCAGAATTTTTATAATGACCTACTCTATTTTTATTGAACTCAGGGACTGTATAATTCATTTGCCGCTGACTTGAGACATTTTAATAAGGGTTAACGATAAAGTGTGCAAAAAGAAAAGATGCAGACTTACAGTCTGTGTGCCACGAGTTGAAATTTCACGGAACGACATTCCGCTGTTACGCTGCGTGCGTTCGCGAAGCGTCTTTCGAATCTGAGTCACGCTTTCAATTGATCGTTATTGCTGTGGGAGCACATGAAAGTAGAGTTGAGCCTTAATAGAATTTGAAAAAAAAATTAAAAGCGCGACCAAGGTTCGCAAAGGCGCGCAGCGGCACAGCGGAATGTCTTTTGGTGAAATTCCGAGTCGTGGTACTCAGGCTATATTTGAAATATTCTCCGTTCCAAGCTATCGCTGGATAGAGAATATAATCTGTAGGATTGCTGCAAAATTCTTTTTCATCATGATTATTTTGATTTTTGTATCCTAGCCGGAGTTCTCGATAGCGTAGGCTAAGCCTCTTAACAGGCTCCTAATCTGTGATAATACCGTCTTCGATATTATCACACCTACTTTTCTGAAATGTCTTGGAGACTTCGTCATGATCCCTTGGTACATAAGGACTTGCAAAGGCTCTTAAAAGACGCCGAAGGGAAACATTTCTCAGCATTTTTCTTTCCTATCCATCTTTTTATTTTTGTTCGAGGGTGTATTGATAACTTTTAACGCTGGACAGGACTACCAAATACATTTTGGAGAAGAACTAATCTCAATAAATCCTTTTCCAGATCATGCTTTCCTTAAGTTTTTCCAACTTTGCAATGGTGTCCGATCCGTTTTTCCTGAATTTTTCGCTTTCGGAGCGTTTTCTTTCGTTTTTTTCAAGCAGGGGAGTAAAACTGATTTTTAATAACTTTTTGGAATGATCTGACCTGTCTGCGCCCTTCTGGTCTCTCGTTTTTCCATGCTCATCCAATTTTTTTTGATGATAACTGGCGAGAGGAGAGAGAGAGCGCGCAGACAAGCTCTATTAATTTCAAGTGACGAGCTAAATTCTTGACGTTTTCCTCAAAATTTGAAAGGTTCTGACAATATCCCAAAAATAGATACTCGTTTCTAACAAAAAACTCTTTTTTTTTAATTCGCGTTTCCGTTTGTTTTCGAGGCAGTAATATATTTTCATCATTCAATTTTTCACAGAAACGAAAAATGCTGGGAATGATGAATTCTCCGTCCGACTCTGTCGAGTTCTACGCCACCAACCGCAAAAACTCCTCAGGAAGCGAATCCGAAGACCGAGTTTTCACTGAAATCAAGCAACGTGACGTCATCACCTACACCGAAGGTATTGCTCACTTTTTCTTTTTCAAAAAGGACTTTGACTGATCTTCTGATATAGTCAAACTTAGTTAAGAAATTCGCCAGAGATGACGTTGATTGATGTCTTTTTTGTGTACCTATCCATCAAATTAACAGTTCTCGTGTGAAAACAATCGTTATTTACAACTGTCGCATCTGATTTCGTCATAGTATAGTGAAATTTATAACTAGTCGTGACCGTTTTTGGGAGAACGAGAAAAGACGGAAGTTCACATAGAACTTCTTTGTTTGAAAACTTCCTGATTCCATTGTATTTTTCGAGTTTTTGAAGCGTTCAAGCTCTGCGAATTATGAAGAATGTGAAAGCAGTATGGTTTTTTAAGGATACATTTCCAAATTCTATGTTTTCTACTATAGAACGTCTGCCATAGGTAGGGACCGCAGGCCAATTTCCAAAGTCAGTGATATAAAGTTGAAAACCTATTTGAAAAAGAAAGCTGATGGCAATCGAGAGCTAACTGCGAAAAACAGAAAAGAAAAAAATATGAAAAAAATGAAAAAAAGTTATAAGCAAAAAAAGTGGCGAAATCGGGGGAACCACTTTTTGTGTAGAAACTTTCGTCAGGGTCGCAGGAAACGGGGCGTGTTTATAGATGCCGCGCGCTCCTTTGCTGTGCGTTAATTCACGCAGGAGACGTTTTCGAAAACATATTTATTTGAGTTTTTTTAGAAGTTTTAAATGAAATATTAGAGTTTTTCATATTGAATATTGCTCTTTTTCAATATCAGCCTACTCTTCAAGCACTCACGCTGCTGAAAAGCGAGTTTTTGAAGAAGGTTTCAATGCATTTCGTAAAAAAAGAAAAATAACCGACAAAATAGACCTTTGCGAAGGACGAACAGCATCAAACCGAATTGAAAAATGTAACAGTCTACTAAGAAATTTACTGAAAAAAATATGTAAATAATCACCAAGTCCTTTTTTTCAGAGAGTTTTTTTAAAAAAAGGGCGAAAGCGTTTTTTTACTTTTGATTTTTCTAATTCTTTTTATTTTTTTTCTCTAAAGTTTGTGCGTCTACATGGAGTGTACGTAGACAATTTTTTTGGAATTCTTTACTTGACATTCTGAAAAAAAGAGTAAAAGCGAAATTTAATACTTTTCTCGCTGCTATAATGGATATAATAATATAGGAAAAAAAGATTCCAATTATTAAATGAGTAAAAAGCAACTATAAAGCCACAATAAAATGAGAAAAACTTGAATAGAATACATAAATAGTTTTAAAAAAACCTTCACGCTTTCGAAAAAAATTTCGTGGCCTTCGCGGTGTCTGCAGATTTCCAGCGACGCGCAGTTTTAAAAAAATAACTTTCGAGCGTTTAAATTGACCATACTTTTCGGGCCATGCTAGGAATTTTTTTATTTTTTTGATATGTTGTAGAGAAATGTCTAGTCTTTGATATTATGAAATAAAAAACTTGCCCAGAACGCTTTGGGCCGTTTTTAAAGCGTTACAAAAAAACGGAAATTTTAAGCTTTCATATAAACTATATAATCGATGAAAAAAACTTAGTTTTTCTATTTTTTTAAAAATTTGCAAACAACTGCAAACAACCGTTTAAAAAAATATAATCAGTAATTATCGATTGCGTTTTTTTCGAAAAATAAGGAATTTCGAAAATCGTGATTTTTCAAATTGCGTTATTTTTTTGAGGCCAACCATAGAATTTTTTTATTTTTTTGCCAGAATATGCGTTTTTTTAGTTGCTTTATGATATTCAAGAATAAAAAAAGTTGCCCAGAAACTTTCAAGAAAAAAACGGGATTTTTTTATCCGTTTTTCGGCCACAAATGCGTTTTAAAAAACTGTCGTCGTACATTCTTATTTCTCATTTTTTTCAGTATTTTCTTTTATGTAGGATTGTTAAGCATAGCCGATTGTATGTTTCCCCAATTTTTTTCTCAAATCGGTACAAGAAAAACTGTTTTAAAAATATAAAAAAAGAACCAAAATGCAACGAAAAATGACGAAGTTTTTTTGAACAGCGAAGTGGGCGTGGCTCTGCGGTCCCTAGCCATAGGCTTTGCAGTGTTTCTAAAAATATTCGAAACATCAGAAATATGTTCAAAATATGGAACAAAACAGGAGATTTTCAGATGGCCGTAAGTTCATCAACGGCAAATTAGTGACGTCACCCGATGGTCCGTCAATGTGGGGAGAAGCCCTGATGCGCGGAATCGTCACAAATCACGTCCTCGAGAAGAAACGCCGAGCCAGTTCCAGTTAGTTATTTTGATCAATAAAATATAGCAGCTCCAAAATACGCCTTTAATGGAACTTTTCTAGGCATTTCTTACTGATAAGGCTCTGTAGAATATTTTTTATTTGGTTGCGCCCGACTCAAAACGATTTGCGCCTAAACCCAACGTTATAGAAAGTCTGGAAGTCTGAAGTTGCTTTCTTTAGCTATTTCGAACTCCGTCAGAACGATATTAATCACACAGAATGAAGAATTAATGGAGAAAATAGATTAATTGAAAGAGGAAACTTATTTTGAAAAAAATTTTTTTGGTTTTTTTATTTTAACTCTGAGTTTTCTGCTGAATTTTCTTTTTTTCAGAAAAATCCTCGAAGAAAGGCCCCTCGAGCAGCAAAAAATCAGAAGATCTTCCTTCCCAACCGACGCCTTCTGATTCCAGCTCGACGTCTTCTGCAGAAGCATCAAAAGTCGAAAATCCCCGTATTTATATCACCGAAATTCCCATTTTCGCCAGTGATGAACCTATTGCGAACGCCTAATTTTCCGTTGCTTTAATCATTTTTCATATTTCGTTCGAAAAACCTTGTTGATATGTTTGAAAAGACTCGGGAAATGTTACAAAAAGGTCTTGAAACGATATTTAAGGCAATATAAGGTTCAACAAGGTTTTTTGAACAGACTATGGGCATTTCAATGGAGAAATCCTCCCATTAAAATGCAATTTCCAACTTTAATTTCTGTACAAAAATGGATTCCATTGCTTGAAAAACTTTAATAAATTTGTATAAAATTAAAAATATTTATCGGATATGTTCTCGTCTCAATTTACAGCAATAAAAGGGAAATCCAATCTTGAAATTATGCATAGCATTGCAATAAATGCTTGCTTGAGCGTATTGATGCCGAAGGGGAAATGTCGATCAGAATTTCTGAAATTTGAAGGATATGGAAAATTCTCCAATTGGTATAAATGTACCTTCTTGGCCTTTTTCGTAGTCGTCCAGGCCGTTTGTCACAATCGTAATTGGTATCTGGAAACATTTATTTTTGAAAAATAAAAATGGGCTCATTTTTTTGGAAGTTCAGAAATTAATAAACTTTTTCGGAGCTATAAGTTCATGAACTGCTTTAAAAATTGAGGATAATTGTGGAAAAAATCTCAATTTTTTTTCAAAAGAGTTTTTCGACTTGATAATTTAAAAAAAATTCAAAAAAATTGAAAATAATAGAAACCTTCCAAAAACAACAAAAAAACTTTGGATTTGTTTTTTCCAAATTTTTTGAGTGCTAGAAAGTTTTTGTAAAAACAGCTCATTTTTTCCGACTAAAATTTCTACAGATCTTGAAAGTCTACCTCCAGTGTGCCGAGCACAAAGTTGTGAGCCCGACCAACAGTGAGTTTCAGGACGTAGTCGGACTTCATGAGACCGTCGACGGCGGCGTTGGGAGGAAGTGCTGGGACGTGGAAATTCGGCCGGAACGAGTAGCTCTCTCCGACGCCGATTTTGGTCTTTCCAGAAGGCAGACCAACTCCTGATAAATGAACAGATGCTTATAGCTTTAAAATATTGAGTACATTCCATCTTGACTGGTTTAAAATATCGAGAAATTTAATTCTATGATAGAAAAAGTGTGAAAAAAAGGGTCCAGACATTTTTTAAAGTCTGATTTTGTATGGGTTTACGATTTTCAAAAAAAAAACCTGTAGTGTCAATTTGAACGATGTCGAGATCAAATGTCCCAGCTCTGATGACATGAATTCGTCGTACAATGTTCATATGAACGTATTTCAATGATTGCTTCCACCTGCAAGAAAAAAATCAAATGAAAACCCCAAAAATTTAAAATTCGAATTTACTATATTTCTACTAATCTACAAAAATTTGAAAAATCCGAAAAAAAGCCAGTTTAAAATTTTTTTTCGTTTTTAAATCTTTTCAAAATTGTCACGGAGTTTCAGGAAAAAATATAAACAAAAAGAAATTTTTTTAGAAAGCACTTAAGCCGCAGTGCAGCCGCGACCCATTTAGCCATTCTCCATGCGTCCTAATAAGTTAAATTGGGCTCCGTAGATCATAATTCTTTTTCACTATTTTACTGCGAAATTTCAGCTTTTTTTCTTTTTATTTATTTTTTTCCGAAGTTCTCATTCTAAAAAAACGCATTTTTAAAAAGTCAATTTTTCGTATAAATGAAGATATTTTTTTGGTCTCAAGAAATCCTCACCAATTAGAAATATTAATACAAGCATCAATACGGTCTGTAGTGGAAAAAACGCTGCTTCCAACCATAAACTCGACAAAAATTGATCGGTCTCTGCAATTGTCCAAAATTCGAATCAAGATTGAAAAAAAATAAACTTTGGAAAATTCAAAGTCTTCTCGATGGAAACTGGCGCCGAGGGAAGGTTCCGACGGACCATTTGCAGGCCGACAACAGTCACCGGCTCTTCGTAGGTCGCCACTTTGGCATCGCCATACTTCAGAGTCACCTAAAGCTTCATAATCTTCATAGATAAAAAAATAAGAACAATACCTCCAGAGTGTACTTGATAGTGATAGGAGATCCCACACAGTGAAAGGTCGGCGGCGCGGATTTTGGAACTCGAAGTCGGATTGGGAACGCAGCACTGCCACAGAACTCTGTCGAAGAAGAACATGCGTTTTCTTTGTTCTGGAATATTGAAAATATTTAATCATCATGGTTTTTTTTTGTGAAATCACAAAGACTCATAGAACGAAATCTCACGTCGTTTTCATCGTAGTTCAAGCCGAGCATCTCGCTGAGGGTGCTGTAGTGCCAAAGTTCGCATGACTCATCGCTGAGGATCCGCTTTGTGATCGGCGCATGGTCCTGGAAAGATTTGATCTGATTATAATGGATTTATTCAGATTGAAACGATCAAGATGTGCATGCAAAGCGGTCACAATGCGTTTCTGGCGCGAGTTCAAATATAGCCTGTGTGCTACGACTTGAAGTTTCACGGAACGAGATTCCGCTGTGCCGCTGCGCGCCTTTGCGAACCGTGGTCGCCCTTTTAATTTTTTCTTCTTTCATTAAGGTACTCTACTTTCATTTGCTTTCACAGCAGTGACAATCAATTGAAAGTGTGACCTAGATTCGAAAGACGCTTCGCGAACGCACGCAGCGGAACAGCGGAATGTCGTTCCGTGAAAATTCAAGTCGTGACACACAGACGATATTATAAGACGTTTTTGTACGGTGGTAAAGGCTTTACCGTATAACCGGAATCGCCCCGGGCATTTCTAAGAATCTCTAGTGGCCACTTTAGCGGTGGCAGCACTATTAATTATCCCAGAAACGTTTGGTTTCCGTGAAGGAGGTCTCAAGTTAATATGGAAAGGTGAAGGCCTGGAGTAAATTTCGAATGTGACGAAGGAATGAGTAAATATTTGAGCTTTTTGATTTTTTCTCACTTCCTTTTAAGGAATTTTGTATTGAAGACCTTCTAAAAAAGGCTTTGGCATTCTGATCAAACTAATTATAATCTTTTACTCAAAATAGTCCCACTCAAGCGATTTTTCATTTGAGAACCGCATCACGACCGCTTCACAAGCCAATTTTCCGCCAATTCAAGAAAAAATCACTAAAGGTACTTCTTGAATAAAAAATCATACTTTAGCTAATTTTTAGAAAACCATTATTTCAGATGTAAGGCTGATCCACGACTAGCTTGAACCTCTAAGGGGCGTGGCCTGTCTGCGCTCTCCACCAACTAGTCACCATTTCTTTTTTTCGTGTCAGGACCCTTTTTTCGATGATTCAAGTGAAAAAAAAAGTCAAAGACGAAATTGAGACGTCAGCGGCGGACCTTGGAGGTGAAGACGTGAAAAACGGCCTCGCCACGCAGCCGTCCTTCGACCCGATCTACGGAGATCGCCTTCATCGTCTCACAGCTGACTTGGCCCTTCAAATAGCTAATTTGTGTTTCAAGATTTTCTGGTAACTATATTGGAAGAACTAATAATTATTATTATATCAAAAGTTTTTTTTTTGGGGAGGTGTTTGAATGAGTTACTCAAACTTTTTTTTCTGTTTATTTTACAAAATCTTTTTGAAACCTTCGCCAAGGTTTTTTTAGACCGTAGAAGTCTTAAAACGTTATAAAAAGGAATTCTCAATTTTTTTCGTTTCAGAAAAAAATGAACAAAAAAATTCGAAAAAAATCGATCTTCTAAAAAAAGTAACAGTTACTGTGAAATGAACTACAAAAAAATTAAAATAGGGCTTTTTAAAAATTTTCTTTTTGCTCAAGAAGTCACTTGAAATTATGAAAAAGTCACCTCGATAACTTGTCCAGGTAGGTAGAACAACCTGTCCAACGTCACGTTGAACCAAACTTTCTCATGCATTTCTCCTTAAAAAAATCGAAATATCATGGAAAAACAGCGAACAAAAGCGACTTTTCGGAGTGGCCCAAAAATGCAAATTTGACAGTCTCGCTGCCCATTTTTCCAAGACCTCGATTTTTAAAAGGGAGAAAAAAGTTTGCGTGGACCCAGATTCGACATGATAATTGGCAGGTTCGGGTGAAAATGGAACAGTCTGGAGAAAAAAAAAACCTTCGAAGGATTTTGAATAGATAAATATTGGAAAATTTTCGAATGAAAGAAAATGTTGAGCTGTGAGTGAAATCAAGTTCTTTGATGGGAAAACACTTGAATGGCAGGAAAAAAAACACATTTATCAAATAAAGTCGGCTTTTTATTGTCTTGTTTTGTATCCAGAAAACATGAAAAACCAGGAACTTCAAAGTTTCGGGGAAAAATGGAATTGAGAGAAATTTTCTACATTTCTTCGGGCCGAAGGTTTAAAAAAAATTACCTAAAGCTAACCTACTGGGAAAACTTTTAGTGGCCACTATAGAGGCTCCCCAAGGACTACTTGAAGAGGACACTAAAGGGGCCGCTAAAACCATCTCTATAGTGGCCATTTATTTGTTCATTAATGGCAACTGTTGTAGTTTTAGTCATCTAGTAGTAAAGTGGCTACTAATTTGATTACTATAGTGGCCACTAAAACGTCAAAACCCTATAGAGGCCACTAAAAAGTTTCCCAGAACACGTGGAATGGCTCAGGCCTTTTTCCAGCCAGAATAGAGTCTACAACGACTAATTATGCTCTCAAGCGTTAGTAGTTTTTGGTCTGGTGCAAAAATTCTAAGCATCTCACGTGTGGCATGGATCTTTAAAATGCCTTAAATTTGTATGAAAATCGATAAAAAGATAACTGATTACTCAGAAACAACTCTAACTTTTCAATGTACAAAAATTAGCCAGTAATTTCAAAATATTGTTGGAAATCTAGTTTCAAGTTGTCTCAATGATCTACAGTTCAATACAGCTGGAAAAAAGTGAGTTCAAAGTGAATAGAACTGGTGGGAAGATTGTGAAACAGCGGGTTTTACTAGGGCAAGTGAAACGAAAAGTCGACGGAGGGAAGTCTTTAAGTGAGTGGAAATTGACGTTCGGAAAAACCGTCTAATAGGCAATTATTTTGGTTTTTCTGGTCTTTCAGAAGAGAGGAGGAAGCGTGGATCTTTCAGAAAAGCGAACCTAATGCCTCAGGAACGCCAGAGTGGCCCTTATAGGGGCATCTTTGAGGGCGTTTAAAGGTACCCCTATAGGAAAAATTTTACCTCCCCTATAGGGGCCACTAATGCTTGCCAAAGTGGCTACTACAGGGGAGCACGACAGTCGTTTAGAAGAATAATTTCTATGCGAATAAATCAGAATGAAAAATATCAAAAAAAGATAATTATTCAATTTTGTATCAAATATTTCTTTTCAGTTTTTTAAACTCAAAACTTCAACACCCCTATAGGGACTACTTCAACTTTAGAAGCTCAGATGTCAGACTCCCAACCTCTACAGGGACCACCTGTAAATTTTAACCCTAAAGGAGGCCCTTTATTGACTTCTATTGGGTTCTTTTTCACTAATTCTTAAAGGGACCACTCTGGCGTTCAAAGTCGAAAGAAAAATGATGAAGAAAAGTATAGTTTCTTCTTCTAAATGTTGCAGGTGAAAAAAGTTCTTTTTCCAAAAAAATAAGGACTTTCAAAGGCTGACCATTTGATAGATGAAAGAAAGACGCCAAACTCGTTTTCTGCAGTCATTCGCTACTCTTTCTTCCTTTTTCATTTCTCTTCACGTATCCCTTTACAGCTTAATTTATTCGTCGGTTTTTGAACTTTCAGTTCAAAAAAGGGAAACATCTAGAAGCTTAAGGATAATTTTGAAAGATAAAAAGCAATCAAAACTTTTTAAAAAAAGCACTGTCACTGTAGAAATTTTGAGAGTTCGGTGGGGGAAAAAAATTTTTTTCAGAGGGTATAGATAAATTTTAAAAAAATCAGAATCATTTTTTTTCATTCGTTCAAAAGATTATTTAGAAAAAGAAAACTTGTAAAAAAAGATGCCATGAAAAAAAGGCAAAAAAACATCAAAAAAATAATTCAGCCATAAAATGTACAGAAAAAGGCGCTGCAAAAAAAGTTTTTCAAGCATTTCTTTTTTTGAATTGATTCTTGAAAAAATTTAGTCCCGAGATATCCAAACAAAGGCTCATTGATAGATTTCATAAAAATGGCGGAGAGCTTTTTTTAAGACTTATTCAAAATGTACAGGACTTTTGTGCTTCAAACACCTATTTGTCGAACAAAATTTTCTCAATAAATAGGCCGAAGACACCTAAAAAAATAATATAAAAAAATATAAAGAAGAACATATTTTGACCGCAAAGTTTGACTAGACTAGAGCAATGCGCTCCGGCCGACCCTTTAAGCCAAAGTTAAAACGCGAACCCGGATTCCAGTCTATTTCGGAACCTCAGAAATCCGGTTAACCACTTTAAACAAAGGGTAAAGTTTGAGCAAATGCGACGCGTGTTTGCATTTTCTTATGTTTAATCATTCTGTTTGTTCTTCGATGAAAATTTGGAGGAAAATCAAAAAAATTTGAAAAATAATCAGAGCCGAATGCCGTTCTCGGATGATTTTATACCTGACCCCAGGAATGACAAAAGATCAAGCCTTTTTATTGCACTGTTCGAGGTGTTTGCTGAGAACGTTCCGAAAGATGCTAGGATATTTTTGGAGCGGTTCCTTTTATATTCAAACCATAAAAAATCCCAACCTTGAACATTGTTTGAACTGAGAAACATTTCGAAACATTGAACACATTCTTGGTTTCTCGTAAAAATGCTCAGCGTTTCACAAGAACGGATACAAAAGATCAAAGACTCGTTTATTGCATCTTTTACGATATTTGTTTGGAGCGGTTTTTTTTTCGATAAGGAAACATTCAAGGCGTGAAAAACGCACGATTTCTTTGACGAGTAAATTGGCACGCCTTGATTCTTGTTGATCTACTCAGAAGGTTGTTTCGAAAACAACAAGAATCAAAAGGAACAAACAGCTCTGATAAAATGATAATGAGAGGACTTCCGAAGCCATAAAATGTGTCCGGTGCAAGTTTTTCTTGGAAAAAAAAAGACATTTCGATTCGAATAACAGGAAAACTCGAAAGGAAAACTTTTAGTGGTCGCATTTGGAATGGCTCAAAGCTCAAAGGTGTAGAAATTTTACTCGATGTTGGCTGTAAAGAGCGGAGTTAAATAAAGCTGCGCCCGACCAAGAGCGACTTTCTGACAACGCTCATGTATACCAAAAAGCGTAAATAGCTTTTTGTCGGGCACACTAGAAAATGAGGACTACTTTCGCTTAGCGAAAAGCAAGCGTCAAGCTGTAGAGAATGAATCTGAAAAAAATTTGAAACTTTAACTAATTGTTCGGAAAGCGTGTTTTTTTGGACCTTCTCAATATTAGTTTAGAAAATGAATAAAGAATAAAGCTTTGTACAAAATAC